TAATAATAGTTTTCTTAGTATTCTCTAGCGTATCTCTAGTATACTAATTCTAGTTTACTTAAAGTTTATTATATAAGCTATCTCTCTACTACTTAAAAGTAATACTTTTACTATCTAATAATAGAAGTAGATCTAAGAACTTAGTAGAGCGCGTTAGTTAGCTCTTACGCGCTTACAACGCTAGAGGTATAGCTAGCTAGTATATAGAGAGGCAAGAATCTAAGATTAAATTCTCTAGTAGCAACGCGCTTAAATCGCGTATAATTAGTGTTATAGAAAAACGCGTCGCGCGTTAAACTAGCGTAGTAGATAGTATCTAGTCTCTAGAGTAGGTTAATCGCGCTTATAGTTACTAGATTTTAGCGTCTTTTTTAGCTAGAGTAGTAGCCTATATCTAATATCTTACGTATATATTATCTCTCTTAGTAAGAGCGTTAGTAGTAATCTAGTAATATATATAGATTTATTATTTATATACCTATTATATATATAATTAGCTAACTATTTTATTAATAATTTTAGCTAGCGTTTCTAGAAAGAGCTCTTAAAGCTCTTTAGTAGAGGTAGAAAGTGTATATAAACCTAAGGCTAATAATAGCTCTAGTATTACTAAGCTCTAGTAGAGCCTTATAAGCTTCTAGTTAAAATTATTATCTTAATTCTTATTAGTTATTATGTTATATTACTAAATAGAGTTTTTATAATAGAAATATTAATTAGTATATTCTACTAGCAGGTTCGCTACTCTAGATTTAAGAACTGTTAGAGTAAAGAGGTATTATAGAGCTAAGGTCCTGTCTCTAGATTAGCTTTACAAAGGTTCTTCTATAGTATTTAGATTTGTTTAGCTTTTTAATTAAGAAAGAAGTAACAGAGAGAGGTATTTAGCTGCTAGTAGAGCAGCAGGTTGTTAGTTCTACTAGCAGGGTAGAGAGATTGTTAGCTCTGCTAGCAGAGTAGAGAATTGTTAATTTTTTGTAATTTTGTAAAGAGAGAGAGAGGTTTTTACACGTAGAAGTTCTATAGAAGTTCTCCTATATATAGAGCTCTTAATAGCTCTCTTTAGCTTAGTACTAGTATCTTTCTACTACTAACTAGATCTACTAGTAGTCTTATATAGCGCTAAGAGTAAGTAATTAATTAGTAACGTTAATAGATTCTTAGAGTAAGTAACTAGACTCTTATAGCTCTAATTCTTAATATAGCTATTAGTAAACGCTTTTTAATAAGGCTACTTAGTTTAGCTAGATATTATACTACCGTCTCTAGCTAAAGAGGTAATAATCTTTAGATAATATAAGGGCTAGGTCTGTAGTCTCTACTACTATAAGCGCCTCTAGAATACCTAGCTAGGTAAGTTAGCTATAGGTAGTACTGTCTCTACAAGCTATAAGAATAAGAGGTGCTAGTAGAGTAGGTTAGGTTAAATTTAGCTATCTAAAGGTAAGAAGTAGAGAAAAGGCTTTAAGAGGCTCTATATACAGAGGCGCTAAGACGCTAGGCTAGGTTACGTAATAAGATTACGTAACTTAAGGTTATATAACCTAAGGTAAATCTCTAAACTAGACTATTATAAGAAGAACTAGAAACAAGACTATAAAGTAGAATAAGTTACGTAATAGAATTAGAATTCTAGTTATAGAAATAGAATTATAATTCTATAGATTCTAGAAAGATCTATAGAATTATACTAATAGACGTATATATATAATACTAGAGAGCTTACTTCTTATAGCTTCTTATAGTTATTACTTTATTTAATAAATTACTACTAACGTACTTTATAAATAAAAGCTCTATATAAATAAAAGCTCTACGATTTCTTAGAAAGAAAAATTAATAAAAATTAATAGGTTTTTCTTAAATAACTAAGCAACACCTTAATACTTTTCTATAAAATTTTATATATATATTCTTTATAGTATATTACACCTTTTATTAAAGTTATACTAAGATAGATTACGTAATTAAAAAGCTATACGTATTTAACTAATTTTTTAGAAAAATCTAGTTTTCTTCTAGTAAGTACTATTATATCTCTATAATAATCTATAAAACTTATAGTATAACGTACTTTATAAGCGAGCTAGTTACACAAGCGAGCTAGTTACCTTCTCTTAGCAACAAAAATTAACGAAAATTAACCCGTTTTTCTTAAATAACTAAGCGAAACCTTAATATTTTTCTATAAAAATTTATATATATATTCTCTATAGTATATTACACCTTATAGTAAAGTTGTACTAAGATAGATAACGTAATTAAAAAGCTATACGTATTTAACTAACTTTTAAGAAAAATTCTAGTTTACTTCTAGTAAGTACTATTATATCTCTATAATAATATATAAAACTTATAGTATATAGTATTTATAACATAATAAAGGTTTCTAGAAAACTTTTATAGAGCTAGCTCTTCTAGGTATAGTATAATAAGAGATAGAAGTTAGAAAAATTTCTTCTTTAGAGTTTTCTCTTCTAACTATATATATATTAGTTAATCTAGCTATATAAACTTGTAATTTTATAAATTATAGTATACCTAAACTATATAGAGCTTATTAACTAATAATATAGTAGCTTTAAGTAATTATTTAAAAGTAAAGCCTTTTTATAGTATAGTAGAAAAAGATAGAACTATACTAAAACTATCTTAAAATTATTACTTATAAATATCTAGAAACCTTATAATATATATAAGCTTATATTATATAGCTTTATATAGCTAGATTATTAATATCTATATATAGTTAGAGAAGAAAACTCTAAAAAGAATTTTTCTAACTTCTATTTCTTATTACGCTATACCTAGAAGAGCTAGCTCTATAGAAATTTTCTAGAAACCTTTATTACGTTATAAATACTATATACTATAAGTTTTATATATTATTATAGAGATATAATAGTACTTACTAGAAGTAAACTAGATTTTTTCTTAAAAGTTAGTTAAATACGTATAGCTTTTAAATTACGTAATATATCTTAGTGCAACTTTACTATAAGGTATAATATACTATAGAGAATATATATATAAATTTTTATAGAAAAATATTAAGGTTTCGCTTAGTTATTTAAGAAAAACGGGTTGATTTTCGTTGATTTTCGTTGCCAAGAAATCGTGGTCGGCTCGATGATATGGTCGGCTCGATGATAAAGTACGTTATCTAGCAATAGAGAAGAATTGTTTAAGGTTAGAGATAAACAGCTAAGGTTTAACAACGCCTATTAGCTGAATGCATCAATGGATATCACTTTTCTTCATGAACGGCGTCGCTTTTTCGTAGGTGCCTCCCCGATATCTGGAGGATTTTGCGTCCGAAAGCATCTTAAGCGCGCACAGATCTTGGACGAGCAGTCGATTCATGCTCATTACATAACCAAGCCGGGACTTCTGCGGCGTATTGGCGAAAGAATGTTGCTGCCTACGCCAAGACTTCTGAAGCAGATCGAGCGACGTAGCTCCTGGCCTCCAGGCTTCTCCCACCCATTGAGGTATTGACTAACCTATTTCAGGTGTCAGCACTCAGGTTCCCTGTAAGTGTGGTTCGTGTTGTGCCTGCTCGTGCAGAACGCGAACACGGGCGTGGAGAAAGAGTTGACGGTTAAGTATAAAGGTTCGCTGTCTCCTATTGAGGGCCATTTCTTCATCCTCTCCTGGCGCGCTTTCTGGGGACAGCGCCAAGCCAAGTAGGTCTCGTGTCGCTTTCTATCCAATCAGCCCGCTTATCCGCCTAGGATGTGTACGAAGACCGTTTCGCTGAAAAAGTTCTCATGCGGCGACGAGAAAGAAGAAACTGTCAATTTTGAGCCCTGCGGCGAAATGACCAAGGAAGGCCACGAAGTCAAAGTTATTACCTTGGGCTCCAAAAGGGTGGGGGAGAAATGCGGAGAATTTGGCTGCAGGAACCCTTAGGCCATACATAGGCTGTAAGCACGTCTCATTTCGAAAGGCATCTGACCCTCGTAAACATAGGAGAGCTTTGATTTCGGTGACTGGAAAGGCAATTGAGCTGCCAAGAAGGATGTATCATGGTCGGTGGGGCGAAGTGCGATGGTGGCACCCTTCTTGTGGGGTCAACTATTAACTAGTAATCACGCTCCTTTGGCAGAAATTGATGCTCGTGCTTAACTATATGCATATGTTATCGTGACATCTGTGTGCCCTCCCATGTACTTGCGGAGCACTGCGTGAACTTCGTCGGTGATAGGCTGTGCGGAGCTAATAAGCGAAACAAAGCCAGACTGCGCCCAGTTCATCTTTAGACAGCCGCATCTTTATGGACTTCCACATACCACCCCACCCTCACACATCGAGCGTTCGTATATCGCATGATGCAGCGTCTACCGTACATTGGCAGCACTTCACACTTTTTCGGTGCGGGCGATGGTGTGGTAGTAAAGTCGCCCATGAAGATTTGGGAAGCGAATGCCAATCGCCGAGCCCTGGAGGCGAAAAACGCCGAAGCGATTGATATGGAGCGACAAATTTTAGAGAGACTGGGTCATCATCCCAGAATCGTTCCGTTTGTGCTTCACCCCGGGATCACCCTGTTGCCGAAGCTAATCGCATCGACAGATACCTGGGAGCGTATGGCAGCTCCTCCATCAAGCTTAGCGAAGCCAGCAATGGGACTCTGCAGGCGTATTTGGAGAAGCATAATTCAATAATCGGGGAGCGCCTTCGCTACAAATGGTGCATAGAGCTGGCCGAAGGCTTCGCATTTATACACTCGAAAGGCGTGATACATTCCGACATGAGGCTCGATAACGTCCTTGTGAACGCCAAGCTAGGCCTCTGGCTCTGCGACTTTGGTGGATCGACGTGCGACGCGCTGGGATTGAATGGCGGACACTTTCCGGACGACCCGTTCTTTGACCCACGACTAGGTTTCGTCTCAACACCAGCGACCGACATCTTTAGCCTGGGGACCCTGCTGTTCGTCATTCTTACGGGGCACCTTCCCTTCGGAACAGGCCTTAAGGGGGAGCCGTTCGCTAACTGGCGTGCTTATGAAGAACATGTGAACGAGCGTTTTAAGGCAGGAGAGTTTCCGGATGTGGCGGGGTTAACGGGCGGGAACGTTATTTGGAGATGCTGGCACCACAAGGACTTTGGATTTAAAACGGCGGACGATGTAGTCGTGGTTCTGAAGTCTCAACTACTCAAGTAGAGAGTATTTAGAGCGCTGGAGCACTACAGAGCCTGCAGCAAGAGAATTGCTATCTGAACAGGCCTCCGAATTACAATTCCTCTACGTTAAACCATAGCCTCCTCTCCCAATTCCACGAATGTTTGGCTAGAGGCTTTAGATCACTTATCCCGGGGCTATAGATTACGCCCGCCTTGCTCTCTGCCCGATAATCGATTATCCACTGTTTAGTCCCGAAGGTCTGATGCCTATTATTCCTTGCTCTTCTTCTGTGGTGAGCGATGGTTCAACGTCGGTAGAGGAGTTTGCAGCACCAGATGCTGCTAGAGTCGGAGCCAGACGAGGCAAGCATCCTCCTTTCTGTCAAAAGACACAGAGACAAGTTCAAAGCTGTCTATGCTATCCTATTTCGACTAGGGGCTGTTCGCCCCCAGGCTGTTAAGCGCCGTGGCTGCAGGATTGAGACCGGGGTAAGCGACACCTGTATTCAGATAAAGGAGTCATTCCGCACACTTGGACTTCTGTGCCTCTATTCTCCAAAATCTGGTCTATTATATTCTTTGCCTTTATAGACTATTCACCACCATTTGTTCTGAGCGTCGTTGTACCATGTCGTTCCACGGCCTCCCGAAGGGGATGGTGTGGCAGGCATCCGCACGCTACAACAACAAGGTCATGACGGAAGAAGAAGTTGATGATTTCTTCGCAAGAGCCGCACTTGGAGGTCCACCACCGCGGGAGGAAAGGGTGCAGGCGCCTAAAAGACGTAGGAAAGGCATGGATATCAAGGTACATGGGCCGGAAGATTCACCGCATAACTCTCCTACAGATCAACTGCTCCGCGAGGCCGCTTTAGCAGAAGATCGGGCGGAATCAAGCTCGGAAGGTGTTGCTGCTGCATGTGCTGGCAGCAAGTGCAAAGCTCCGGTTCAGCAATTCGTCTTCGGAAGCGATCCCGCTGGCCAACATGAACGTAGCGTGTTCTCATTTAGAGCCAGAAACCCAGGAGACGTGGAGGAGAACACATTCTGCAAGCAATGCCAAACTCTGATCAAAAAGGCGCGGGCTATCAAGAGCAAGCCTAGCGAAGGTGCAAGAGGCGGCTTTTCCCTCTACATTGAAGGAGAGAACGAAGGCGACGACGATCGCTTCGCCGACGTCTTTTCCCCAGGCCATGGCAGATATGCCACTTTCGCAGACCTGTGCAAATCCGCCGAAACAGGATGTCACCTCTGTTCTTTACTCGCAGCTCCGGACCCGCATGCAAACTCAAATCCTCCATCCGATTGCAAGAATAGTTATATGGTCGGTGTATACGGGGAGCAGAGTTACGACAGTCCCGGCAGGATTGAAATGCAGGTCATGCAGTACGAAAGGAAAGTCGTCAATCTCGCGTACGACTATCCGACGGCGAAACTCCAAGGCTCTCTGACGTATCGGCGCACGGATACTGACCAGGTGTTTGCCCTTGCTAGGGATTGGTTGAGGCATTGTCGAACGGGTCACGACGAATGCCGAAATAGGCCAGAGGTGGAGGACTTCGTGCCAACGCGATTACTCGAAGTCTCTGCTGAACCCAACGGCACTCTGACTTCCATTAAACTCCGCGTCACCTCTACCAACCCCGACGAATTCTCAAACGTGGAATACCTGGCCCTCAGTCACTGCTGGGGCACCGTCGAGACAACGAAGCTTAAAACATCAACCTTCGCGTCCTTCGAGACCTCTATTCCCCTTCCCTCTCTCCCACGGAACTTCGTCGATGCCGCTATCATCACCGCTAAACTTGGCTTCAAATACCTCTGGATCGACTCCCTCTGCATAATCCAAGACTCAGACCTCGACACGACCCGCGAAATTCCCACCATGGGCGGCGTCTACGGGCGCGCCGTTCTCACCATCGCTGCCATAGGCGCTGAAAATAGCCACGGCGGGTGCTTCACGACGCGCAATCCTCTCTCCCTCGTTCCTGCCCTGCTGCGCGACGGCGATAGCTCGACGCGCGATCAAGTGTGGGCTTGGAACCAGCAGTTGCAGGGGCCCAGTGCTGAGGGGAAATTGAGGCCGCCGCTTCATAAAAGAGGATGGGTTGTGCAGGAGCGTGCGTTGGCGCCGAGGACGTTGAGCTTTGGGAAGGATATGGTTTATTGGGAGTGTTTGCGTGGTGCGGCATCAGAAGCGTCGCCGAAAATCAGGGAAGACAATGAAAGTGGGTTGAAGATCGCTCTCGCGCAGTGTTCAGCGGTAGATCATAGAGAGGGTTGGGAACTTTGTAAGTTGTTTTTCCCCGCACAAAGAGAAGGTTGAAGAATGCTGCTGACTGACTCCACATCAGGGGAAACGTTCTGGTGGGAGATTGTGCACGAGTACACTGCGAGCAAATTGACCCACTACAAAGACAGGTGGAATGCTATTTCCGCACTGGCCATGCAGGTTGAAGACAACACTGGACAGCAACTGTACCACGGGCTCTGGGAGTGCAATCTCTTCGAGGAAGTCTTGTGGAAGTGCTTCCACCCAGGCCAAAGAATCGACCCTGCCGATCTGGATATCCCGTCTTGGTCCTGGTTATGCGTCAACGCGCCAGTCCATAACCAGCAACGATTCAACTACAATAAGGATTTCAAGAAGGTCGCCACGGTCACGAAACCACCGTCAGCACGATACGCCGCTGATGGACTCGGACGCTCGAAATCCCTCATAATACAAGGTCAACTTTTGAAAATCTCCTGGAGCACTTCTCGAAACGAGACCGGAAAGCCGGCGTACGTTTTCCGCTTCACTGACGGCCCACTTCTTCCGCGGCGCTCGAAATGCGATTGGTATCCTGATGTTGTTCCGGAGGCGGACTGGGATCTTTCAGTAATTACGATGGTGCTGACTAAGAGTGGTGGATACGAAGCGTACGGACTTGTTGTCAGGCCCAATGATGTGTCAGGCATATCGTGGACACGGGTGGGTATGTGGCATATGTTTTGTTACCGAGATGAAGGGAAGGATGTTCTGTGGCATTTAGAGAGAAAGGAGACTATCACACTTGTATAGTAGTAAGTGTGTGTTTTCGCTTGTAAGTCCGTCGTATGTCGTCGTATGTCGTCTAGTAGAAGAGCATCAACATGAGGATTTTCATAGCATGAGTTCCAAGGTTGTTGCGGCTGCATTGACCTTATCGACGAGGTGCGGCGCAGCAAACATTATTCAGCGTTGCTGCGGTTGCACAGCTCCCAGCTTGGTCGATTGCTCATAATATCCTCTACCTCGCCCAGGCTGTCGTCTCCCTTTGCCACGTCTCCGTATATGTCTATGATCTCTATCTACACTATGGAAATCTATCCCCCTATATTAGAATTCTCCCTCCAAAGTAGGGGGTCTGCAGACCTCTATAAATAAGAAAATCCTTTACTTTAGAAGAAGAGACTCTGGATAGAAGTATAGAATAGAGGTATGCTGTCCTGCACATTGTAGGTGTAGCGTGTATTATACTTCTGGTTCAGAGTTACACTTAACGCTCGATCCCTACCATCACTGCCTAAGAGCCACTGCCACTACCACCCTTAATCACGACCTCGTCCTCTCCAGGCTTCCCCTCCACGAAAGGAACACCCTCGCCCATCTCCATCTGAATCACGCCGCCCTTCCCTTTCACCATATGCATCAACATATAGTTCATCAGACAACGCACTCCCTGCTCCTCTCCCTTCTTCACTATCCACCCATTGATGTACTCAATCTCCGTCTGCCGTCCAGCCCTAACATCCGCTAGCATGCTGGAGATGTTGTCTCTTGTTTTATGCGCCACGCCGACCACCATGGTCTCTAGGCGGCCAGGGTCGAAGCGTTGTTGCACGTTGGGGATATACTGGAGTTCCGGTAGCGAGCGGATGACGAGGGAGATTTCGGAAAGAAGAAGCCGCATTACCCGGGTGAGGGAGTAGTTGTAGAGGATGGAGCCGTTGCGTGCGTCCAGCAGGACGGTGAGGGGGTTCACGATGCAGTTTACAGCCAACTTCTCAAGCTGCATCTGCAAGAGGTCTGGAGGAGAGAAGCCGACGGCACTGAGGGCGGGTATACGGAGGAGGGTCCGGAGGAGGTATCGATGGTTTGGCGTCCAAGGGAATGTTGGAGCTGCGGGGCGCGGCGCGTTTGGATTCGGATTCGCTGGATTCGCCCGCGTCACAGGGGTGCGCCCATCTTGACCAGCCTTGAATATCAATGTCGGAGCGTAGGGAGAAGGCTCCCGACCCCTTTCGTGCGGAAGGATCCCCAGAGAGATGGTTCCAAACCCAGCATGTACCGTCGTGAATGGATTGTCTTGTATACTATGCATGCCATGGGAATTGACTCCGATCATATAATGCGGTCTCGTCTCTGGATCCGGGAATATCTCCCTGCTAACCTCATCCACTGTCCCCATTCCATTCTGTAGGAATAGGATGACTGACTCTTTATGCAACCTGTGCCTCACCGCGGACAGCGCTTGCAAAACCGTCGGCGTCTTTGTGCATACTATGAGCGAGTGAATCGGGTCCGAGGATTCCCCTTCCGAGAGCGGGCGCTGTGGTTGAGGAGCCTCCGGGGATGCGTCGTCTGTGTTTGCCACTTGCTCTATCTCTTTCCCATGATACCTTGGGCGAGGGCTCGCCCATTCCGCGTCGTAACCTTCCCGCCTTTCTACGTCTCCGTCGGTGATCAATTGTAGTCTCTTTGGTGACTCATTCCACTCCTTCCATTTCTTCCTCCCGCTGAATATGAGTGTTACGGGCGGTGGATTCGGAATGCCACGAAGGGAATGCGCAATGAAGCTTCCTACGCTACCCATCCCCAGGACATGGATTCTTCTGTTGAGGACAGGTTGTGCGCGGTAGAAATCGGTTCCAGTTCGCGTATTCGACGGGTCCAGTTTCTCAGCCATATTGGCTTGGGTATCGTCTTTCTCAGCGCTGCTTCAGTCAGCTCTGTCCGGTTGCTTAGCTTCCATGAAGCCATACCTGATCCCCTGCTTGGCCTGCGGATCCATACCGTCAGGTCCCCACCAACCCTTCACTGACGCGCTCGTCCGAGAATAGGCCACCCGGCCGACGCAATTGCTACCTGGACCGCATGGAGCTCGTATGTGCCGTATCCGAGGCCGAAGCCTGGGGAGGAAATGTGAAAGAGAGAAGGAAGACACGTTGAAATGGTCCGAGTATATTACATATATGCACAAGGCGACCGCATATACACAGTTTTCTGGTCGATCAAAGAGAGAGGGAGGTAAGTGAAGTTGTGATCGTTGACGTGGTCGCGCTTTCCAAAGTTGCAAGCTCCGGCACGGAGAAAGTCTCGGTCCGCGCTGTTAAAGAAACTCACCTTTCAACTTTCCTCTTCCGCACCATCCCTACTCATAACAACGATTCAAAACCCCGAAAATCTGCAAGTCGGGGCTCACAAAAGTCCGAACTGCAGCCATGGACCCCCAAAGCGACTTCCCCGACCTCGTAGAAGACCTGGAAGCTAATATCGACGACCTCGAAACCGCCCTCTCTCCGCTCCTCACCACTCCCCTCCACACAACCGCCTCCATCCTCCCGCTCCTCGACAAAGCGAAACTCTACGTCCTCTCCGCCTACGCCATCGAGTCGCTCCTCTTCTCTACGCTGCAAGCCTCGGACGTCAACGCGAAAGAACACGCCGTATTCCGCGAACTAGCGCGACTGAAGGGGTATTTCGGCAAGATCAAGGATGTCGAAGGCGCAGGTGCAGGCGCGCAGCAGCCAAAGCAGAGACTAGACAAAGAGGCTGCCGCGCGCTTCATCAAGCACGGGCTCGCAGGGAACGACAAGTACGACTTGGAGCGCGCGGAGCGTATAGCGAAGGAGAGGGCCAAGGCGGCGCTGAAGGCCAGGCAGATGCACGTCAAGTTCGACCAGCAGCAAGAGGAGGCGAAGCAGGCGGAGATGTCGAAGAAGAGGAAGGCCGAGGAGGTGCTGAGGCAGCCGGACGAGCAGGAAGACAGCGAGGCGGACCACGTCGAGAGCGAGAACGAGGAGTTCTACGGCAAGCCCGAGCAGCAAGCTCACGAGGATACGCCGAACCAGCTAGCAAACAAGAAACCCAGAGTCTCAGCATCCGACCTCATAGACGTCGAACCTCCCTCCACACCCGCAGCACCCACCCCCAAGTCCCCCAAAAAGTCCAAAAAGGACAAGAAGCGCAAACACAGCACCGACGCCACCACCGCCACCGCAGCAGACGAAGAAGCCGAAGAGCAGTCCACACCGCAGTCGAAGCACGAGCGCAAAGCCGCCCGCCGCGCCAAAAAAGAAGCTAAGCGCTTTGAGAAAATGCAGTCCCTCGGCGGCATGCGGAAGAACGAAGAGCTCGTCCTGCCCGAGCGAGGCCAAGCACCGCGCACACGGAGCGACACATTCAACGCCCTGCTGAGCGGCACGTTCGCGAGCCAGAAGAAGGAAGAAACGGCGCGGAAGGGGAAGAAGAAGTGAAGACATGGGGCCGAAAGGCATGACTATCCTAATTCAAATGCGATTGCGATTGCGCCAAAGGCAGTAGATTCTCACGCCAGGAATCTAAGAGGTAGGCCCTTGAGAAGCAACGTTCTTGACAGGCAAAAAGCATATGCGTGTTCCAATCCGATCAAACAGCGCTAAGGCTCGTATTGACGAACAAGAGTCGGTCTGAGCGAAGGACCTGCTACTCACATCACTCTAGAGGCATCTGACACAGATGGAGGCATCGGAGCATGTACAATCGATCATCAAGCGTAGTATTATCAGCCCAGCTCGGCAGCAGCAGCAGCAAAATAGCTAACAAGCCGCCTCACGCTGCATCTCCCAGACCAGATCCCACCTCTTCAATAGTAGTGCAAAACCCACTTCATCCCAAATATCAATATCATACATGGACTAAACTCAAGAAAAAGCCCACTCCCGCTGCGCATGCCCAAACCCCCTGAAAAGTGACTGGCTCCTGGTATCGTACTGTTACAGACAAGACAAAAGCAAAAGCAAAGAAAAACAACCCAAAAACCAAACCCTTTTATATATGCAGTAAGCCATCAAGAATGCTGCCCCGTGTCCGTATCCGTGTCCCATGTCCTTAATATAAGTATAGACGGAAAAATAACTGTCGTCTTTTAGAAATGCTCGTCGCATCGATACATGAATAGTTGGGTAGGTATTAAGCGAGCGTGCGAGCGCCGAGTAGTATCATCGTGTGTCGGAAATGTATAATGCATGCATCTATCGACCGTCGTCGTCGGATCCCGGGCTGCTGAAGCACATGAAACCGGTCGGTCGGCAAGAAAATATCAGGCGATATGTATGAAACCGCAATGTGTGGGAGAAGAGAAGACGCAAATCCAAAAGTCTACTACTCAAAGGACCCCGGGATCGTCAGGCTCAACCTCTCCTCTTTCTTCCTCGGTGAGGGATCGGGGGATATTGGCGTGGAGGCTGATCGTTGGTGTTGCAGTGGCAACTTCTCCGATGTTCTCAACTCCATGGACTTTCGCACTTCTGCTTGGAGTTGCGCCTCAGCTTCCGCTTCTATTTTCTTTTCCTCCTCGTCGGTGAGGCTTTCTGCTGGCACGGCGTGGTTCGAGATGACCGTCTTCCCAATTGAGACCCTCTTCACCCTCTCGTCCTCTTTCGATTGGAAGGGATCTTCCTCGCTCTTGCGCGCCTCTTTCGGCTGCTCCGACATGTCGACCGCCGAATCCAGGGGTTTGTCAGATAACTGGCTCTCCTCGCTCTTTCGCGCCACATCCAGCTTTCCCGTCCCGTTCGCAAATGTTGGGCTGCGTGGGCTCTCCCTCATCGGAATGAACGCAGGCACGACACCTCCTCCTAGGCGAGCCCAGAACATGCGCTCTCGTAGACGCACGCTTTCCTCCCAGGCCGCTTTCTTCTCATCCTCTGTCTCTGCCCTCCAGTGACCGGCGGCGACCATCCTCAGAAAACTAATATAGTCGCAGGTCGACCTGAGCCTACCTAGACACCAGTCACAGAGAGGATGTCGCGTCTCTTCGGTTTCCGACGTCTTGAACCTGAACTTCCTCGCATATCGGTCGCCCTTCCGAGATTCTCCACAAAGTGAACATGGGAAAACCGGGCCACGGAACTTGGGAGGTGGCGGATTAGGTTCTACTACAAGAGATCCGGCTGTAATACTATTCAGCACCGTGCGGCGCGCCATCCACGAGAGACCAGGGGCGATATCGAGGCGCAGAGTCGGTTCGATATCCTCGCTCAGGGCGCGCTTGTAGAATTTCTCGTCCTTCAAGTTCGGCATGCCTGCGCTAGCAACCGAGTCCCGTGGAGAGTTGGTGCCGACAGAATTAGGTGACTTTGCGAGGGAAGGCAGAGAGCTGGTGGAGTTATTGGTGAGAGATCCAAGACCGAGCACGTTCAGGCTTCCGTAATTGCCACTGGAAACACGACTGGCTGGGGCAGAGCGGGCACTAATTCGGAGCATTTCCTGGAACTCCCTGACAGAGGTAAGATCTTCACGTAGGATGGGATGGATAAGGTGCGAGAAGTGTAGAGGATGGTCAGGGCTGATCTCGTCGGATCCAGGGGTGTTAGGCGTGAGATTAGCAGCTTCAAACAGCTTGCTCATCTTGTCGGCCGGCGTGATGCCGGGAGTTGAGGGTGCAGTGGTGGTGCCAAGGGTGTTGCTCTCGTCGTCCCCATGCGCACTCATCTTCTCCATGACGCCTTTGAGGTCCTGCAATTGCTCCTGAAGAGACAACTGAAGGACCTCGGTGTCGCTCAGTTGCTGCTTCAGCTGCTCGTTACGCTTCTCGGAGGCTTCCGTTTCCTTCCGTGCAGCTGCCACCATCTTTGAATCATTAGCGGTGCATCCGCTAAACACCATCCAGATTACTCACCACGTTGGCTTCCTCGAAAAGCGCCGCTGTCAGCTGCTCCACCTCGCCGTCGGTCTTCCTTTTCGCCTTTTCCGCGTCCTGCCGTCGCTTCCTCTCTTCCTGCAGGTCGCTCAACAGCTGCTTCTCCATTTTGTCGTACACTTCCTTTTCGACCAGCAGCCCCCTTGCGACCATCTCCTGATGCGCTGCCACCTGGGCTTCCAACTGTATCAGCCTCTCCCTCGCAGTGTCTAGCTCATGCCGTGTCTGTTGCAGCGAATCGTCCAAAGTCGTCTGGTGATTGATCGCATTGACCAGTTTCGTGCTCAGAGTAGCAACCTCCTGGCTAAGGTCCGGATGCATGTTCGAGTCGGTCGAGTTGTTCCGCGACAGGGCTGACTGCGGCGTGGGCGATCTGGGGTCGGGGATGGTGTTCATGACCTCGCTTTCCGTCCGTACGAGCGGCGGTTGGGCGATCTTCCCCAGCTGGGGCGTCGATATCGATTTGGTCACGGTTTTGTTCATGGGTTGCGGTGTCAAGGAGCGTAGGCGGGAGGGAGTGACGGTGCCTGCACTGCCGGCGGCGTGCACCCACGGCGCGGTGTGGATGAATCTATAACGAGAATAACGTGAGCCTTGTACTACGAGAATGCGAACTTCGGATTATTGTGGCAGAGCGCCGTGCAACGGAACAGCTGCCAACGAGTAAATTGCAGGCGTCATGGGACGTACTCGGCCATTTGACGTGTGTAATGGGGCTCGTTCTCGTTCGGATGGAGATGGAGACGGCCTGACGAGGAGCCGCGGCAGGCGGACAAAGGAGTGACGACAGTGAGGGAGGAAGAGCGCGCGACAGTCAACACCAGCGCATTTGGGGCAATTCGGATCCGCACGACTGGACTCGGACGAGCGAGGTGGAGTGACGGGAAGAGGAGGAGAAGGATGACGGCGCAGTTGTGGGAAGCTCGGGGAAGTTGATTGTTGCTGGGAAGCGGCGTCGGCGGCTCGAATCCTGGCAGGCGCTCTGACCCCAAGCCGCCAAACCAAGCCTCACGGTCCACGACGCCTTCTGGACCCCAGATGCACCTCTGATATCTGTTCGTCGCCGCTTCTGACGGGCCAAAGGGCTCGCGTTCGGTCGCCGGATACTCACACGGCAGCCAGAGGCCTCCCGTTACCTCCTTGGGCGGTCCGACCGTTATCGATATTAGCGTTTCGTGCACCCCAAGGTGGCTCGTCAATACCGTTTACGGGTTCTATTCACAGCCGCGCATGAAGAAACATTTCCAAGCCCCGTCCTTTCCCCTATCGGATCCCTGGCGCTCGTGAACTCACTTCCACAGCAGGACAGTTTCTTTTGGGGGATATTGGATTCCTATTGCTTACGGCCGCTCTACGTAGGATGGGCAGCAGGAACCGGCCACGATTACTACTCCTTCACACCATTTCAGACTCGGCGGAAAGTCATCCGCACGAAGTCAGAAGCGCAGTCTGGGCCTCACTCCTCTCAAGGATTACCACCTTGGGCAGCGTCAACGGTTCATGCGCTGCGCAGCCGTTACGCGTGCGTGGTGCCCTGGAGCCGGCCCCGGACGTTAATATGCAAAGCAGGAACCAATATCGGATGGAGTCCGATCTGCCTATGGCAGCTTGCACGATGCGGCTGCAGCGCCGGTGGGCTTATCCGAGGCGCAGGCAGGTGGTGAAAGGATCGCTTGCCTGCCTGCCCAGCGATCGAGCTGCAGCAGCCTTGCAGGCCCGCGTGGTGGTGGACTGAGAGCCAGCGGGCAGCCCCGCCGCACGCACAAGCCGCTTCAACACCACCCGCGCACCCTCGCGTCAACCCACTTTTAGAATCGTGACCCCGCCAAACCACGAAATCTCTACAGCATACCATGTCTGACGCGGATCTCGAGGAGGTATACTCGCACACTGTTAAAAGACCAGGATCTGCGAGGCGCTGCTTACACACTGCAGATTCGACGCGCGCGTCTCCAGCAGCTGCGCCAACAAGGCGGAAGTAGCGGAGGAGCAGGCGGAGGAGAAGGCTCAGAGCAGGATGCGCAAAGGCAAGCCAGCCCACCCACTCACACGACCCACACTAACACATTCCATGCAGACAGCGCGAAGGTACGTCTTATTCTCCGGTTATCGATACACACACGCACGCCTGCGCCTCACCGTCGGTCCCCGAGCCCATCCTCGACCCCAACACCTGCACCACCACAGCACACCACTCTTCCCTCTCGCCCCATCCCTGCGCCTCTCCTACGCGCTTCGCTGAACCCGCCTGACTGACCCCCTCCGCACCAGCCGACCAGCGCGCCAGCATCCTAACCCAGATCCTGACCCCCGACGCCGCCGACCGCCTCGGCCGCATCCGCCTGGTGAAAGAGTCGCGCGCCACCGACATCGAGAACCGGCTCATCATGCTGGCGCGCACCGGCCAGATCCGCCAGAAGGTGAGCGAGGAGCAGCTCAAGGAGCTGCTGGGCGCCGTGGCCGAGCAGAGCGAGAAGGAGGAGAGCAAGATTGTGATCAACAGGCGGGGCGGCGGCGGCGCCTGGGACGACGACGATTTGGATGACTTGCTCAAGGATGTGTGAGCGGGGATAGCGGTGGAGGGGTGGGCTACGGGAGTAGAAGAAAATCACAAGCGTGCATTTGGGGGCGTTTTGGGGGCATATCCATTATTACCCTTTGTTTGAGCTGGATACCTTTGGTCTATAATAGTGGCTACATGGTACATCGAGCCGAGTGCAATGCGCATCCTTCTCTTCATCGCCATGGGATTGTGCAGAACAAAGGCTTTCAGCGGGTATTCCACATAACCGGTCCCTTACTCCAAAGATATCCCGCCAGAGGGTGGCCGGCCGCTCGGGGACCCCTAGCCCTCAATATCGAGCTTCTCCAGCTCCTCCTCGACGGTAGCAGTGAGCCCGGCCCCCTTGACAACCTCGCTATCCAACTGCACACCTGCAAATGGAATCGCAGGACCCGTCTTCTTCGCTTCCCACTGCTCACCAGTCCTTTGGCTCGCCCACTTTCCCCGCTGCTGCTGGGCTGCACCGGCTTTGAGACTACCAGACACCAGGGCTTTCTTTTCTAGCTGAAGTACATCGGCCTCCTTTTTCACCAATCGCTTTCTCAACCCCTGCAAACCGGCCGTGAGAGCTGGGTTGTCGGCAGGCGTGACGCTGAGCGCGGCCCTCATCTCCTCGACTTCTGCTTTTGCTTTGTCGAGTGCTGGTTGCTCCTCAGACACCATTTCCGCGGGGAGTCCGTCGCGAGTTGCGGCCTCTGCAGCGGCATCCCCCGCGGATAGCGTGAGAGGGTTGTCGGGCGTGGGCTGGGGTACGTTGTTGAGCTTGAACTCGGGATTACGGTAGTTGGCTGGATCCTGGGCGACTTCCTCGAAGAAGTTCATGACGGCCTGCTGGACGTTGGGCTGTGCGAGCACGCACTCGCCGATCCAGGTGTCTCCGCCGGCGAAGGTGGGACATATTGGGTTGCTGTCGAGGAAGGTGTTAGAGGAGGTAGCGGCTGCGGTATCCTTGGACGACTTCGCGGGTTCCTCAAGCGCATCGGTAGGTTTATCCTGCTGCTCGGAGCGAGACTGGACTGCCGAGCTCAAGCGGTCTGCACTAGCTCGGATATAGTTGAGGAGCATCGAAGAGGGAGAGAGCTTCTCCAGCCAATTGATGGCCTGATGTTCCTCGGGCGCCGAGATGAATGGGGGAGCCCCGACGTAGTCAACAGGCAGCTCAGTCAACTCCGCAGGGTCGATGGCGTCATTGTGAGCAACCTTCCACTGCCGGGCTCGCTGGTGCATGAATGCTTTGAGCGCGGGATTGCTGATCTGCGAGCCATTCATGAGGGAGGAGATGACCGCCATGGCGGTAACGCGCGACCCATACTTCTCAACTAGAATCTTGTTAGCCTGACCAAATCAGTGGGCCTCCGAGCTACTTACAGTGTTCACTGAGAACATCCATGAAGTTTTCGGTGCCGTTCTCGATCCCAATCACGTACACCTCTGCGTCTGGAGCCACAAAGTTAGCGTTGTTGATGACAGTGTCGAAGACCGATTTGATATGCTCTTGCGGGTTACGGTGGCCTTCGACGCGGTTTTCCTCCGGGTGGATGGCAATCTCGTCATGGCTAACGGACTTCCGGGGCAGAGCGTTCCAGCTGCGGATGGATAGCGCCTGATTGAACTTGTGTGAGTAGAGCAGCTGGGTATTGTTCAATACTATCAGTCCCGGAGTATGCTCGTCATCCGGGACGTTGATGCCATCTTTTGAGAGTCCCTTAGCGAACTCGGGGTCCGGATTCGCGCGACCGATGATCTCCTTTACGAAGTTGACAACTGAGCCACCGTTGAGACCTAGCTCCCGCTGTAGCAGCCGATACGCCAAGACTCCTAGATCTTGATAGCAGTCGTCGTTGATGATCACGATGACGCGCTTGCGCGTCTTGAGGACTTCGGCTGGAGGTGCAAGAATGGGCACGTGCGGTCCGTTGGGCTTGGTGTAGGTGAGAGCCGGGAGGTACAGGTGCTTGATACCCAAGGCGGACAGACGTTTCAAGACCTCCCGACGCTGGCAGGCTAAGTAGCTGTCAGTATCTGCACTTCAAGAGTGCCCAATAGAACATAGAGTTCTTACTTCGCATAGCCTCGCCGCGGACCTGATTGTGTCGGTTATTGTTGGTGTGGAAGAAGTCGAAGTACTGCTCCGGAGCATCGATGTTGCGGATGCACCCATAACTGCTGTTGTCGATGAAGTACCCCAGCTCCTTAAGGTTGGCAGGATACTTGGGATCCGCCTCGAGCGTGTTCTCTTGCCGGCGAAACATCGCGGATCGTGAGGAGCTTCGAGGTGCTTTGGCTATCGTAACTCGCGCGTATCCGTACGAGCCAGTGCGGCGTGAAGATTCTCGAGGGGTTGGTAGTTAGGCAGCGATGGAGTAGATGGAAGGTGCTCGAGGACGCGGTTTTGTTTGCTGCAGGACGCTCGTTTGTACCTGCAGAAAGCGGTGAGAAATTAAGGCCAGACCAGCAAAATCAGTTTGTGGAGTGAAAGCCTTCAGGCTTTGGTATACCAACTGGAGGCGGTCCGGCGGCGGTTGCACCACAGTGGATGCCCCGGCAAGAGCACTTCCGTATTGCTACAGGCGCATATGTACATCTATGGATTCCTCCAAACGCCGCCCGATGCGAGACATCTTTCCTACTACACACGTATTTTGCACAGCCCGCGCAACCGCTATCAGTGTTCATCCAATCCGACTACCAGCTAGCTTTCTTCACACCCGGCAGGTTTCCGGCGAGCGCGTTCATTCGGAATTGATACTGCACGCAATAGAGTCAGCGCAAGCCCATCAATGTCGCGCCGGAAGAGTGACTTACTCTGCCTAGTCTGAAATCGCTGAAGACACCTCTGCCCCTGCCTCCCATTATGCATCTGTTCTTGACCTGTGTGAACCTCGTATAGCAATGCATCTGGGCGAGTTGGAGCTGGGCCTGCGCGCGCACTCGCTGCGGAAAAGTGGTATTGCGGATGATGTATCGGAGGGCTTGTCTAGATAACATCTGCTGTTAGCGGTGATGCCGAATGATCCCTTCTCGGTGGGAGGCATACCGTTCCGGCTCGTGTTCTGCGTAGACCTTTCGCTTCGTGTGGTCGCGAATGTTGCGGATTTTCGTGAAGCATCCGATATCGAGCTTCTTCGCGCGGAATTGAGACATGTTGGCGGTGGATGAACCTCAATTGCGGAGCATCCAAAGTTTGACACGCATGAAACTAGGCCAGCGCAGATGACCGGGACGTTGCTAATAACCAATCAACACATAGCCGAGTTAGGCCCGAGCGCTAGGGGCACCGGGAACTTTTACCGAACTCATCCAGTGAAGCTCTTCGACGACACCGTCATGGGGAAAATGGAACAGGTCACCATCACGTACGTACTGGTCTAGTTTGGGTCCAAGTTTGTTCTTTGAGCTTCCAGTCGTTGATCTAAGACAGGAACATGATCCACCCCAGTCCCGGCGATCCTAACGACCATGAGTCTGTTCAAGGTGAAACCGCTCCTGGCGGTTGGGTCAAGGGCGGCCATGTGACTAAGGATGAGTCGAAGCAAACTGTAAGGAGTAGCTTACTTCTATGTGTTACTACTTCGCTAATTCTATTGAATAGCAAGCTTCCTAAGCGGCTAGTGTGCTTTTGGCCACCATAGGCTGCTAGCAATACTTGTCCTCCGTAGCAATACAAACTATTCTCCAACCAAGCAAGTGTCTACTTGTTAGTTCGAAAGGACTATGCTATGCCTCTAGACTTTCTGCTTCAAAAGACCGAAGCTCTTTTGATGCTAGCGCCTGTGCAGCTGAGGGCCTTTTGTCTGGATCAACGACGAGCAGATATTTCACAAAACCCTTTAATGCCTGCGGCATGTCTATACTCTGCATCTCCTCCTCAAATGATGACACTTTCACAACCTGCTCGCCCTTATCAACCCACTCGGCAAGGAGTCTGCCCAGTTTGAAATCCTTCTTGATGGCATCGTTGTCCGCAAGCGGACCGAGATCGCCCCCGAAGAGCAGCACGAGCTTTGCGATACACCAACCCTCAACTGGGACATTGCAGTCTATGTCGGAGAAGCCAAAAAGGTCGGAATTGAACAGTTCAACCACAGTCACGGCGAGTGCCCAGACATCGGCGTGATGAGTGCAGGCGAAGCCTCGGTAAACTTCGGGGGCACGTGTAGCATACGGTTGAGCAAACTTGAGACTGCCTTCCGGACACGCTGAAGTACGTCAGCATGACATCACAGCAGGGGAAGCGGTGCTTACCGAGTCCTAAATCTGCTATTTTAATAATTGGGCTATCTGTGTCAATGTTGGAGAGCAGGACGTTTGCAGATTTAACATCTGGATTGATTAGTGAAGATTCGGCCATCCAAAACGTACTCTACCTACATAAGCAAGTCCCTCCCGCTTAAATGTGTCAAGGGCAGAGAGGCTTGCGCGAATAAAGGCTTTGAGAAGGGTATGATTGTTTCGGACACTCTCAGGCCGTAGTGTTGCTAAAGTGTAGTCCAACCACTCGAGAACTAAGCAGGCGCTCTCTTCGCCAGTGAGATCCCTAGGGTGTCCCACGATGTCGCACAAGGCTCGGATACATGGAGATGATGCGATGGCGGGTCTTTGGTAGGCATTGTATTCTCGCTCCAAAGACTTCCTAGTATTCTCGTTACCAGGCGTGGCAGTTTTGATGAGAACCCTGATCTGGGAATTAGCTCAAGTACTCGCAGCAGTTCAATGAGCAGTAACAGGCCATCTGGATGCAATATTGAATTTGTTTCCTGGTAACACTTTCGCCTTGAAGACTGTAGAATCATGCCTGTCATGCTCAAGGCGCTTGCTCAGAAGGTAACGCCCCTTGCGTCCAAAAAGCGTTTGTCCGACTTCCATCGCCGGCGCGTGTAGGAGAGAAAAATAGCAGGTAGGAAATGAGAGTGAGGCATAGGTGAGCCGTTGCAAGCCAGCTAAAGGGCGACGAGATGTAAAAGCATGCATGCTAAAAAGTTACAAGCAGATTAGAGAGGACAGAAGTGTACAGAATTGATGCCTTCAACTAGGTAAAGCCGGGGTTTAGCCGGACCTCCGTCTCATCCTGCCGCGGCGGGTTTTCAACAACACAACATTGATACGCGTAATATTCGCCTCACGCCTCGTGAAAAGACAAGTCAAAGGGAGTCCCACACGTGTAGATTCTACAATAACCGCGTATCTAGCGAGATAATTAAGCAAGTCTACGTAATCGAGCGTGCAAACGAGAAAGCGAATAAAATACATGGCGGAACGTTTGGCACATCCGAAGTCGAGATCGAGTCGAGCCCGCTCCGTATCAGCAAGCACCTACCTCGGAGGTATTCGGAGCGGTCGGACACCCTTTCACCTGCATGACCTCACGCGATTGCCTGATTCGTCGCCAACTCTTGAGCGGACCTCTTCAGTTCCTCCCGAGGTCTGCTCTTCGTTTCACGGCCTGCACACAATCTTGATTGCCTACTAACTATACACTACTAATCACACCACCCCGCCGCAGGCCGACGGCACACTGCATGCCCACCTTGAATTTTGCGCGGCAGCCAAGCCCCGTCAACATCGCATCAACGCTCTTCCACACAGGTTACAGGGCACGGTTACAACATGTTCTCAGAAGAGGACGTTCAGACCGTGTTTCGGTTATTGCCTCCAGCAAAGCAGGCTCAAGAAGGATCGGAACAGCTTCCGCCGTTGTTCCTCTCATCCAGAGGCCATGGGTGCATTACTCGAAAACATCTCTTGGATCAATTCAAGCGTCTAGCCACTAAAGGTAATAATTCCTGTGCCTTCTCGGTTATCCACCCTGTACTAACCGCTGCCTGTAGAGACACATCGAATGCATACTTCGGTCGTCAGCCACCAGCTAGACGTGGACATCGATACCGTTCTCCAGCTTGTCCGAGAACATTCTCACCTGGCTTTGCTGAGCGAGGATAGGCTCAGCGTCATCATGAAAGAGCAGCGCGATTCCATCGAACGACATTTCCGAGACCTTGTCACGGAGAGCATTGTGTCTAAGGCTGCATTCTCCAAAGATCACAATGTTTCAATGGAGAGCATCGACGCACTCACTCACGATAAAGAATCGAGATTACATGATGATCTTCTCGAAATTGATGACCACCTGCTCACTAAGGCCTACCAGCAGACTCTCCAAGAAGCCATGAAGGAAGGTCTAGATCTCTCATTGAAGAATGCCGAGTAAGCAGAGCAAAATCATTTCTCAATCGCTGTTCGCTAACCATTATCAGGACCCTTGAACTGACGTCTCAGACCCTGCCAGGGGAACCTCCGATATGGTATATATCGCGAAACCTTCAACAGCTTCTAGTGGAGACAGCCATGGGGCCGCAATTCCATATTGCTGAGAAGGCGGGCATCGTCTATTGCACTCCCAGGCAATCAATCTTGCAGAAACGGGATGCAAAGATCGCCGAATTGCAGTCAGGGAGCCATGCATACATTGACCTGCAAAGCTTTGCCAAGGAATTCGGTGAGCTCTATTCGTCCTACAGAGATGTGCAAGATCAGTTTGCCACATTACCTACAATCTTCTTGGCTGGCACATCTGCAATTTCTGAAGCCTGGCTCTCGAAGCTGGCCGACGAGTGCGTCCGTGAACTTGAAGCCAACGGCAGTGTAGAGTTAACGGTTAGTAATAATTCATCCCATTCCCCTTCACGCATCGACCCTTTAAATCCATTCTCCATGGTTGGTGGATCTGATCTCTACTCCTGCCATTATGGACGGTCAGCTGAGGTAGTATAGTCGGAGATCGAGCCTGCGTTTCCAGCCGACATTCAGAACGAAATTGTAGACAAACTCGAGCGACGCGTCAGGACGACCTACGAACAGAAATCGGACCCCAAACTTCATCGGACGGGTACGTACATCCTGACGACGAGGAAGTATGATTCGGTGTGTGACGAGCTTTCCCAATCCGCAAAAGCACAAGCCACGGGCAAATGGGAAGAACTTAAAGAGACAGCCGACAAGGATCTCAAATTCCAGATCTCTGACATACTCGCCGCTATCCCTAGCGATCGGCCTCTTTTGCGCGCTGTAACCGAAGAGAAGGGGACCGACAGGGTAATGGAGGAGCATTTCTGGAGCGAGATATCCGTTTTGGAATCACAGAACGAGGAAGCCTTCTCTGCATTCTGGATCGAACGGGTGTTATCGCGGGTGCACAACTACCGCGAGGGCTTACAGGCCATCGAGGACGGGAAACTCCGAGATCAACTCGCTGACCTCCTATCTGCTCATTTACAAAAGGAGCTCTTCTCGGATGCACTAGCCAAGGCTCGTTCACAAGGGCTCGTTCGCAGCAGAAAGACCCGCAAGAATGCTCAGAAACTGGAGAGTGCACTAGCAGAAGGGAAGGCAGATCTCAAAAGCGCGGTCGCGGCGATGGAGAAGTTTGGAAAGAAGCAGGGTGTACAGGAGCCCGACCCCGCATCGCTGGTAGAGGCCAAGAAGGCCTTGACCGGCGACATGATCCGGAGAATGCAGAAGCCAAAGACTGAACCTCCGGTCATGTTTCTAACCCTGATTATTGTCCTCTTCGCCAGGCAGTACCCCGGTATTGTCTACGCAACGGGTAAATTCGCACCGAAGCTGCTCAAGCTACTCAAATCGACCTTAAGCGCCGAGCAATACGAACGACTGGAGCACTGGAAGGAGCAAGCCAAGGCGGGTACATTGACGGCAGAGGATAGGGAGGACATGAGGCAGATGGCGGGTGAGGGTTGATTATCTGTTGGCCCATGCAGGCATCCGTGGTCATACCATTTGGAGTTGCCGTGAGAAAGGCGGTCTGCAGTGCACGCTCCGTGTCACATTGGAGAATAGAAGCTGCGTGAACGGCCACCGTGACAGGAGGCTGTGGAATGACTGGTCAAGGGAGCATGATGAAGCAATCGCAGCTCACTCTTGCGTGCTACCTGTTTACCATAGGTGCGTTACGGCAATCAAACAGTTCAATCATCCAACACTATCGGTCTTATCTTGGCTGACCAAGATAAAGGTATAGCGTATCATAAGTACCTGTGTAAGGTTCATTATCCGCCTCTTTGACATGCAAGCCGGAGGGTGTCGATGTCCATATCAGGCTTAGCGCGAAGTCGATGACAAAGCCGCCGAGTAAGATCGCCACTTTCCCTCTCGTGAAGGGACGGGCATTTACGAGGCAGATCTCACTCGATAAACCTTATCCCGACGACTCAGCTCGGCCGTGACAATCTTGTAACAGCTCATGGCTTTGCGATACAGAATGACGAGACAGCCCCATCGAGATGCCACAGAAGGCCCTCGTCTTGAGCGATGCAATGTGCTTGGGAGAGCTCGGCAGCTTTCCCATCACACCATCGACAGCACATCCGAAGTACCCTTGCAACGAGGCCTGCGAGTATAACTCGGGATCTATTTGTAACGCATCGCTTCTGTCTCGCAGATGCGACATACCCCACGAAGAGCACGCCATCTTCATTCTCCGCACTTCGTCCTTCGTATACGCTAAGGCTAAAGCGATACCCCAGACTTGGCGACGACAATGCTTGAATGGGGTTGATTTCGTCGTTTTCTGTCTTTTTTTGTGTTTATTTCATTCTTAGAAGTCGTGTTCTGTCGTCATTTGGTTCCGATGGGTTGAAAGAGTTGAAGTTCGCAGTTCGTCGCTCGACGACACCATATGCGCACAACGCTTCGGAATCTATGCAAGGTCGCACGCAAGAGCCGCGGAAGCAAAAGGGTAAGTGATGCTCAGGGACGATTACAAGTTCGATCTCGCCGCCGGCCGTTGATTGGGTGAAACGGTACCTTTGTACCGAAGAGTTTTCGTACCACAAGGGTTAGCGCGGATTGCGCCATACTGCTCCAGTATGAGCACCAACACATTGATTTCAAACGCCAGCCGATGACGGAGCTGGATATATACTCTCGCTGCATTGCTTCTCCTCGACCTCTACATCTACGTTGCAGTCCAGAATTCCGGCTTCTCGCCTTAATTCCCGCGCCAAAAGCCACTGCAGATTCTCAAAAGCAATCCCCTTTCCTCATCCGGATTGTCCTCACGTGCGCCTGAATTGCTAGCAGTGCCAGGTGCTCTTCAACATGGCATCACCCGTATACGGAGAACCCTTCGAGGGCGTCGTAATCCACGATGACGAGTCCGGGTATGCCTCTGGTTCATCGAGCCGAGACAGCATCCCAGACGTCTACTTCAGCAAACCTCACGTCAAGTTCCTCAACACTCAATTACAGAAGTTGGAGCCTCAAGGTATGGACTGCCCCGCTATGCAGTGGAGTGATGACTAACCATCTCAGACATTCTTCGATGGTGCATCACCTCATTACCAGGCCTGTATCAGACAACAGCCTTTGGCTTGACGGGGCTAGTGACACTGGACATGTTATCAAAACTCGATGGTCCTCTCAAGCACAACATCGACCTCATCTTCCTCGACACCCTTCACCATTTCGATGAGACTCTGGCGCTGGTTGATCGAGTGCGGAGACGATACGGAACTCCGATCCACGTCTACAAGCCCGCCGGATGCGACACCATCGACGACTTCACTGCGAAGCACGGCCACAAACTATGGGAGACGAACGACGAGCTGTACGACTATGTCGCCAAGGTCGAGCCCGCACAGCGGGCGTACTCCGAGCTTCAGGTCAAGGCTGTCCTGACTGGACGCCGGAAGAGCCAAGGCGGCAAGCGTGGGGATCTCGACATCATTGAAGTCGACGATGCCGGTCTCATCAAGGTCAACCCGCTTGCCAATTGGTCATTCACTCAAGTACAGGAGTACGTCAATGCGAACAAGGTGCCATACAACGAGCTCCTCGACCGCGGATATAAGAGCGTGGGTGACTGGCACTCTACCCAGGCGGTCGCTGCCGGCGAAGACGAGCGATCTGGACGCTGGAAAGGAAAGCCTAAGACGGAGTGCGGAATTCACAACCCCAAGTCGCGGTATGCCCAATTCCTTCTGCAGCAAGAGCTGAGGCGGCAAGAGGAAGAAATAAGCGAGCAGCTGCAGAATACGTCGTTGGCTGCATAAGGCTGAATGTCGTCATCGGATATTTTCTTTAGTGGTCATATTCGTTGCATTTCAGCATTGGCGTTGGGGCATGAGCGGGCTGCATGAGGAACATGAACATGAGCATAGCTCCCCTGGAGGTCACACCAGATTGTGACGAGCAGATCCGGGGTTGAGATACCAAGAGACCAGGACATTGTCCTGCACACTGTAGACATTTCAAATGAAGAGAATAAAAATGCACACAAGTGCGCTGTGAATTGTGATGTGTTGCAAGCTGCTACCAGTGTGAGGCGTAGAGGTACCTCCACACGGCATCTGACAAAAGCCCTCGTGCTATTGCGCAATCCTTCCAAGAAATTGCCGATCAAACGTTGCACCGGTTATAGCTAGGCTAGCAGCGGTTCCAAGATTGTGCCATACGCTCACTACTGAATGGTGGGCGAAATATGGGCGAAACTCCCCGGTCGTGGATACATAAACCAAGCTCCGACCCGACCGAAAATTTTATAGCTACTCTCCGCCCTTTTGCACATCTTCTCCTCTTCCCCTCCATACTCCTCACTGTCCGAGCGCGTGTGGCGTCTTCCCTGCTCGCTGACGTTTGCAGCGAGCGCTTTGAACCACGGACTGACGACGCCGTCTACGACGATTCTCCACGCCCTCTTATTCTAAACGGCGAGGTGCGCGGCCACGCAAAACGAGCCATTGACCTCTCATTTCCCCGTCTTTAAAGGACACAGTCGACCTACGCACTCCTCCCTTCGCACACTTCTTGCAAAATGGCGAACCCACCCCACGGTAAGCTCGGTCATCCGGCGACTGCGAACAGCGAGGCAGAGAAATTGGGCTGACAAATTGGGACAGGCGGAGTCCTCAAGGACCTGATTGCGCGCGATGCGCCGCGGCGCAGGGAGCTGTATGCGGAGGCGGAGAAGCTGCCTGCGATTGTGCTGTCGGAGAGGCAGCTGTGCGACCTGGAGCTCATCCTGAGCGGTGGTTTCTCGCCGCTGGAAGGTGCGTCGGTGCTTCGTGTGTCGCGGGGCCGACCTTGCGCCCCTCGTGTTTGCCCTGTTTGCATCCCGGCCTCGGGGACGGCAGGATACTCACGCAGACTTCGCAAGTGCAATTGGACGGCGCAATGGCTGACTTGAGGACGCGTAGGCTTCTTGAACCAGAAGGACTACGAGGGGTATGTGCTCCTAAGCTTCTGGAGCTTCGACGCCAGAGCTAACATCCTACAGCGTCGTCAAGGACTGCCGACTCGCCGACGGAAGCCTCTTTAGCATCCCCATCACCCTCGATGTCTCGCAGGAAACGATCGACCGCGAGGGCGTCAAGCCCGGCGCCCGCATTGCGCTCCGCGACTTCCGCGATGACCGCAACCTCGCCATCCTCACCGTCGACGACATCTACAAGCCGGACAAGTAGGGAGACACGCACAGGGAGACATTAGAGCGTCACTGACCGCTCTACAGGGAGAGCGAAGCTAAGGAGGTCTTTGGAGGTGACCCCGAGCATCCGGCTATCAAGTACCTCTTCGACACGGCACAGGAGTTTTATGTCGGCGGCAAGCTCGACGCTATCGACCGGCTGGAGCATTATGACTATGTTGGTCTTCGATGTGCGTTGCAACCATACGGGACTTGCGAACCTGAAGCTGACCTCTATAGACACTCCCGCAGAGCTTCGTCTGCACTTCGACAAGCTGGGCTGGTCCAAGGTCGTGGCATTTCAGACGAGGTGCGTATGGCGCTTACAGCAGGGGACGTATCTGACCCTTCTTCAGAAACCCTATGCACCGCGCTCACCGAGAACTCACCGTCCGCGCTGCCCGTGCCCGTCAAGCTAACGTCCTGATCCACCCTGTTGTCGGTCTCACCAAGCCTGGTGACATTGATCACTTCACCCGTGTCCGCGTCTACCAGGCGCTGCTCCCCCGATATCCCAACGGGATGGCTGTGCTTGGTCTTCTGCCTTTGGCTATGCGCATGGGTGGCCCTCGCGAGGCCATCTGGCACGCCATTATTCGCAAGAACCACGGTGCTACTCACTTCATCGTTGGACGTGACCACGCCGGTCCGGGCAAGAACTCTAAAGGCGTTGATTTTTACGGCCCTTATGACGCCCAGCATGCGGTGGAGAAGTATAAGAGCGAGCTTGGCATTGATGTCGTTCCCTTCCAGCAGATGACGTACCTTCCAGACTCGGATGAGTATAGGCCGAAGGATGAGGTCCCAACCGGCGTGCGGACTCTTGATATCTCCGGCACAGGTACGTTTACTCTCCCTTTCTCCTCGAACAACACAATTCGCTGCTAACGACTGCTATAGAACTCCGCAAGCGTCTTCGCACTGGCCAGGAAATTCCCGAATGGTTCTCCTACCCCGAAGTCGTTAAAGTCCTCCGCGAATCCCATCCTCCGCGCAGCAAACAAGGCTTCACCGTCTTCCTGACGGGCTACCAAAACTCTGGCAAAGACGCCATCGCCCGCGCCCTCAACGTCACCCTCAATCAGCAAGGTGGGCGCTCCGTCTCGCTCCTCCTAGGTGAGACGGTCCGCAGCGAGCTCTCCTCCGAGCTCGGCTTCTCTCGCGCAGACCGCGACATCAATATCGGCCGTATTGCATTCGTAGCCTCCGAACTTACTAAGGCTGGTGCAGCCGTCATCGCGGCACCAATTGCACCGTTTGAGGAGAGCAGACAGCATGCGCGCGAGCTGGTGGAAAAGTATGGCAGCTTTTATCTGATTCACGTGGCGACGCCGCTCGAGTATGCGGAGAAGACGGATAAGAGGGGAATCTATGCCAAGGCACGAAATGGCGAGATCAAAGGATTTACGGGCGTGGATGATCCGTATGAGGTGCCGAAGAAGGCGGACCTGACGGTTGACATCTCGACGAGTAATGTGCGTACGGCGGTGCATCAAATTGTGCTGCTGCTTGAGGCCGAGGGCCTGCTGGAGCAGCTGTAAGTGGTGCACATCCCGGGGGAGAGAAGAGCAAAATGTGGAAGACCCTGATCGGACTGCATATGGAAGATTTCATATTTGCTTTTTCTTTTAAAATATGATAGACAAGGCATACAAGACGCAGGAGATGAGATGAGGTTTTGATAAGGTTTATGCATTAGATCGACCGAATGCCACGCGGGAAACCCCTGGGGGCATGCAAAAGCGAATTCAACTTGGCTCCTTCTGGAGAAGATGTCCATGCATCGGTGACATGGAGCTGATCTGGTACTGGGTTTCCCACCCGTTGGCTTGGGCCGATCGATAAGGCGAGCACGCAAGATGCACGTCGATTGCGACATCCCGAGGGGCGATTGGCATTGATGGGCACCTGCACGTTGGGCTCCACATTACAGCACGCGAATGATGGACGGATACTCAGACTCGTTGTACCGGTACAAGATCGCATGTACCAAACCCGCGCACTTGCCTCTTCCTCCTGAACCCTACTCTATCCTATCCTACCCGCCCCCCAACGTCCCCACAGCCCCCCTCACAATCCGCCGAATCTGCCTCCACCTCCTCCCCAGCACATCCTTCTGCTCACTCGCCGTCTCATCCAGCCCCTCTACCTCCTCCAGTATCTCCATAACCTGCCTCTCGTACTTGACCAGCAGGCCGAGCAGGTACGCGTCCACGCGGGCCTGGTCTGCGGCGCTGTCGTCGGTCCCGCTTACGAAGGCGGCGTAGCGCCGGTGCGGGAGCGTGAGCAGGCGCAGCACGGCTTGGGTGCGGTGGCAGATCGCTGCTGCTGCTGCTGCTGCTGGGGAGGAGGAAGCGGAAGGGGAGAGAGTGTAGTTAGCACAAAAGCCGTCTTCCTTCAGCGTAGCGAGCTGCGCGGCGGAGAGCTGCGGGAGGATAATGTGGTCGAGTGCCAGCGCATCGCACGCGTTCTCCTCCAGAATAAAGCCGTACTCCGCAAGCAAGAAATCATTCGTGTGCGACCCGTACGACACGCAGACCTCCTCGCCGGCGCTGTAGTCGCGATCTGCGGTTACGGAGTAGCCGCTGCGGTCGTGCGCCGGGTCGCACCCGCGCGGCGAGTGGTTGAAGTAGTCCATGAAGGGTACCATGGCGTAGCAGTCGTCGGCGGTGAGGTTGCTGCGCTTCTTGGGGAGCCGCGGGTGCGCGGGGGGCAGGTCCGGGTACTCCCAGTAGAAGGTGCGCGTGCTGACGAGCAGCCAGGCGTGGGTGAAGAGGGGCTTGGGGAGGTGCGAGAAGGTGGGGAGTGAGTGGATGGAGAGGTAGTCTTTTTCGAGCTTGGAGCGTTGGGCGGTGAGGAGGACTGGTTGGGTCATGTTAGTTAACATGTGCTGAATGAATTAAAAGGTTTGAGAGAGTTGGGTTGGGTTGGGTTACCTACCGTTCGCGGCGTTTGGGAGCAGGTCTTGCAGTTTCTTGGGCCAGTGGATCGGCAGGATGGTTTCGAGGTCTTGTTCGCTGGGCCAGACGGCTTGCCATGGCGTAAGCTCGCCGCCTTTGTTGGTGAACGAAAGAGCTAGGTAGGCGGCGAGGCGGGCGTGTACGGTGGTTTTTGCGGGGAATTTGAGGGCTTGGATTGAGGGATGGGCTACGGTGATGAGTGAGGTGCTGCGGACGTGGACTAGCTGGTCTCCTTTCTTGAACGCTTAGCATGATGTTTTAATACCATGAACTACCTACAAGCAAGGAGAACTGAAGACTGGAAGGGGATATGACTTTTAACTGTCATATATACCGGAAGTAGAAGCGAATAGGCCTCTCTCCGGAGGGTATAAGACGCCAGTGGAGCAATGCTCCTTCTCTGGGGCGGAAACAATTCGACGGAGCAGCAAGAGAGTATCTGACTAACCTTCAAGTCCTTCGCCGCCACGATGCCCATTCCTCTATCCACGAACTTTGCTGGAGCAACGCCATTGATCTGCACGCCATTCCTCTTCGCCCACTCAGTGAAGCGCGTATGCTCTTCGCCCGGATCCAAAGCTGCCATATCCCTCTTGTGCAAAGTGTTATCTTTCTAGGCTACCTGCGCATAGCTGATTGTTGGTAGATCTGCGATGTACGGGCGGCTCTGAGTCAATGAGGAGTGAATTGATGAAACGCTGTGGCGGTGAATGTGGCGCATGCTATCGATAGCCAAAGCCACCAAGGCGCTAAACCCCTTTCTATGGAACGCGACGCGATTACATCAAACCCGCCCGCATCCACTTTCCAACTCACCTCCCGCCGCAATTGTCTGGTCTTCTTGAAAAATAACCATGTCGGAGTCTGCGCGCAAGAAGCAGCGCGTCGGTTCGCGCACATCTGAAGGGGCGGCCGACAACAGCGGGACCATCTACGCAGATGTACGTGCTTAATCCTGTCAACGCCGCTTTGCTCTAACGCTTCTCCAGCTGCAACGCCTCGCGACCGCTGCTCCAAAGCCCGTCACTCCTTTCCGACGTGCTGTCAGCGTCACTCCGACACCCGGCAGCAGACCAATTCGTACGCCAGGTACCGGGAGAACGCCCCGAGGCGGACCCGCTACGCGTCCTACCCCCATCCGACGAAACGCGCCGACTACTCCGCATGCGATTCGCGCTTTGAGGGAGCGCGCAAATGCGGCGAGGACCCCGGGGCGGAGGAGAAGCGGGAGGACACAGAGAGAGACACCGCGGGATATTCTGCGAGATCTGAGTCGAGTACTTGCGCGCGACACCCGGCCCGTCCAGCCTTCTCCGCAAGAACAACAGCGTCGCCCTCGACATTCCGCGCTCGATCTCCCAGATGTGGACGATGGCCCCGATCCTGCTGTACCGCGCCTTTCCATGCCGCTGGAGGATATGTACGACGATGATAGTTTCCACGAAGCTCCTCCGCGGCAATCGCTCCTTCCCAACCTACCAGACGATGTAGATAACGGAACCATTCAATCGCTTGAATTTGGAAGACGGGCAATTAGCGAGGATCCGCGGATGATGTTCACAACCAGGGTCAGCGAGCGATTCGCGGATATCAATGAATTGGGCATAGACGGGGAGGAGTACGAAGTCGATGGGACGTTCATTAACCGCAGACGTACGCTCAACCCGGATGAGCTGCTTGAGGATGTGGCAGAGGAAGACTTAGATGATACGACCACGGAGATACGAGCTTTGACAGGGCGACGAGATGGACGACCAAGCGATGTCGACCTGGGCGTGTTCGGCGAAATGGACGACGATACGGAAGAGCCCACATTCAGGTTTACCATTCCACCGCGCATGCAAGCTCAAGCCCGAGACGGAGCGCGAGAGGACACGCAAGAAAGGGTGCAAGAGATGGGCGCGCAGATAGACGGAGATGAGGATGATATTCAAGCTGGGGCCGGGGAAGATCAGGAAGAAACTGCTGTTATTCCAGGCGGCGATGACGATGACGACGAAGGCAGTTTTGGGATCACCGGGTGGGAATCAGAGCACGACAATGCAGACGATGCCGATCTTCAAGCCTACCGCGGAGAAGTGTCCGCCTTCGACCGCAGCCTCCAAACACAATCTCCCGAACGGCGTGCGACGAAACAGCGCGCAGATCGACAGCGCAGGGCCCTCAACATCTCCAGGTTCGGCCATGAATATCCCTCGTTCCCCGCGGCTACAGTCAAAACCCTCGCAACGGGCTTTGCGAAGTCTCAAGGCAGCAAGGCCAAGATCAGCAAAGACACTCTCGCAGTACTAGTGCAGACTTCAGATTTCTTCTTCGAGCAAATAGGCGAGGATCTAGCGGCGTATGCACAGCATGGTGGAAGGAAAGTGATCGAAGAAAGCGACGTTATCGCTCTAATGAAGAGGTATGTTACAGTTTACATTTACTGTACAGATGTCTACATTTGTCCAATAAGGCGGCTGACCCTTCTTTCTTAGGACACGCCAGATTACAAGTAATAGCACATCGTTCTCCCTGGCGCAGAAATTGCTGCCAAGGGAACTGCTACAGCAGCTTCGAATGGGGCCTCTACCCAAATTTAAGAGGCAAAGGCGCAAGCGGCTGGAAAGGGTTGATGAGGAAGAAGAGGCGGGATGAAGAAGCATGCGGTATTATGATCATGACCATTCATGGCTGTGCCGGACGCGCTTTTGGGTGCCGGACAGCGGTTTTTTAACCACCATCCAGAACATGATGGATGTCGCGAGACTCAGTGCGTACCTGACACGTCAGCGGTATATCCAGAGAGAGGAAAAACCGGGGGCTTACCAAGTGAAGATGTACTGTGTATGATTATTCCTGAGGTTCACGGCCGCAGCCCTCCCCACGGGGATTCCCTTGGGTTCCCTCTCATAGTTGACGAGTAGATCCGGCGCTGTCATTAGTTAGACAACCGCAACCAATACCATTCATCAAGCCCCGCAAGGAAACTCACTCATCGTCTCCTCCACCCAAACAGGCTGACTCCCCGTCCACGCCGCCATCTCCCTCACATCCGGAAAAAACCACTTCCCCTCCTCCGGCCTGTTCCTCGGCGTAAACATATTCCCCTTCGGCGGCACCCTCAGCAGGCCCTCCACCACCACCTCCCCCTCCGGCAGCGCCCCATTCTTCTTCCGAAACCACTGCTTCGCCGTATCCTTCCGAATCCAGCCCCGACAGCACAGAATCTTGTACTTATTCCCCCGCTCGTCCTCGCGCTCCAGCGGCGTGACTACCGTATACCCCTCCTCGCCCTCCAGCATGCGCGGCCCGATCAGCATCTCCTGGTCGTGCCGCAGCCGGCCCCGCGCCCAGACCCGCCGGTAGTCGAAGTCCTGCACCGCGGCCTGGTCGATGCGCAGCGGCAGCTCGAGCGGCGGGAACGTCAGCCGGTCTTCGAACCGCGCGACCAGCTCGGTTTTCCAGCCCAGCCGCTGCACTTGCCAGCACCCGAGGATGAAGGCTGTCACGGGGATGACGGCCAGGATTATTAGACCGGGGCCGTGCTGCTTGCCGACGCGCGCTATTTTCGCGGGGCGGTCGAGGATTGAGATGAAGTTTGGGTCGAGGCCGTTGTTTTTGCGGGGGCGGCTGCTGCTGAGCGGGCGTCGGGGGAGGAGGGTGAGGCGGTGCCAGCGCAGGCGTTCGCGGAGGCATTGCGGGCGTGCGGAAGGGTGGGGGAGGCTGGACGAGGGGCGTTGGAAGGCGCGGCGGGTGTAGTACCGCCGGAAGAGGTTGAGGAAAGGATTTGGTTTCGGCATTGCTGCGCGAGATGGCAGTGGTAGGATGGTGGAGAGAAAGTTGATGTCGGATGTTGGAGGAGCTCCGCTTAGCGGCCCGCGGGGGGCTCGAAGGAGACTAGCGGCCGGAACAACCTCCAGGGCTTCTACACAGCAAGCTGCACGCACGAACGAACTTCCTAACCTTACCAACTTCCAGCTTGTCCAACATGGCAGAAGTAGATATCCAGTCGGTACCAAAGCCCCAGCCAGAGATCCGCGCTAAAGACGACCTCGTCTCGAAACTCGACGATCTACTGGGGCAGTACCTAAACACGCTGGACGAGTATCAGAAAGCGCAGCAGCAGCTGTCGAAGCATCTATCTGCCGTAAGCATACGCATACTCTCTTTCTTTCCATATACACAGACTAACGTTAATGGGGCTGCCTAGGGTTTCTTCTCCCTAGCGCAAGCAAACTTCAACTCTTCGCGCACGCAGTACGGACAGGATTACTATGACGAGAGGATGCAAGCTTCGAGGAAGGTGTACGTCTAGCTTCCTGATCCCCTTCCCCTCACATTATATCGCGCTAGTTATTGTCGCTGTGACGTCGAGCTGATGATGCTATTAGCACATTAACGGAGGAAGGATCCAAAATCGCCTTCTCCCTGTCTACGGCGGACGCGCCAGCCTCTAAGCAAACACCATCTGAAGCGGAAAACCCGTCCGCTGCACCAGACGCCTCTCCCGAGGATGCTCCTGCAGAATCAGAAGCAGAGGCCTCCCCGCCAGAAGAGAAAGTCGCCGACGACGACGAAACTACCAAGGACCGCAAAACGAACGCAGATCCGCTTCGCTGGTTTGGCATCCTGGTGCCGCCTGCTTTACGCTCCGCCCAAGCGTCTTTCATTGCCGGGGTTGAGGGGCCGGTGCCTCGGCTCGCTACTCTGGCTAAGAATCTTAGGGTGCAGGAGATTGAAGTCGGGCGGCTGAGGAAACAGATCAACAGGCTGTAGATACGAGGCGCAATTCCTCTTGGCTGGAAGTTCGGGTGTGACATTAAGTACAAGGCCCAAAGCAGTCTCCAGCCAATTAGGCTTGTTATTCTACAGCATGAAAATCGACCCGTGCCATGAAAGAAGCACCGGGAAGACCTGACTCATATAGCTCACGTCGCCAAGGTATCGTTAAGAACAAACCGGGGCTCCTTCGCTGATGCGAGTCACACCATGTCCATCAACACTCAGGTACTCTTGCTTTGCGAACCTGGCCGAATGCATTCACTGGGGCAACACGCGCCGTATCCAACGACAATCGAAGAGTCGCAATTGAAACCCGAAACCCTTTCACAAAGTCCACATGAGACTTCTTCAGCGGAGAATCTCACCACCCGTCTTCTTCCTTCTTGACTACTGGCCCATCGTTCTCCTCGCTCCCCTGAAGCCTCGCCCTCTTGGCTACTGGCCCATCGTTCCTCTCGCTCTTCTGCAAAATCGCCTTCATCGTCTCAATGTCCGCCGCGATGGCTGGGCGAATATCCCGCAACCGCGCACGGACAGCCATACCCTCGGCGGACACGGCTTGTGTAGGCGGGACCGAAAGCAAAGGGGACTGGCCGTAGCCAGCTTCTTCCAAGTCGCTGACCACGCCATCGATCATTTTCAAGATGTGAGGAGCCGTTCTCGAGGCATGCTTCTTGCACTCGTCGCTGATGCTGAGCGCAGAGCGGGTTCGGAGAAATTCCCGGAGAGCAGGAATGCCGCATTCAGCTGGCGAGAGCACCGGTTCCTTGTGGGCTGGCAGCTCTCCCATCCATTCTAGGTACTTCATGGAAGAGACCGAGAATACATGGATGGCTTCTCTGTTGGCATCCCACTGTCGATATTTCTGGATCATCTCTGATTGTAATCGCTCCGCGCGGAGGCGAATGTAGATCGATTTAGCTTTGCACTCGAGGTACTCGATGTATCGGTCCAAGTCCTCCTCCGCGGTAGACTCTGCTGGTGTGGTGTCGTCGTCATCTCGCTCTTCGAGCTTGATGGGTTGATTGTGCTCGTTTCGAGTCACCAACCTATGGAGGTTATGCTGACCAATGGGAAGGTAGAGATTCCGGCTCTCGAGCTGCTCCAAATCCTTCTTTGCATGTGCGCGGTACTCTCGGATTGTCGGAAACGGCGCTGCTGTCTCGGTGCGGATGATGTTTTCGAAGCTGTAAGTATCCGCGAGGAAGTCCTACAGAATATTAAGCGACAGCTGATTATGGGATCAGCGTAGTAGAACATACATCAATCTTCGTCAAGACAAGAATCGTCCGCTTTGCACCGCGCGTCTTAATGCTCTGCTTTAATTGCAGCTCGACAGCTATGTCGTCAAGAATCCGGTCGGAGACGTCCACGATAATTTCATAATCCGCCGTGCGGCGGACCCAATTCGTGGACAATGTGCGTGCTTGGTTGATGTCGCCAAGTCCTGATGATCTCAGCTTGTTTGATGAGTGCATAGTGCTCGAACCCAACTTACCGGGCAGATCGAAGATACTGATACGGCGACCCAAGAGTTCCGAGCCCGTATAAACAACAACCCAATCGACGATAAGCCATAAATCTGGCCTATCGTTTTCATGAGTGATGTATGGGTCGAGTTGCGAAGCAACCTCTCGACCAGACTGGGCAGGCAAAGTCTTACTACCCCTCTCGTCGAAGCCATGTCGCTGCTTCAGTTCGAAGAATTTGGAAACGACATATCCGACGATTTCACTCTTGGCAGGCTTAGCCTGGCTAAGCAGTTCTTGGAGGCCAGATTCCGCGGTAGGATCGTTGTCGGCATTACAGAACCAACGGAAAAACCTCTCCGCGGCTCTCGCATCCTCTCGCAACTCCTCCCGCCCTTCTGTTACCTGGCCATCACTGCCTTGGATGGTGCTGCAATGGTATCGTAGCCACTTATCCACGAAGGTTCCGATCAGGGACTTCATCTTGCCGAAGGGCTTACTCTGTACTTGAGCGGAGTATAGGTCTTGATCGTCTCCGAACAGCGGAGTATGCTCGTACTTGATCGGGCACGAGGTACACCCACGGCCACTTAAGCTCGTATTTCTCAGAGTCTTGCGATGGAGTAGCGCGTTGACCAAGAGACTCTTGCCTCGGCCTTGACTACCAATGACACTGATTGAGATCGGACGATCGTTGGTGATACTGTCGATGGCATATTGGATAACGGACAGCTTCTCATCGTCAGAGTTGCTGTGGCCTAATATGTCCCTGAGCGACGATGCTATTCGCCCTAGGATTCGGTCAATGGCCTTGCGGTCAGGGTCCGAGAGTTTCTGGTCGGAAACGCGCCCGGCGGTGCCAGAGCAGACGCGGTCGTCCTGGAGTTGGTATGGCTGTGAGACGTTCGGCCTCTGTTGGGCGATAAAGGCTTCGAAAGCGAGGATCTCAGGGGTCGGTTCCATTGTGGCAATGCTGACCTAATGTGTGCAAGACAGGAAGCTCCACTTCAAGTGGCGGCTTCTCAGATCAGATGAGGAGTGGCAGCTCCTCAGAGCAGATGCGAAGTGGCAGCTTCTCAGAACAGATAGGAAAGGGCAGCTTCTCAAACCAGACGCGAAGTGGCAGCTACTCAGAGCGGATAGGAAAGGGCAGCTTCTCAGAGCAGATAGGAAAGGGAGCACTGTGCTACTTACTCGGTTCACGAGAGGAAACCTCATCCAACGGCGGCCAGCAGAGCGAAAAGATATCCCACCGTAAGAACGAGGACAGTGGTTGAGCGAAGAAGAAGGTCGGAGAGAAGACGCGCGAGGCAAAGATTTTGCGCGCTTAGCGTTTGTTTACGCGGCCGGCAGCTTCTGTGAAAGGAAAGAACGGGCTGCGCGGGCGAAGGAAATGAGGCCGGGCTGCGCACCACAACAAGAACTCGGTGATGTCATCGCCTCTGCGCCAGAATACCTATGCAGTCAGCTAGGTATGCGTGCTCAGTGCTTTATTGCAGCGTAGTTGATAGACGCGTGCATCACTCACTCTGCAGGCTGCCTTCTGCGCGCACTCCGTCGTCTTGAGACACGCCGTGGGACGCGCTGACGTGCGTACGCTTGAGGGTCTTCGCTTATGAGAGCGAATCTCTATGAAGTTGGCTGTACGGCTGCAAATGCCATTGAAATGCATGCTGACCGTAGGTGGAGTGCCCATGTGTGAGCGGAGGTCGGATTAACGCTAAGCCCAACCTGGCGCGCAGTCAATCGTCGTCGCTGTTTCTCCCCGGTCTGGGCTTGTCTCCTTTCATTCATCAATCTTGATATATTCCTCTGAAGTTAATGCATCTCACATTCTGGGTGCTTCTGAATGGATTGCAGCGGTTTGGGGATGGGAACGTACCGGCACCGCTCTCGAAACAACTCTATATGGACACGGTCATGCTTTCAACTGCCAAGGTGGAAAAGCAGTTCAAAATCGCCGGTACGTTTCATTCAGCCCCGTAGAGTCAATGAGCTAATGGAAAGATCGCAGTCCTCCTCTACTGCCATATAGCCTCTGCTGTGGTGCTCGTCTTAGTCTCACAGGAAGTAATTTGTAGTGCAACTACCGTCGTCAACAACGGCCCTCATTTTGACCAGCGTATCGCGAAGATTCGGCGATGGCACAATTTGTACATTGGAAGCTCCATGCTCGTGGGGTCTACCCGCTGCGTTAGGAAATATCCAACAGCTCTCTGTATAGTTATTTTACTAAGTATAGCCTGACTCTTTCTCCTGCGCTAGGAAAGGTCCCATAATGTAGTTGACATTTAGGCGCAGATGGCGAAGAGGGTGACTAGACCGATTGTCGTATCTCGCGTCCACGGCATTCCGTAGAGGGCAGAGATGCGCTGGAGGGTCGCAGTAAGGAAGCTTGGTAGTCAAGAGCGATGAAAGTTGACTCTATTCTCCCGGCTTCACCATACCTGACTGGTACCTTAACAATTCAGACTCGGGCTACCTGGCCAAAGTCTGGATCGAGCGCACTTGTGCATCGCTATCGAGAAATCAGATTTGAGTCGGCAAGTGTCTCGCATATCCATTCAGTCGGGAATCCGATTTGGGAGCGGACATGATGAGAGCCTCGCCTGAAAAGGATGTAACACGTAACGATGGCACAGCACAAAAGTGTCGCTTCCGGGCTGATCTGGGACGATTCTGGTTTGCCTAGGTATGTGCTGAACATGTGACTGTTAGAAACTATTCGCTTCACGTGCCAGGGCTGAAGACTTAGCTGATTGGAGGCCTTGTGCAGCCGAGCGATTCAACGACAGCATGTTGTGAGGCGGAGTCTGCATATGTGGCTGCCTTTCCATAGCCGGCTCTATCTGATTGGTGATAAAGGGCAATTCAGATTTGGGAACGGATGTGGGACTCACCGGACCGGGTGCGGGACGGTTCAGCCTTGCGCCCTCGGGGTGATAACAAAGAGGACAACCCTTTCTCATCACCACAATGGTTTTGGTACAAAAGTCTATTAGGTGGTTTTTCGCTATCGCAGCATCGTCCTTGGACGATATTGGACCAACGGATGAAATGCCGACGACGTCGTCGCCGCATACCGGATGTAAAATCGGAGAAACTAAAAGACGCTGTTAGCCGTCTCTTCCTCGAGGGGAGCAGGAAGCTTTAAGGAGACGATTTACCCTTCGGGCTGCGATTTTAGCGCGAAAGAGGCACGAGAGGATGCGACGTGCAACGTGGAGGATGAGATCTCGATCGGTGGACGAGCGATCATGACACCATAGTCGTCAACATGGGAACGCACAAGATCATCGGATGCGGAGATGGCTAGATTATTCGAGTGATCCTATCTCAATCATGGCTTTGTAGATGTCCTTGAAGCCTGGAAGAGAAATCCAGACGCATATAGGCATCCTAGCATCTACGGCGATCAACGCCCCGCCTAGGTGTTACTGCTACACAGGAGAGGATTGTGTAGCCATTGCGTGACGCTGAAGTCTTTGTGCGGGGCCAATAATTACCTCAGCCCTGCTCCGCCTCTTTCAGCCTTCCTCAGCCACAATACACTGGCCTTGCCTTGTCCTGTCCTATATCCTTCAGAGTCTTCCCTCCTTATAGTTTCTCGCTCTTTGAGCCTACGAAAAATGCCTCTTTTGCTGCCAGACCCCAATCTCGGCAACGTTAGTGACTGGTCACACAGCACCATTTTCACAACAACTCGCTCCACATTCGAATCAACCGACGTGCCGCCGCTCACGAGTCTGTGGAAACCCCCAGGTGGCTGCGCCGATAAATGGGTGGCCGGAAATATAACCTTTGATATAACTTACGTTGAGCCAAGAAGCAAACCTGATGGAACAAGTTACCAGACACCCGTCGAGAGGGATGTGACCTCGTCGGCAGACCCACGAACCGGCTTCGCCCCTCTCAGCACGACTTCAGAGGGCCTACGAGACGTATTCACGGTCTCTTTCGTCGCTTTCAGTACGAACCCAGGGAATCCACCCGTTGGAAGGCTGTTCGACCCCTCGTACAGCGCATGCCAGCCCTATGGTCACGCATCAAAATATAGCCCGGGAATCTGTCCCGACGGCCAGACTGTCGCCGAAGTAACGGAATATCAATATAGCAGGACATCTGGCAGTGTCGAAACCTCCTTCGAGGCAAGCTGCTGCAGAAGGTTTGTCAAAGCCAACACTATATTGTTCTCAGTACCGTGCTAACAAGAAGCGCAATAGTAGCTTGACATTTCGTCGGGAGTGGAGAGGAGAATGTATTGGTAACATCACTACCCCCTTCGAAATCTACGCACCCTTCACGACGACCTTGGCGGATCAACCCGAAACTGTGATAGTCACATACGAATACACTGCGCGAATATTTATGGCTAGCAGTTACGGGACCGATGGCTACTCTACCGCTGCATTTTCGCATATGACGACTGTCACGGCTGGATTGATAGCGGCCGACCCCATCGTAGTTGCCTGGCAAAAGAAAGACCTATCGGTATTCCCCACGGAGTACGTATCATCACTACAGCAAAAGTTCAGTGTGACTTGGGTTCCTTCACCGACACCGGCGAGCACGTCCGCTCTACCCCAGCAAACCAACCCACCTTCCAACGACTTGGGTACTGGAGCAAAGGCAGGCATAAGCATTGGAGCGGTTCTTGGCGTAGCTGGGCTGGTAACCGCGATAATACTGCTCCTGATTAGGGGAAGACGGAAGGGCAGGGTCACAGCGCCAAATGATGAGAGTGGGGGCTTTCCGGAGATGGAGGACTAGGAATGGAGTCACCTTGAAAGAAGCCCTGAGCTACTACATATGTACCTAAAGGAAAAAGCAACCATACGAAAGTGATCGAACCTACCCCTAGAACAACCCAGTCATAGCTGACAAACATCATCCAGTCCAAGCACCATGGCTGCTCCTGCGGCCTGACACGCCTCGGCATACACTCTCTCCACCACTAGCACCGCTGCAGCATGCCCATTCTCGTCAGCAAACCTAAGGGCACGCTTGTATTGCTTTCCATCATCTGCAAGAAGATCCACCCCCTTTTCCGCGAGAAACAGTAGCATTTCAATTCGACCATGCTCAGCAGCGCCCTCAAATGCAGTTCGACCCAGCATAAGCCCCGGCGGTGCGTTCACCTCCGCACCCCGCTCTATGAGAAGAGCGACAACTCCCATGAGACCCTTCGCAGCAGCAAGTTGTAGAGCGGTGCCGCCCTCGCGCATGGCGGGAGGCTCGTTTGGGTCTGCGCCCTTCTGGAGCAAGTAGTGGAGGATGTCGAACGCGCCGCATTCCGCAGCCGCCTGGAGAGGAGTGCGCTTGATGCCAAGTTTTGCTGGCAGGTCTATCCTCGCTCCCGCATCGACTAATAACTGGACTTTGGCAAGCTGCCGCGTTGCGATCGCTTTCAACATAGGGGTGATATTTGCAGAGGGCAGGGGGGCTTCGGCCTGTATCTCCACTATTCCGTTAAGATCCGCGCCGTGTTGCAGAAGAATTATTATCATATCCAAACTCCTGGCGCTCTCTTTGGCAATCGCAGCCCCAAACGCCGCGATCTTCGATTCGGACCGTCCAATATCAGTAGGGATCAAATGGTTAACGTCGGTGGACTTGGCAAGCAAGCCCAACAGGTCAAGATCTTCTGTTTGGACGGCACTGTATAGCGCCTCCGCTCCAAAGCCCCTCAGGTGCCTCGGATGCATTTTATTGACTGCCTCCAGCAGTAAACGTGTGGTGGCCATGTTTCCGGTCGAAGTTGCTTCGAGAAGGGCAGCGTTATCGCATGGGTTGACTCCCCGAGCTATCAGTTCTTGGACTAGTGGTAAGTTCTTCACACGTACCGCGGCAAAAAGCGGAGTTATCACCGCTTTTTCCGATTTGCGACGGAGCTCTTTCTCGTGGGGCATGAGGTCCAAGGGAGCATTGAGGTCAAGCAAGAGGTCAATCACTCGTTGATCTCCTCTGAGAATGGCAGTAGTCGCAAGAGGATAGATGCCAGGCAGATCGAAGGGCATTTTCCATCCAGCGGTAACCGAAGTCCCCTCAGAATCCCAATAGCTTTCCAGCGAAACACCTGCAGCGATGAAAGCGCGAATAGTTTCCAGGCTCCCTGAAAGTACTGCTAGATGTAGCGCAATGAAACAGCCTGAAAAGTCCGAGAGTCCTTCCATTATGACTTGAGCCAATTCGATTTCTCGCTCCCAAAGGGCTTGCCCGAGGGAGCTCACATCTGGGGCTATACCGCTGGCCAGAAGCTTCGGTACCAGGTGGGCGTGGCCGCTACGAAGCGCCGAGCAGATCGAGTTGTCTTCATAAAAGACGGAAACCCGAGCATGTCTCTTGCTTAGCGGAAAGATTTCCCAAAGCGATAGAAGATAGTCCAGCAGACCCTCATTCCCAGACCCACAGGCCGCCTCGATGCTTTGTAGGAGAGCTCTACGTGCTCCCCTCAATTTGGAGAAGAACCCAAGGCGCCAGAACATCTCGAGCACTTCCGCTGATCCCGATCGTATTGCTTCCGCGATGGGAGTCTTCACCCCTGTGTGGTAGTGGTAGTTGGTATCCGTGACGGATATACCCATGCCGAGAAGGTATGTGATGGCAGGCAGGTTCTTCTCTATGACGGCATAGCTGAGACATTGCGGAGTTGGCGTAGCACCGGCCTCAAGTAAGCTCCAGAAAGCATCCATGTTACTTCGAGAGAGAGCGGTGGAGAGACATTTGGTCATAGTCGACGTGAACAACGTCCTCTGCCTCGTGTGCTCGTCCCACTCTCTGATTAAGACTAATTGAACAATCTGAGCGGCAGTCTTGTGTTCGCAAAATCGAAGCACCTTGTTGATGAATTCCGACTTTATAAAGGCTTCATAGTTGGGGCCAGGGATGTTCTCCACACAAGTCCAGAACACACCGGTGTCTCCGAGCTGACTAATTCTCAATATATCGTCCGCGTCGACCATGAGACCAGCGTTCAGAAGTAATCCGAGAATTCGACCGCTCATGGGTGGTAAACCTTGGCGCTTCGCGTCGTGAGGGATGCAGCATTCAAGTGTCTGTCGATGTAGAAATCTGTTTGGATTTACGTTGTGATCGAGGAGATATTGAACGATTTCGATTTGTCCATGTATGCATGACCGCTCCAAGGGAGTGTACTGTACACCATCTACTGTCGTAACCACCTTGTTTGGGTCGAGTCCTCGATTGAGAATGGTCTTTACCAACTGGTGCGCCCCTACCTCAATGGCAGCACAGAGTAGGCTGCGCTCCATCGCCTGGGAGAACTCTTTTGGCATGGACTCAAGCAGCTGGCTGAAGCGGAGCGGTTGGAGTTCGTTGAAATACTGGATAACCTTCCTGAAAAGCTCATCCATTGGACCTTCTGGCGTCGCTAGTCTCTCAAGGGGGAGAAGATTATTGACCAATGCGGTAATGACGACGTATACCATTCGAACGTCGGTGGTTTGTGAAGCGAGTGCTTCATTGGTGTCCGGTGTGCACAAAGAATGTAGCGGAAAGTTCGCCAGGCCGATGGGCTCTCTCGAATTCCGTATGACGCCCTGGATAAGGCCGAAAATATGTTTATCTAGGCGAGTAAGGAGAGAAATTATGTCCATGTGAGTCCATTGGCCAAAGTCAACTTGGTTCAACGAACCGGTTTGCAGTAATCGATTCGCGGAGAGATTCGTGTGGAAGGGAATAGGAACGGTAGCGTGATACGTTGATATCCCATCGACAGCGATGCCTAATTCGGCGCCGGTGGGGTCGTTGACATTGAGAGGTAGCACCCCGGAAATTGATGGATCCTCGATTGCCCTCAGGTCGTCCTCTATAATGCCAGACCACTCGAAGAACTGGTTTGGCCTTGGAGTCATCGTGCTGACATCTCCCCATCCTTGCGGGCTTACGTCGTGCACATGCAGTAGGGGGAACGAGCAGTTCATGATTTGGGGGCCCACAGTCCCCAGTGGTGGCGTTTGAATCCTAACACAATCCGGCATTTGCAGAAAGGACGCTGGATACAAGAGTCAGTCCTGGTGATACCTCTTGTCGACTACGGACTAAGTACTCACATGGATCTGTGAATGGGATGGCTTGGCGTCTTCGTCGTCTCCTTTCTTTCTCTATCTTCTCCTTCTTGAGTGGCTCTCCGTGTAGGTATACTTGACTTCCTTTGCCTTGCGCATGGCGATTATCCACAGCGTGATGGATCGCGTTCCATTGTTCTTTGCTAGCGTACTTTCGGAAACCCCACCTCTTGAGCCTTGTCTCGTACTGCGCCTTACTGTGAACTGAATTAGCGCTCTTCTTGCTAGGAAGAAGGTAGAAGTGATTTGCCTGGCAGAGAAGCCACATTCTTTCTCCATGGTCGAGATGAGGCCATCGTCACCTTCAAGCGTCTTCTCAAGGAACAGCCGCTTGATCCTCAGCTTGTGACTCTCCCATTCCTCGTCGGGTATTCGGCGACGACGACACTGATGTAGAGACATCTTGGATCTGTCAATGAACTATTTAGGCCTCCAAAGTAGCAGAGGCATGTTGGGGCAACCTCCCTCAAATATCTTTCGCGGAAGTTGATAGCTGGAGCCTGATGTCTTGCAAGGCTCGTCCAAAATCTGTTCCGCCTTCTCCCAAATCTGAAACCACTCTTCCAATCAAAAGGCGGCGATCAGCGACAGTCAGCCGTATATGCAAACCCACCACAGCCCGCGGTGCGGCAAGGCTGAGAAGCTAGGTCGTTGGTGGAAGCAGCCATTCAGCCCGATTCTTGGCCTCTCGCCAGCTGAATATCTCACCGATAATGCGTGATGCGATTTCCCAAATCTGCGTCTTGGCGGGAATCCGACTCCGGTTTCTGCTCCGCGCTTGGTTCCAGTCTTTTAATCGCATCAGCCCATGTCCCAAATCCAAACTCTGCATGCAGGTTAGGCAGAGTAACAGTTGAATCCGCAAAAGACACTCGGCCTGAAAATGGTTGACCGACTTGACCAAATTAAGCCGAGATCCAAAATCTTCTTTGCTCACGGGAGGACTTCAGAATCAGAAAAGCACACTAAGTTCCGAAATCTGATATAGTCGTTTATATGCTTCAGCAGCGTTGCGTCCTGAGAGATGGCGCATCGCTGTACCGACGTATTGAGCCATCTACCCATACAGAACATAGGCCTACATAAGGCTCCTTGCTACTCTGAACCCCAATCATTGCACTAGCTCCCATAGCTTTCCACCTTGACGATTTCCGATCCTCCTGGACGAGACCTGTACCGTTCAAATAAATGGCGTGGACGCGAGAGGCCGTCATCACTCTCATCGCACTTTTCGTGACCAGCGCGCCGATCGTGGTCTTATTGTGTAGAAGAATCCAAGAAAGGAAATATCGTACGTATGCTACAACGAAGGAATGAGATGTTTACTGACTTCAAGACGTTGGCATGCACGATGCAGAGCTTTCGAGATCCAACATGCCCCGGGGACCAAATAGACCGCCGTGCTTTGTCTTTCGACATTTGGTGCGCACGGGATATACGTTCCGTATCGGTCGGGCTATGGAAGGGTACCGTTTGGAAGGGCGCACAGTCTTCCATCAAGAAGTAGAAGAGACTTTAGTAACATTTCGAGAAGCTTGGTGAAAACTGGGACATGAATGAGAGAAGATGGAGACGATAAGAAAGGGGCGGTAGGCGACGAAAGCATGTCCCAACCCAAGCACCAGCGCCAGCCCACAGAAAACGGACAAGCACCCTGGCATTGGTCAATAGTAACGCTGAAGCAAGGAGCGGGTTTCAATCTACCTCTTGTGACAAACGAATCTCTCATTGGGAAGGAGAGACGACGTATACTCAAGAGGACATATGCTGTTCAAACCTTGCTTGGGATGTACCTCGCCTGATTGCTAGGAACGAGTCTTGGATTGAAGCTCGAGGCTGCTGTTGAAGGCGGGGGACTGGTGAGCAGGGATGTGCAACGGAGCCTGCATGAACGGAAGACGTTGTTGGATGATGAAGTCAGCGGAAAAGAGTTGGATTGAGTCTGAGCCCTGGGGTTCGAATTTGCACTTTAAACGCTTGGCTCAACTGGGTTAGCTTATTTTTTTATGATTAATCGCCCGCGGGCACATGTGCAGCACCCCACGAGCAGTAGTAGGCCAAAAGATGCTGTATGAATGATTGCGCAGACCAGAAATGGTTCGAGTTGAGGTGAATTAGCAATAGTATTCCAAGGCCGAGGTATCGGAAGACTCTAACTCCCCCAGCCTCCCACCAACACCATGACCCTCCTAAGTCTCCATCTACCTGTGACCTATCGAGCGTACCCTACACAAGAAGCGCTGCGTGCAAAAGTCCATTATCTTGCAGAGCCTCTGCATGTAGCAATTCTAGGCCGTTAATCTTTGTATCAAGCCTTCGATGCGGCCAACTGCCTTTCGGACCAGCGCAGAATCCCGAGCTCCATCTTCAAACCTCACTGCGGCCTTTTCAATCTGACCGTCCTTCGCAACCTTCACTACTGCCGCGCGTCCATCCGACCAGGTAACAGTGATCTCTCTAACCGCCGTGTCTGCCTCGATATCCGTAATTCGAACAGGTCCGTCGCGTCGTCTCCGTGTCCGCTCTTCATCCTCTTCGTCCTCGTCGTCGCTCACAAAAGTGTTGAGCACCTTGCCGATGGTAGACTCCGCCCTTTCTTCCTCCCGCTCCGCAGACTTGTTCTCCAGCCCAGCTTCCACGCGCAGCTTCTCCACCGCCTCCAGTCTCAAATGCCAGCTCACGAGCTCTTTCCTCAGCGATCTCCCAAACTTCAACAAGTTCTGTTCTGTTGTGGTTTCGGCGTCTTTCCTCGTAATCGGCAGCCACTTGTTCGCCAGCGGCTGGAGCGGGATGCACGGAGGGATCGTATGCTTGTGTATCTTCAACATATTCTTATGCTGCGCGTTCGGCCGATTGAACAGCACATGATATGTCTCGACAAACTTCCCGCCGATTGACACCTCAATGCGTACCCCGAGGATATTGCCATTGTCGACCGCGTACGGATCGGGATCCTTCACCTTGTAGGCTGTGACGCCTGCGCATGCGCGATACACGTTCTCGATGTTTCGTTTTGCTTGTTTCTCGACGATTTTAGCGGCATTTCGCCGGTTGCGTTCGTGTAGGACAGGCCGCTGTTCGAGACGCGGTTGAAGGTGGGGCTGCGAGAGGAGGATGGACGCTAGGTTTGCACGGTGGGCTTGTAAGGTGGATATGCGGGCGTAGAGGTCGCTGATTTCGCTGTCGAGAGCTTCTGTTGTCGCCATTTATGAGGTTGTGGGAAGAATAGGCGGTTTGGAGATGTTTGTGTTGATGACCGAGGGAGCTCCAAATAGGGTTAGTCTGACACCAGCCATTCCTGCTCCGAAACTTCCAGCCACGTGGCGCAGATGATGCCAAGCCGGAATTTCCGGGCTCTCCCCTCGGAACCTTTGCGCTCTCCCCCGTCCTCCCTTCCTCCCTCTCCACCCCCAAATATTGAAGCTGTGGTGTGCAAGCGAGCAGTTCGAAAGAGTCATTTGTACAAGGCAAACGCATCACCCGAGGACTTATACATAAGCAATATATAACCCTTTAACGCGCTCAAGCGCCATGCTTGGTCTCCCAGACCTCCCCAGTATCCTCGATCCACAACTCCGTGTTAACACAGACACTGCAGCTAAGAGATCCAGAGAATTAGTAGGGACCCTTCCGCAAAGCGACTGTCCAAAGCGCGCAATGGGTGGCCGCCAACCCAGGCAGAGCCGCCACATGCGGTGCCGCAGGTGTCGGACTGGCTCTCGTTGTCTCGCCGGCGTCGGGCAGTTCCAGGGCACCGCAATTGGGAGACTGACTTGTATAGGGTGGTTAAAATGGGGATCACGGTATTGGCTAGTCGGCAAGCGTACGGGTACCCGGATCCACCTGTCTGCTGTTTAGAGACCACAAAGTTGTGGTCAGCGCGGGGGGATACCGCAATACCGTGGTTTGTCATTTGTTTCGGTGAGCTGCGGTTTTGAAAATAGTACTCAGGTCACCGAATATGACTCAGTCAGGAAGCAGAATGACCTTGCGAACCACTCATGAGGGTATTGAGTGGAGCCTAGATACACTTTTCTCTCTCCAAGCAGCCTGCGAAAGATACTTATCCCGCCGTGACTCAGTAACTGCCCATAAGGTAATCACTTCTGCCAGTGTCAAGCGCTCTCCCGCTGGCCCGGCGTTTATCATGAAGACGATATTCGAATCATTCTCACAACATCGAGGTGTCGCGAGGATTATCATACTTCGGTGGCGCTGAACCCGTCTGATCCTCAAAATACGGTAGCTCTCCGTCCCAGCCGTTAAAATTGTGTTGGTTCGCGACATGAACATTGATGCGCTCTTGGAGTTCGGGGCTCGCAACTCTGACGTAGGAGAGCCTTTTTCCGTAGTCGACAAGAAGGACGGGAAGGTTCGCCTTGTGGTGGGCAGTGGACACGTCGTATTTATCATTGAAAATATCGAAAACCAAGATTGTCAGCTGTTGCCATTTTTGGATCGCAAGGAGCTTGTAGCAGCTTTCGTTATGAGGGATATCGAGAGTAGAGCATGCCTTCTGCACGGCCTCATCGTATGCGTAGGGATACAGGGGCGATTTCCTCCTGAGAAATACAGTGCCATGTGGGCCCATATGCTACTCACAACCGGCTTCAATGATCCCTGCAGTTTCCCTTTCACTAGGCTGATACAGCATGTAGGTGCTGATGAGTGGGAAAGGCGCGAGCGAGAAGTCAGCGAAGACGAGGTTGCAGCATTCGGCGCCCAGAAGGTGCTGCAGTTGGAACAGTACAACCGCGACCTAGAGAGGGCCGAGGCACACTTAGCCCTTGTAGAGGAGGGCAAGATGAAGAAGGAAGACTTCATTGCCTTGTATTCTCGAGCCCCTTCCTTAGGCATTGAAGACGCCACACGACTTCTTAGAACCCGTAGCACACCAAGCCATTCTAATTCCGCATCACCTCCAAGGTAGAAGTCCGTCCACGGGAGCTGTTTAACGGGCTTTCCCGCTTAGATATCTTCCGGGGCTTATGGTTGATATATAACGATAATCTGAGTAATCGGCAAAGAATGTCCCCATCGTTAGCAGGCAACCCGCTCCTGCCATAGTGTAGTGGAGCGTTGTTCACCTCCAGTGGCCCATGAGCTCAATGCGTATTCGCTTTTCGATGATTGTGTATTCTCCTCCGAGTGTTGTTCGATCTTGAGCCTCCACAACCTGCCGAGTACCTGTCAGGCCGCAAGCTGAGTCATCCTTGAGCTCTTCCACCCCAATAGGGTTGCACAGATCTGGGCTAGGGTCGCATCTAGGGACAGAAAAGGCTTCACGGCGGGAATCGGAACAGGGCTCACGGGAGCTAAATCAGGAGCCGGGACTTTTTTCGGCGGCTTGGTGTTGAGGATTTCGCTCGGCGTAGCACCAGCCACAGGCATGTCGTATGTCCTAGCGGATATGTGGCGCTGTTGCTGAGTCATCTAGAGCGCATAGCTTGAGAATCCCCGATCAGCCTAAGAAAGAGTATATATAATAAAGAAAAGATGTACTACTAATAAAGTAAGCTACTATAACATAAGCATAGTTACAATACAGAATAGTGAGATTTTAAGGGTTAGGCATTGAAGAACCGCGCTGCTAATAGTGGCTTGGCAGGTCGCGCAAACGCCAGCAGTACACTTTCCGTGAAGTAGACACGTTCCCCTTCCGAGGGGTCACTCATTTGTCAATACATGGATGCCTACACCAACTGGCGAATCGCTCCCTTCTTTCATTGCCGCTCCGTTCCCTTCAGCTATTGACCCGCACCCTCACTCTTCAAATCGCGCCCGGCACCAACAGAACCTCCAAACACAACACCGCCGCTCTACAAGCGAAGCCGACCTTGAGCTCCAGGATTTTGGTCCAGCGCACACCGAGAGACATCGCAAGAATACCCGAAGCCAGCGGCCCGCCGCGCTACACGTCGAGGTAGCAGACACTCCTGAAAACGCGCACCTGCTCCGCGACGACGAATTCTCCGAGCTTGACTCCGAATCCGACAACGAACTACAAATGAGCAAGCGTGCTGGGAAGAAGGCGAACGGGCATGCCAACACAAGCGCGACTATGAACGGCGTACTGGAGCATAGGCGCAGGCATGGCTCCATCGACAACAGCAGCCCGGCGAGCCAGGCCGCGTCGCTGATGCAGCGGTCGAGCTTTAGCTTAGACGATCCAGTGCCGGCTCTGCATCATGAAGAGGACGGCCCGTCAAAGGGCTTCTTTGAGCTGCCAAAAAAGGATCAGAGGAACTTCCTGCTGCTGGTGCTGCTATACTTCCTCCAAGGTATCCCAATGGGTCTGGCGACCGGATCGGTACCCTTCCTACTCAAGAGCGTTGTTTCCTATTCGTCGATCGGGGTATTCTCCCTGGCCGCATACCCGTATTCATTGAAACTGCTGTGGAGCCCTATCGTGGACGCCGTGTGGACTCCGAAACTCGGGCGCCGGAAGAGCTGGATCTTGCCCATTCAGACCGTCTCGGGATTCTCGATGCTATGGCTGGGTTCCAAGGTCAAGAAGATGATGGAATACGCGGGAGAGAAAGAAGGCAACGGCATCTGGAACTTCACGTTCTGGTGGTTTGCCCTGGTGTTCTTGTGCGCCACACAGGATATCGCCGTGGATGGTGAGAAACCCAGTCCATTGATCACAACTGGGACATTCGCTAATCTGCTTAGGCTGGGCGTTGACCCTTCTTTCGCACGAAAATCTTTCCTATGCCTCGACCGCGCAGACGGTGGGCCTAACCGCCGGCCAATTCATGTCCTACACGGTGTTCCTCGCTTTCAATTCGAAGGATTTCGCGAACAAGTGGTTCCGTCCTGCGAATGCACCAGGAGATACTGGCCTCATGACTCTCGACGGATACCTGACGTTCTGGGGCTGGGCATATCTGGTTGTTACCTTCGGCTTGGCAGTCATGAAGCGCGAGGAGCGCACAAAGGATACAGACGGCGTCGCCGAGGTGTACCAGTCGATGTGGGGCATCCTCAAGCTGAAGAACATTCAGACGTTCATCATCATCCATCTGATCGCCAAAATCGGGTTTCAAGCCAACGACGCCGTCACGAGCCTGAAGCTCCTCGACAAGGGCTTCAGCCAGGAAGACCTCGCACTCACCATTCTCATCGACTTCCCGATCGAAGTTTCCCTGGGATACTACATCGGGAAATGGTGCCAGACGTCTCCTCCCATGCACATCTGGTGTTGGGCATTCGTAGGCCGACTGGTTGCCGCTGGATTCGCGCAGTTCGTTGTTTCGATTTTCCCCCCTGGCGGAACAACTCTCTGGTATCTGCTCCTTGTCATCTGCGAACACGTGCTCTCGACCTTCATGAACACAGTCATGTTCGTGGCGGTATCGGCGTTCCACGCAAAGATTTCTGATCCCGTCATCGGCGGAACGTACATGACACTGCTTGCTACGTAAGTCGTGCCCTTTTCACGTCTCCTGATTGCTCTTTACTAATCGTCAATCAGCGTTTCGAATCTAGGCGGCACCTTCCCGCGATACTTTGTGCTCGGATTTGTCGATATTTTCACGGTGGCCACATGCGAGCCACCCGCGACACCTCCGAAGGCCGAACTCCTCAAGGGCGACCTGGTCACGCAGGCCTTTTCGTGCGTGCTCGAGGCTGAGAAACACCGCTGTCGAGACGGTGGCGGCGTCTGTAACGTGACGACGGACGGCTACTACGTGACCAACATTATCTGTATCATTATCGGCGTTGTGACGTTCTGGGGCTTCATCAAGCCGGCGGTGATGAGGATCCAGGCGCTGCCTCTGCGTGCCTGGCGGCTGTCAGAGTAGCGGGTTTCCCGGCCGGCACCCTGTATCAGACATAGCATCTGTAGAATAGGAAGAGGTGTTTTGGATGAATGCGGTTAGCCACAACGTGACGAGGCGTCGGCCAATGGCGGCGCGCTGGATGACAAGCGCGCTAAGACAGAGCCTCCTCGACCGGCGCTTCCGACCGTTGATAAAGACGATATGAAGCGTCGCGTAAGCCGAACAGCCTCGAACTCGGCACGCCCAGCCGCCGATAACGGAAAGAAGGCGATGGAATGACAAAACGACGGGTGTGGAGTCTCTCGGAGCTGTTCATTACACACGACGCAGAGCTTCTTGGGGCATTCGAGACGCTGACTGCGCGGACGGCTATACCGGAAGCGGCAGCGTGCATATCTGTCACAAATTATATATCGTCTGATTCTGCTGCAGTGGATTGCCTGCGTGCGCCCTATCCTGTCCCTTCCTTTTGGAGCCTGTGCTTGCAGCTTTTTCAGCTGAGACATCGCCGCAGCTCTCCGTCACCTCACTCGCACCATTGACGACGCGCTTTCGCGACCCTCAGCACACGCCCATCGCACTCCCTTTGCGCCTCTGCCCGCAGCAGCCCGCCATGTCGTACACCTACACTCCCAAGGCGCGGGTCCAGAAGCCTGCGCCGCACTTCGCCGGCACCGCCGTGGTCGACGGCATTTTCGAAGGTACGCCCTCAGCCCTAACGTTGCCAGCGGCGCGCGCTGTACCACTGTACTTGCAACTGGCTGACGGCGATTGCGCCCAACAGACTGCAGCCTGACCCAGTACACGTCGACCAAGCAATGGCTCGTCCTCGCATTCATCCCCATGGCCTGGACCTTCGTGTGCCCGACCGAGATCATCGCCTTCAGCGACCGCCACGACGACTTCGCCAAGCGCGGCGCCCAGGTCGTCTTCGCAAGCACCGACAGCGAGTACAGCCTGCTGGCCTGGACGAACGCGAACAAGAAAGACGGCGGCCTCGGCAAGATCCACATCCCGCTGTTAGCAGACAAGAACCACCAGGTGAGCAAGGACTACGGCGTCCTGATTGAGGAGGAGGGCATTGCGCTGCGCGGACTGTTCTTGATCGACCCCCATGGCATTATCCGACAGGTGAGTGGATCAATATACGTTTGCGGGAGGGGAGGAGCGCCATGTGCTCGTGGAACGTCTGGCTACATGGCGCTACTTCTTGAGCGCGGGCACAGCGGACACAAGGCTGACATCTTCCTAGATTACCATCAACGACCTGCCCGTCGGCCGTAGCGTGGACGAGACGCTTCGTCTGATCGACGCCTTCCAATTCACCGACAAGTACGGCGAGGTAAGATCCGCCTTCCACAGCTCCCCTCCACCCAGAAGCTAACTCCAGCAGGTCTGCCCCGCGAACTGGAACCCCGGCGACGAGACCATCAAAGCGACCCCCGAGGGCAACAAGGCCTACCTCCAGAAGCTCCACAGCGACACCAAGATGCACGACTCTGCCACGAATGGCGCCTGATTCCGCCCACCGGGCCTAATCCCTGCGCACATACTGCTTCGATAGCCCGCGAGGTAGGTTGGAGCGAGGCATATAAAAGGAGCCCGCTGAAATTGGAGGCTAGTTACATGGCATTCTCCACTTGCATCTTTTCCTGCATCGGCATCGGCGAAGGAGTTCTCCGTTTTCGAGAGTTTGGTTTTCCCTATCAATACATGGCTCGACGATCCCGTCTAGACCCCCCACCACACCTACGGTCTGCACAGGGGAGAGCTTTTTCAAGGCGCTAGTAAAGGACTCGTTGGTTTAGGGCTTTTTGGCACTACTCACTCAGGGGCGTCTTTGTTCTACTTTGTTTCTCAGATTGAAGCATGGTTTGCGATACGTTGCGCTTGCTTTCTCTGCTCTGCTCTGTTCCATACCCTCAGTTCTTCTCTCCGCTACCTCTCTTGTAGTCTATCTACCACCTACTACTACTGGAAAATTCAATATAGGCTTATCACCCTAATTGGAAAGCCTCTTCAGTGCAAGGACCCGCGATTAAACTTTTTTCCCCCTCTTGGCGCGCTTCTCGGGCGCAGGAGGAGCTGTTTTTGGCGCTTGGGGCGTGTCAGCGCGGGACAAGGGGGGATGTGATGGGGTGATGGGAAGGAAGAGGGGAAATACGCGCCCGCGCGGTCCGCATACACGCTCAGCCTTATGCAGGTGCTGGGAGATGGAGGGGGCCAATTACGTGCGGGCTGATGGCGCGGCCAACGCTGACCCCTGGTGCGGGTGCAGGTGCGGGTCAGGTCTGGAGCTGGAGCTGAATTCCTCAGGCTACATTGTCGTGGGTGAATACACGGTAGACTAGAGGAAAGACGATCTAGAATGGACATACATGGCGGTCGATACATCTCGTTGTTGAAGAGTCTAGTAGTACGGTTCCTCCGTGTTTAATCTGGTGGACCTATAGGAAGCGGGAAGCGGGGCGATACATTTATAGTGGTCAACTAGCATCAGTGGGATTGGTGAGGATATAGGCTTTCTTCTTGCTAACATGGGGGCTGGTTAGGCTGGATGACAGACAAGGAGGTTTGATGAAGGTGTAGAAGGGGCATTGTTAGTATGACATGAGAGTGCCCTATACACAAACAAATGCGTCCGTTGCATGTTATTAAGTGTTAGACATGCTAACATACGTAGCCGGGAAATAGCAATAATAGCATTGAAATATCGGGGGTGGGTATCATATCGATCTAACAAAAAGGCAGTATATCCAGCATCATCTCTGTCCCTTATCGCAAGCCACCCAGCCCTCTCCTCTCCGCCAGTAACCCTCCTCTAGCAGCAATCCCCTTCCATTCGGCCCACCAATCGTAGGCGGAAATGTAAATGTCGAGCTGTATCCGCCTTGGTTCGACGGGAGCGCGAAACCTAGACTATCATCCAACATGAAACCCGCTGCCTGCGAATCCTGTCGTACGTCCAAGTCCAGACCGGACAGAAGATCCGCGGGAGGCGGCAGGTTGTGCACCGCGCTTCTTGCGCTGGCGGCGGGGACGTGGGGGAAGACGATGGTGGGGAGGTTGGGGGTGCGGAGGAGCGGGTTCATGGACTGCTTTGATGCGGAACTTGCTGATGGGTTAGATGGAGTGGTCGTAGGGCCGCTGCTCGCTGGAGTACTGGTTGTGTTTGCGGAAGGCTGGGTCACCGGCAGGGTAAGCATAAGCGAGTTCGAGGACTGCTGGAAAGATGACGGCGTCGCCGAGAGCACATTGCTGGTCATCAAAGTCATGGGTAGCTTGAGCGTAGCTAAGGGGTTGATATGCATTCCATCCATCCCGGCGAACATGTTGAGAGATGGATCAGCAGCCATACTGGTTACTGTGGGAAAGCTCGATTGCGTCGCTGCTGCGACGGCTTGGGAAGGATTTGCGTCCGCCCACTGGAAGATGTTTCTGTTCAGGACGATGGGGCTACGGCTGCTGGAGCCGTCCTCTTCGGAAGGGATGTCGCCGAAGTCTTCGAGGGGACTTGGGAAGGAGTTGAGAAGCGGCTGGCGGAGGGTGTGAGCTTTGAGGTCTGTATTTGATGGTGCGGATGTGGTGATGTTGGTGAAGGCCGGGTCGATATTGGTCGTTTCCTCGTTTGCCTTCTGCGCTTCGGGCGCTTCAATAGTGTTTGTAGAGATAGCCGTTTCCTGTGTGTTCGAAGTCTCCTTCTCCTTCTCCTCTTTCTCTTTAAGCATCCGCTCGTCCTTGGGCTTCAACTTGTACCCGGCCTTCGCATACATCTCTGGGTACCTGATGCGGAACCGATCCCTCAAATCCGTCGGGTGCCGGGTGCTGAACCCCAAGTCCTTGTCGTCTCTCATCGAATGCCACGATGCGCCATACTTCTCGAACCCTTTCAGCAGGCTCTCGTCATCCTTCTGTGTGAACTCGCGACGCTCTCTGCGGTTGTTCTTGATGAAAGGGCCATGGATGCCCATCTCGGCTAGCTCAACTGGCCCTTTTCTATGGCTTTCCCCACGTGTTTTCCTCAACCCACTGTCTTTGCTAGTCGATTCAGCCTTGGAAATTTCCGGATCTGTGACATTCTGGCTATTCGATGCACTCGAGGAGGCCGTTGCCGCGTTTGGCCCTTCCGAGGCCGCATCTTGTGAATTATTCTTGCACTTCCGTTTCCGGAGCTTCAGACCCTCTCCAGGGCAGCATGTCCGGAACCGATCTTTGAGGTCAACAGCTGTCCGGTGGTTGAAGTTAAAGTCCGAACACTGCAGTATCTTCTTCCAGTTGCCGATGCCGAATCTGCTAACACCAACAAGCAAATCCTTTGTCTCTTGCTCTGACCATTTGTTTCGCCGTTTCAACTCTTTAGCTTTGGACGGTTCCGTGGTTGCTCGCTCCGCCTCGTTCTGATTGCGATTCTCCTTGTCACTTCCAGACGTGGACGTGGGCATATCGACGGGGTTCTCCTTCTCCTTCCCCTCTTCTACGGTGTTACCGCTCGGTACAGTACCCGGGGAGTCCCCTGCATCTTTTTCCTTACTCCGCTCCGGACCCACAGGGCTCCTCAAACCAACCCTATCGCCAATATCCCTTCCAAAGCCGCCGGCCTCTCCCGTGATGGGTGGGAAGCGTGTGCCCTCCGGTGGTAGCGGAGGCGGCTGATGCAGGCCCTGTAGCAAAGGCGGTATCCGAGGCCGCTTTGAGGTTTTCTTTGGTAGTTGCCGCGGCTGAGGAAGCTTAAGCAGCGTATTCTCGGGCCCGGTCAGCGCTGGCGGGGTCGTCTGTCCATCGAGCCTCCTCCGCTTGTTTGGTGGTTGTTGAGAGGGGTCTAGCAGTATATCGCTCAACCGCCCACTGAAGGGGGTCACCGACGCCGTGGACAGCGCCGGGAGGGGCTGGGGACCAGTGGGCGCCGGCGTCTCGTCGTTCAACACTCCGGCAATTGGAACCCTCGAGTTCTGAGAATTCTGCACCTGTACACCCTGGCCCCTGCTTGCTGTATAGCTGTCATTGTTGCCTAAGAATTCAGAACGTCGTGCGTTTACGTTTGGGCGGCTGTCGTCGCTAACGGGACTCGGTTCCACGGGGTGTGGTCTACGCGGGGCGACTGAGGGTGGCGGTAAGAGCGAGACGGGCTCGAGGAGAGTTCGTTCGAGGGAGGAGTCCCCGAGCAGTGTCGCTATTCGAGGCTCCATAGACGTCTGTAAGCATACGGGCCCATGCGGAGGGGGCGTGGCGTTGAGGGGGGCTGGTGATGAATATGTGGTTGTGCGGCGTCTTTCCCGCTGTGACGCGGTTTGTGGCTCGTGATCCGCACCGCCACATTCACATCCACACATAGCAGACAACAGCACGAAAGCTCTTTCAATATCGTGAACTACACTGTTGGAGATGGGGCCGACTAGGTTGAGCTACAAGATGGCCTACTTTCATCACCAACTGGAGAACGATGGCACGTTTATCGCCTTGTTCATTTATCTATAGCCCGTTTCTATTATACATTTCCCTAAGCTTTTGTATACTTTTTCAAGAAGCGTTCTCCCGACAAACATCAGCCTTTACACTCGGTCATGAGTCGTCCTCTCGTCCACGAACACACTCCAGTCCTTCTGCACGCTGATACCTCCCTGTGGCGCATTCCTCTGCGACGAATCATTGCTAAGCCTCGACATCTCAATCTCCACGTTATTCTTCCCGTGCGAGTCGCCCATTATCTTATGAACGCTCTCGTCGGATTCAATCTTCGTTAAACCGGCGAGCGTAGAGAACAGGCCATGGTTGGCCTTATTCTTGCGCACCCGTGATGACGCTCCGGTGCCGCGATGCGAGGGGAAATTGCTGCTTGGGCCCGGCGATTTCACGTTGGAGGGCCGCGAACCATTGGAGGAGAACAGCTTGTTGAGACCGAGCATGGAGAGCACGGGCTTCAAGCTGGGCAGGCAGGCGCACGTTAAGCCGATGTTGATCTCGACGATGGACCAGATGATGATCTCGCGGAAGTTGTACGTTACATCACCCGAAGTCCCGATGGGGATTTGCAGGAAGATGATTAGGCGAACGAGCGATACCACGGCGATGAACGTACCCAGTGCGAACATGCCGGCCAGAACGATGCGTTGTGCGAGAGGAGCATGCAATCGCCACACGTAGGGAAGCGGCATCGACACCAGGATGAGATCGGTGATGACGTTGGGAACCGAACCGCCGATGTAAATGGAGCGGAGTTCGACGCACTTTGCGTCTGTAATGGTGATGTCCCATGAAGCCTGGACGGGAAGGCAAGCAAAGACGACGAGGAAGATCTAACAGGATCAGTGGGGAAACGCCGGAATTGGGTATGCGAACGTACCAAAGCGATCAGCCATCCCACCGCCATGAAAGTCACAATGTAGATTGCGATACGAGCATTAACGGCGAAAAGCCTCCAGTAGAACGCCAGGACTGTGAACTTGATCGTAGCAATTCCAACGACGTAGAGCAGCTGCGCAATGAACACGTTTCGCAAGAAGTCGATAATCTGAAACGGGTCGAGAATTGAGGTAACATGCATTCCGAGAGATTTGCGCATACCTAAGTCCCGTCAACAAGTGCTCAAGCATGCGGGGTTAGTCTGGGCTCCAGACTTACCAATGATGCAGACGTAGAAAAACCCATTGGCGACTAATAACGAAATGATTGACATGTAATCGTCCAAGCGAATGTTCTTCCAACCCCCAGATCTCTTTCGACAATAGAGTTTCAATGGGACGAGGATCATGATGAGTATGTACGTCGAATAGGCAACCCCATCAAGACGGCGCCGGTAGGCCTCACTGTGATTACTTTAGCGGAGTCCAAATGTTAGATTTAGATGGTTCGGCATCCTCAGGGAGGTAGGCTTCAAAGGACGCATGAGCGCCATGAGGAAGACCCTGGAAGGAACAGCCAAGCCTAGTTGACTTACAGGCTCTCCTCGGGCGCTATCGTCGCCATCGTCAAGAATTCTAGCCAGAAACTCCGTGTGAACGTGACTCTGAGGGTGTGAAGGAAGGTGAGGCGGACCCAAAAGAGTATCTCAGAGTGGCATGTGGTGCGACATGTATGCCACTGTCAGCAGCCAACGACGCGGGCTACCTTGGGTATAAGATGTACAGGAGACGATCCCAGTCTCAAGGCTGTTCTTCAGCTAGCGGTTGATACCGGAGGACCGGTTCGAAAAGTGGAGCGGCCCCTTGGCGCAGTGGCGGCCGGGCTTTCTTCCCTGCTTCCAAGCTTCAGGCGTGTGCTTCCACCAATGGCTTTCGCTTTCACCTTATGGAGGTTGTAATGTTGGATGATTTGCTTTTACCCCGGACCATATTGAGAGGGTTTGAGAAGAGCAATCCAAACCAGGTGCATCGAGGCTTGTGAAGGCAATTCGTGAGAGTCAATTTGAGAGGCATTTAGGGGCCGCTCGATTCCCACGAAAGTAAGGCCACCACTGGGGATGAACAATGCCGTGGTGCCGCCAGGTTCTCCACTTGGTGATTGCTTTTGCTCCATGGATTCTCGACAAAACTGTGCCTGATCGGGGCGTCATCGCGTAGTTCCCTCTAACCTCTTTCAAAATAGGGTCCAACACATGAGTGAAAGCTCTTCACCAGGATTTCAGAAAAGCTTTTGGAAAAGCAGCAGGCATGACCCACGGGCTCGAGCAAACACGGCCAACTTTCGGCTTTGGCTTCTCCCTGGGCCCATCCCCAGACGAACTCGTCTTCATTTGCCTAAGTGCAGTGTCGGAGACATTACGATTTCACTTCACATGTGGATAGCACGGAATCTGAGAATTCGAGCATGAACACCTTTAGCGGTGTGCAGTCCTGCGGAGAAATATCAGCCGATTTCAGAACAAGCTCCAAGGCTGCCGGGACCTCGTATCATGACACTGCCGAAGGAGGCCTTATACAATCCATACTTGATTGGGGAGCAGAAGGAATTTGGCGCTGTTAATCTTGTCTAAGGTTAGCATAGTCGTCAAAAGTCGTCGTAGGCTCGGGCCAGTCCGGGGGCGGCTCAAACTCTGTTTTAGGGCCTGTGCATACGACATGCAGGAACGTTGCAGCCCGAGGGCTCTGAATCCATGGTAGGATTGTTGGGGACAAGGGCCATGGCCGCCGTCGTTTGACGTTCGCATGGGGTTTTGATTGGATACAAGAGATGTAAAGCCTTTTGGAATCTTACACTCGCCGTGAACCCAGGAGACTGGGAGCACACGCAATATTGTCCGGTCGAATCGTTCATCGAGGCTGCATTCGAGTCAGAACTTTATCATCTACCGAGGGATAGGCGAAATTCAACCAACCCCATGTGACGGGGCTCCGGTTGTCGGTCCTACACCCCGGTCAGCGGGATAGGACCCTTGATCCTTGGAGGGCAAGCAGCCGAGGGCCTCGAAGCTGGTTCGAAAACGACGAACGGGCCGCATCCGTCCGAGAATTCAGCGAATCACTCTACATCGGATGGTCGGCAGCGTAACGTGGCGCAACCAAGACGGGGCAGATCTCTTCCACTTGCGGCTTCGGTCCGCACTGTGTAGCGGTCGCGAGGCGAACGGGTCTTGCATGGCAGGGCCCGTAGAGACTAGGAACTAGCTGCTGCCCCAGTGGATGTCGGTGGGCTTGATAACTCCTTTTCGCGGGTTGGCTAGCATAGGACGATGCAATGCATGGCGTGATAAGATCTTACAAGATAGACTTTGTGTTTCCTTTGCATCCCCCTCTTCTCGTCACACTCCTTTCCCTTCGATCGGTACCTTTGATCAATCAATATGTTCCCGCAGGACGTGCTTGAGCAGGTATCGTATCCCAACGTGCTTGCGTTGGGTACGTCGCTTGCCTTTTCCTATGTTTTCTTTACGGCCATCTACCGGCTCTATTTCCATCCTCTTGCCAAATTTCCTGGTCCCTTCTGGGCTCGCCTTTCGACTATCCCCTCCTGGTGGCATACTCGTTATGGAGACCGTCATATCTGGCTGTATAGTCTGCAGGAGAAGTACGGTAAGTTGCACACTCCGTGACCTTGGGAAAGACGAAGACGCTGAGGTAGCGCAGGTCCCGAGTTTCGGTATCGTCCGGACAGCGTCGTGATCAATACCCCAACGGCGTTCAAGAAGATTTTCGGCCCTCTAGGAAACGTCAAGAAGGGAGAGTACTACCAGGGGTGGCCTCGCAATGTCCACACCCACAATACCTGGAACGCGACGAGCATCAGCATGCATGCTCGCAAACGCCGTGTTCTCAACTACGCGTTCTCCGAGAAGGCTCTGCGCTCGACGGAGGCCTTCCTGCACTCGAACATCGACCGCTGGCTTGAACTGCTCGGACAATTGCCCGAGAAGAAGACGGAGTGGAGCCCCTCTTTCAACATGTGCGATTGGATGAACTGGCTTGTTTTCGACATCCTTGGAGACTTGTGCTTCGGCAAGTCGTTCGACATGAAGGAGCCGGATAGCAAGCTTCGCCATGTTCCAGAAATGATGATCTCGTTCTTGGAGCTACTCCACCCGGTACGTCCCTGCAGGCACCTCTAGCGCTCCTGGCTGATCCGTATCAGGTATTCTTTAGCCCTTGGAATGGGCTCTGGGTATGGCTGAAGCCGCGCGGGCTCGATTGGCTCCTCACCGTGGCATCTCCACCCGCGGTGGTGAACTGGCAAAAGTTTGTCGACAAATGTCTCGGCGATCGTACGAAAGTCGAACAGGAGTTGGAAAGGAGCCCTAAGCCCGAGAGCGAGGTTCGCAAGGACTTCTTCTACTGGCTCTTCAAGGCGGTGGACCCGGAGACTGGCGAACGCGGATATGATATGGATGAGCTCTATGGCGAATGCGAGCTGCTCACTATCGCTGGCTCTGACACGACTTCCATCGTTCTTTCCGCTGCCTTCTTTTACCTTGCACGACGACCGGATGTGCAAGCCAAACTTGCGCAGGAGATCATTTCCAGGTTTTCGAGCTATGACGAGATCAAGTCCGGCGACAAGCTCCACTCCTGCAAGTATCTCACGGCTTTCCTCCAGGAGGCCCTGCGTATGACGCCTCCTGTTTCCGCTGAGCCTGCCCGCGAAGTCCTCCAGGGAGGCACCACCGTCGACGGCCACTACATCCCACAGGGTCTCAATGTGAGCACCGGTCTCTATTGCCTTAGCTATAACAAGGACGTCTACCCAGAGCCCTTCAAGTTCCGGCCTGAGCGCTGGATTGTAGCTGAGAATGAGAAAGATGGCTCTTCAGCGGAGAGTGTCGCCTTGGCCGAGAGCGGATTCTGCGCCTTCTCCACAGGTTCCCGTGGCTGCGTCGGGAAGAACTTGGCTTGGCTGGAGATGCGGCTCGTTGTGGCAAAGTTCCTCTGGAATTTCGAGCTGAAGAACGACCCGACGAACAACCTGGGTGGTGGAGATCCAGATGGCAAGCCTGGGCGTCGTCTCAAAGACCAGTACCAGACGTGGGAGATGTTTGTATCGAACAGGAAGGGTCCCATGATCCATGTCAAGAAGAGGGCGCACTGATCGATGAAGCAAGCGAGTCAATACTGTCACTGATGCGATTTCAGCCTGGTAGTACCTGAGTAATCTTAAATCGAAGGGGTCATCGTTGATAGCTGGGTCGCTCATGTGAAAGGGACAAATCCACTCATTGCGATGTCCTTCGAAAGGCGGCAGATTGGCCTAAGCAGGGCTTGTGAGTGAAGTGTGAGAAGGTGAAATGAATTGAGCCGAGTCTGATTTTGGAAATCGCATGGACACAAGGCAGGTGCTCTGTAGTACGCTACTGCCACTTTTCCCCGCACCAACAAACAGGCAGCCTCCCCAGCACAACCCTCACTCCTCCAACTAACATTCTTTCGAACCCCGCCGAACGTGGCGCTACCCATTAGCGGGAGTCTTCAACAACATTTCCTAGGTCTTCACCCGCTGCAAGCCGCTAGGAGTGGTTTTCCAGAGACACGCTGCCAAGCGTACCGCAACGTCAACATGCCCTTCGCGAACTTGCCCACGGAGCTGCGACATCTGATAATCGAGAAAGTAGTCGCCACCCCATTCGAGCCCCCGGCGACGCCCACCGACATACCTGCAGACGACTGGTTCTACCCGCTCGAAGAAAGGATACGTCGGAATGCGTACGCTTTCGTGAGGGAGATCGGGGACTACGATCCCGCCATCGCTTTCAACACATCATCGCCATGGAAACATCAATACCTCCCGCTCTTGCTCGTGAGCAAAAGCTTCAAGAGAGATGCAGAGTCTGTGCTCGGATTGATTGGCTCACGACTTCCGCCGACTCTGGACGTAATACTCACAGCGGATGGCGACTTGAAGGTCACATGGCTGCTTGTTCCACCGGAGGTTGGGCCTTTGACGCAACGTCTCCATCTCATCATCCGCAAAACGTTGAACCCGGAGGAATTCAACTCTAGGACAGCATATCTGGGCAGGTGATATGTTCCCTCTAAGTCCGAGCCCCGCTAACCGTCACCCTGGCAGAAATACTCTTGGATAGGCTGCTTCACCGCATAATCACTATGGGCCTCAGCCCCTACAGGAAAGGCTTTCGCACGCTGAGCACCCAAGTGCGGAATCTCCAGATCACGGCCGTTGCACCTGGAGAGTGGTTTGCTATGCGTTTGCTGCAGCATTGGGCGACAGGCCAGTTCAACGAACTCAGCAGAAGCATCGATACCATCGACATCTCCCTGGACGATCGCAAGACCTACCACCTTTCGAATGCTGCGGTCAAAGGTTGGAAACACGTGGCATCGACTACGATGAACGTCATTTCCTAGACCGCCTTGTCGGAACGGAGTGAAGGACACCACACCATACATGGCGGTACGGATACAACCGTGTCTTATGCTAGACTGTGGAAAGCTGTCCTTGGAGGTCTTCAATAAAAAAAGTTCACCAACGGGCTGGCATTTGCGGACGTGACCCGCGACTTGTGGATGCGATGCGGCTCATCTTTTCGGACTGTATGACTGGCAATGGTGATAGACTACCTGAAGTCATGTTTAAGCTATGCGATCTCTCACAACATTAAAATCCTTCCCTAGCCACGCCTTGTTCACCTCGGGCAGGTATCGAAGCAACCACTTCGTCTGCCCGTTCGTACAAGCACTAGGACAAAAGTTCGGTTACCCCACAACCGAATACGAGGTGTGGGCACCTCGACGTCGCCCTTCAATTGAGTATAGCTTTTGACGTAGTTATCGTACAGGCATAAAAAAGACGGCTTTTTTATCGCAGAGAGCTCAATATTTCGTCTGATAACCTCTCGCGCGGCATAGAGCAGCCAGGCGCCGCGGCATGGAGAGGATAAGCTTGCGGATCAATGAGTCAGGTATCCTCCGCCATGCCACCTTCAAGGCCCTGCAGAACTCGTCCCACTCCTCTTCAGAGTCTCCAAACTCGCTGAGGTGTGGGTAGAGCTTATGGAGAGTCCTTTTCAATGCCCACCACATATGCTCGATAAGGTTGAGGTCTGGTGAGTAACGCGGCCATTGTACGACGTTGATGTGGTGCTCCGCCATGAATTGCCTCGCCATCGCAGAGGTGTGTATGGGCGCGTTATCGTGCATATACCGATCAAGTTCGGCGTAGTTACCTAGGAGACCTCTGCGCAGAGCCTCACAGTAGCTCCAGGAGCTGTAACCATTACGCCGGGCGTTGGGGTCCCTTTTCATGATCACCAGAGGGCTCCTGCGCACCCTGCCTCTGCGATCGATCCAGATTTGAGCCCACACCATCTGCGCGCGCGATCGGCTTGTTGTTATCTCCTCAACCATCTCATATCTCTATTTTTCATCTAGGAGCTGAAAACACCATGTGTAGTTGCCGCCAAATCGCTTCCGTACCGAGCACTTATCGGAGAACCGCATTACGGTCCTTCTCTAGTTGAAATTCCGGTATATACGCTCGAATTGACGCCTCTCTTAGGCTACGGCGCGCGTTATCTTGGGTCTCCGAGCTGATCGGAACTTTGTGAGGCCCTCAGCTTTCAAGGCGCGATATGCAGTCTTCCGGGAGACGCGCTGAAGGCCAGCTTCGCGCAAGAGCTCTGGGTACTCGATTTTCGGCGTCTTTCGAGCATAACGATATAGCCGACGGACATCGCGAGGTGAGAGCTTATGAGGACGCCCAGATCGAGGTAAGTCCTCTGTTGTGTGGTGTTGCCGCCATCGTCGAAGGGTTTCGGTAATACATTTGGGTGTGACGCGAAATTCATTCGCGAGCTCCGCGCGCGTACATCCAGTTTCCAGCTTCGCGATAATTCGTGTGCGCTCGTCTGGGGTTAAATGGCGTCGTATTCTCGCATTTCCGCTAATTTCTTGAAGCGCGCGACGTTGTTGTGGCATTGTAGGGTGGTGTTGAAAAGTGGTGTCTTTTTTGGGTGGGCGCGATCGCGTTGTGGGGTAACCGAACTTTTGGCTTGGCACTGTACAATCCCCTAGCGGACCATGGCATTCCGTCGGCGCATTAGGGTGCCCGCAAAAAGCGAACGGCCAGATTAGGCCTGGCCCTCCACATGTGAAGATGATATGTCATATAGACCTACCGTTGTACTCATTGTGCCCTGTTGAATTGACGAGATAGGCTTGACGGTTTTCAGGATCCCAGCCCACGGGAAGGTTGGCGGGTATATGAATGAGGCAAAGCAAACGTGCGCGTACCCTGCTTGATCAGTGCCTAACCTCGATACTGAAAGCCTGGATGGCATGGGATCGGTATATCACTTGGAAACTCTGCTACGGTGAGGGTTGGTATGAGGTGTGGGGAGGGTCGTGGCCGCGCAAGAGCTGTGACGTTAAGGAAGAAAAGCGGGAGCTTCATGGTGGGCGATAGGGGTTCATGTTGAAGTTAAAAGAACGGAAAGGATGTGAAGCGATCGTGATGACTCCAGGTTGGGTACCAATTTATATGTGAGGATGTGGCCAACAAGAGACGAAGTCATGCTGTGCTGTGCTGTGCTAGCCATGTGAGAGATATTCAGGGATAAGATGAGATCGTGATGCTCGTTGGGGAGAATAGGAGATGCGCCAACCGGCCAGTGCATACATGAGTTTGTGATGTTGCCATCTAAATGTGGCCGACATGGCGGTGTTGAGGTCTCAGCGCGGAGATAAGCCTAGCCTTCGGAGTTAGTGCGCTTAGCTAGATTTCCGTCAACGCGGCTTGCGGGCTGTAATGACACAACTCCAATGCCCTCCACCACGTCCGCTTTAGCATCTGCACATGGAGTCGCTTCATCTTCGGCTATAGATCCCACCCACCTGGCGCCCGAAGATGCATACTACAAGCTATCGTCCGCCGGCGCGGCGATGAGCGCGAGGAAGAGGGTGGATAGGGCACGTAGCGCAAGTCGGAGACGGAAAGGCCACTACAAGAAGCTACTGTGGTTCAAGCAGCCTTGTGAGTTGTTGTTATCCAAATGTTAGCTCTGCCGACTGACGCGTTTAGTCCCGGACAACTACACCGACGAGAAGACATTCCTTGATCACCTCCAGCGCAATCCCCGCCTGCAGCCGTACGAGTTCTGGTCTCTCATGGCCGACTCCACTGTCATCGTACAACATGTGGCGTCGGTCGCCATATTCTGCTGCTGCTTCGTCGCCATATTCCAAGAACGAGTCTCGCCGCTGTCGGTAGTGAGCTGGGCGAGCTTCTGCACATTTCTTGCCTGGGCGCTTTGGGACTACTGGATGGGACAAGAGGAGGCGGAAGCTGCGACAGTTGCGGCAATAGAAGACAGGAATAATACAATGGAAGAGTTGTCAAGCACCAGCTCAACAGGGTCTGCGACAGAGCCTCGAGGACTGGGATTGTTGCTTGCGGAGGACAGACACCGGCCAGGACACTCGCACAATACCAGCGTGACCTCCATCGCTTCGAATGTATCGAGCACGTCCAGAGCGGGTGGGCTCACTGTTGCGCCCAACTCTATCACGCCCATATACCACCGCCCGTACGTGGACGAGACGTCGTCCCTCTCTCCTCGAAACCAGCAGCGCCTCGCGACTGCGAAGTCCGCTTTGTTGATCTATGCGGCGTTGCTTGGTCTGAGCCCAATCCTCAGGTCGCTCACGGAGTCCACGACGAGCGACTCCATATGGGCGCTCAGCACATGGTTGCTCTGCATGAACGTTGCGTTTTTCGACTATGGAGCCGCGACTGGGGCACAGTAGGTTCAAGAATCATGTGTATTGGATTTGTACTAATCGTCGTCTTTAGTCTCCCGGCCTCCATCTCGACCAATTCCGCCCTCATGGCTTCTACGGTGCTCGCCTCACGCCTCCCGTCGACTACGCATGTCTTCTCCCTCACGCTCTTCTCAATTGAGGTTTTCGGACTCTTTCCGATATTTCGACGACAACTTCGTGCCAAATCCTGGAACGGCCATCTCACGCTTACCATTGTGCTCGTGACGGCGGCTTCAGGCGGCCTCTTCGTGACTTTAACTGGTGGTGGCCGCGCTGCCTGCATAGCCGGAGTAATCTTAGGCAGCGTGTTTACCTTCCTGTGCATGGGCGTCTGCAGCTGGTGGCTGATCGGGCTGCAGAAGTATAAAAATGAAATCCACGGGCCTTGGGATCCAGCGAGACCGATTATTCGCCGGCGTTGGGACTGACGCGCTGCATGGTCTCTGCCACGTCCGATTTGCGGTTTTGGTATTGCAACCATGTGCACGACCCGTTCTCGGGCCAGGGATCTGTAGACTTCTCCCTCTTGCAAGATCCAGCCCAGTTCTTCTCTACGTGTTTGACCAGGTACGTTTTTGTGACCACCTCCAGATACAGCCTGCCTCCACTTCGTATCCATCTAATCACTTTCTCCAGATCATCCTGGGCGCCAACGACTTTCCACATACGCTGAACCAGATCGTCACTTCCAACGTCGTCGCCGCCGACGAAGTGGACGGGCGACCAGGGCTCGCGCATAGCCATTCCCTTGCCTTTGCTAGCACCGATGACGACGATTCTCTCCAGACCTTCGACCTGCAAAAGCATGCTTCTCAAAAGGTTCCACAGCTCAGCTCTGAACATGGGGATGGATGGCCAGGACTCAAAGTTCAGGCGAAGACACCTCAGACCTGGTGCATCCATACGCAACGAGCCTAGGATCTCGCTCCACGTTCCGCCACCCCAAGCCAGGTAGTGTAGCCATTCTCGTGCGATTCCGGGATGGTCGCAGTGGACTCTTCGAGCATCGATCTCGATGTCTTGGACGCAGGCGCGATAGGGCTCGGCAAGCGATTTGATGAAGCATCGGACGCGGTCGACGGTCGTGAAGCGAAAGGTGTTCTGCGTGAACAATGGGCGGCGGTCCGCTTCGTGGTAGACCCTTCGGCATGTTCGAAGAAGATTTACGCCGAGCTTGGGCTTTTGTTCTTCCTTAGGTCGGGCACAGTCTACTACGGGATCGATGATTGGGCCATCAGTGACGAAGCAGTAACCGTAGATGATATGCTTGATCTCAGGTGGAAGTCGCATGAGAGGGGATTGGAGCTGCATGTTCTCCGGAAGAGCAATTGTGATGGAAGACATGTCGATTGGGAGTGGAACTGGACTCCTGGGGGGCTATCAGGCTGAGACGCGGTTTTGCCATCATCACAGTCAGCCTATTTGTAGGGCACCGGGCATTCAGACACCGCCTTTCGCTGATGGCCATGTGTTCCAGCTGTCTTCGCTTTGTTTTCGTGGCGTAGTCGCGGCGGGTCTAGTCCCCCACTGTGGCTCTTGCAGGCGAGCATGCTGCTCAGCTCTGGGCCTGACCAAGAAAAACAAAGTTTAGCATATCAAGAGCTCGACTTTGCACCTTTCGACACTTCTACGATCGGATCGCGTCTCGGGGACTTCCGCCAGCCTATATGCGGTGGTGAGATGCTGGCGGGTCGCCCAAAGTCCATTGCTTCTGCTACGGGTCTAGGTTTCCCGGCTGGTGCTTCTATCAACTTGGCGGATGTCGCTCAAGACGTTCACTGGCGAATGCTAAGTTTTCAGCCCAACGCCACGACGAGGCTACTGATCTGGATGCTGATAACCACGCAGCAGGAGAGCGAATCCCCTCTCGTGGCGCTGACGCGTGATTAGTACGCAGAGGGCAGGGGTACGCGGCGTCGGGCTTACCACACCTCAGCATCTGTCGACACAGTATGGATACTCGAAGTCCCAATACTTCGCTTTCGCTCACTTCGCCTTTGAAAGAAGTGGACGAGGACATTGGGCATTTGCCTATCCCATCTGGCCCCCAAAACGAGCCTGAGGACCCACACGGTCCGGCCAATGACGGGGAAGACACATAAGCGCGGCGCAACGTCCTTGCGCTACGAGCTCCCCGCCATCGCATTTTCAGCCTCAAGTTGCTCTTCTCCTGTAGGAGCTATGTCGCGTGGACCTGGATAGCACTCAATCCAATCCCCGTTCTGCCTCTTCATCTTCCTCTCCTCAGCTGCGCCGTTACAGCCCGCCTGCGTTGACTAGCAAACAGCTTCTCTGCCCCGCCAGTTCCCTGCCACCATGTCTCTGCGACCAGACGACAGGAAAGGACGATCTCGGTCCAAGTCGCCGGGACGTGGCCACGAGCGCTCACGCAGCCGCAACAGTAATGCGCGGGCTCCGTCGCCGGGGCCTCAATATTACGGCAGCTCAGCTGAGCATGGGGCCGCTGCAGCTGGAGCAGCCCCGCAATACGATGTCAGGCAGCCAGGACAGCTATACGCGACGTGAGTCCCCAAACCTCACGCCTCTCTTCTCCTCGTCCCAAACGAAGACGGAAGTTGTAACAGATCGACTGAGACATGGCGGCCAGACCAGGAAGCGAGCCCATCACCATGGGCGGCTATACAGACTTCCCTCCAGAGCAGCGCCCGGGCTACATGCAGCAGGCGCAAGCAGCAGCGCAGTACCAGTACACTGCGGGCGCACCAGACCCGCGATCGCCTACCTCGCCGGGCGTCGCATATGCGCAGCCGGGCGCTGTACAATATGCGACGGGCCAGTATGCGTACTCCGCTGCTCCAGCGACCCAGGCCGGGCCAACGAGGAACCCGTCGCAAACCGGAGGCTTCCACTATGCGCCGCAGCCCGAGAAGATCACATTTACCGCGAAGCCAGTGGTGCCTACGACGCAGCCGCCGCCCATACGACATACAACGCAGCCGACGAACCCGCCGTACCAGGCGCATCCGCAATATGCGATGCCGCAAGCCCCGGCTCCAGCTCCTCCGCCTCCGCACGCTGCCCAACAAGCATATCCGCCGCCGCCCATGGGAACGCATTCCCCGCAGCCGTCGCATCGGAGAGGCGCGTCGCATTCGGGACCGACAACATCGTATGACGGACGTAAAGTGGTTGAGATGGTACCTGGCGGTGGAGGGAAGCTGAATGCGCCGCCTTCGCCTGGGTTGCGGCCACACAGCTTGTCAGTGAGCGGAGGAAGACCGGATGGATTGACACCACGTATGGACAGGCTGTCTGTGAGCGGTAACAGGCCGGATATCCAGACCATTGCGCCCGGCGGTATGCCAGGAGGCTTTCCGGGCGGCGGGCTGCCACCACCAAGCCCCATGCTCGAAGCATACCACGGAACATACCAGTCGATATCACCGATGCCCCAGGCAATGATGCTGGACGACGATCTAGATCACCTTCCACCGCTGGACAGCCTTTCTCCAAGAGCATCGAGCTCTTCGGTCCACGGTAGCCGACGTCGCGCGCATTCTTCTTCACGGCGATCGCCGAGCCCGCAGCGAAAGTCAAAGCACAAGGATAAGCTAGCATTAGAGGCATATGGAGGATATGGAGGACGCGATGACCGAGATGGACGAGACAAGGAGAAGGAGAAGCGCAGAGTGAAGATCTACGACGCGGAAGAGGACGCACTCGCGCTTGTCGAAGCAATGGCCGCTCGCACCGTCGACGTGGACACCCTGATCGACATCCTCCCCGCCCTCTCGCACGACCAAATGCTCGAGCTGCGCTCCGAATACAAGCGGCACTGCAAAGTGCAAGGCCGCGGCATCAACATCGCCAAGCACATCAAGATGAAGACCAGCGGCAACTTTGGCAAAATCGCCTACGTCACCGCTTTGGGCAAGTACGAAAGCGAGGGATACTGGGCAAACTACTGGTACCAGTCCAATTCCGCACGCCGCGAACTCCTCATCGAAGCCCTCATGGGCCGCCAGAACTTCGAGATCCGTGAGATCAAGGATGCGTTTCGCGATAAGCGGTATGGGGATGACCTGAAGCGGTGTATGGATAAGGAGCTCAAGGCGGATAAGTTTCGCAAGGCGGTGCTTATGGCGCTGGAAGGGGAGAGACAGGAGGAAAGCGATGCGTGGCCGGCAGAGTATCGGAATCGAGATGTGGATACGCTGTACAAGGCGCTGAGTGCGAGGGAAGGGGGTGAGAGCGCCATGTTGAGTGTGGTAGTGCGGAGGAGCGACGCGCATCTGCGCGAGGTGCTGCGGACGTACGAGAGGAAGTACCAGGGCAATTTCGCCCGCGATGCGCTGAGGAAGAGCAACAACCTCGTCGTGCGTACCCCCTCCCATCCAATCCCTCCAGCAAAAGAACACATACTAACAACCCCCGCAGGGCGAAGTCATAGCCCACATCCTCAACGGCGTCATCAACCGCCCCGCCCGCGACGCCATGCTCCTGCACCACGCGCTCATGGACCTCATCGAGCCGCCGCCCTCCCCGCGCTCCTCGTCCAGCAAACTCGCCTCCTCGTCCTCCAAGCACGAGCGCCAGCAGCGCTTCGAGCTGCTGATTAGCAGGCTGGTCCGCCTGCATTGGGATCGCTTGCATTTCATCCGCGTCAAGGCTGAGTATGAGGAGAAGTATGACAGGGTCGTCGAGGAGGATATGGAGGAGGCGACCAGGGGCGACTTTAGGGAGTTTTGTCTGGCGCTGTGTCAGACGAGATAGGTGGAAGGGGAAGGGGAAGGGGGGGGGATTTGGAATGGGATGTATGGTTTTAAATGGATACCCCCGGCTTCGCTTCGAGTCCATTGGTTTTTCTCTGTTGGGGATATGCATGCAATGTTTAAAGGCCCCTCTCTATTGACCTAAGGGTAAGGCGATGCGTGCGTAGGTCTACCCGGTTGATTGGCATCTGATAGCGCATCTCAGCTCCAGCCTTCTACTGTATCATAAATGCCGGATGCTTCACCAACTCAAACCAACTCAACTCAACGCGACTAACTGGCCCTTTGGTCAACCGAGCCTCGCATACATAATCCTTATCTCACCTCACTTCCCCTCACCTCATCTCACTTCCTTCAAGCCGACCCGACAAAAAGGAGCAGGAAAAGAATGTCCTTCCTCGGTTGGTTAGTCAGTCCGAACTAGAATTCAGGAAACGGACCCACATTAATTGATTGGTTACATTTTATCTATTATCATACTGTAGGCCGAACAACTTATCCCAACCCTAGGCTAATCCTAGTCTCCCTAACTGCTAGCTACTGTTGCTTCGTTCGTTCGTGCCTTCGTTTCCCGCCCTCCGGTCCGATCCATTCCAGTCTAACAATCCTCTTCCTGTCGTTCGTAAATATAAGTACGTGTAAGCAAGCAGGCAAGTCCTCGCAGCCAGCCTTCCAACACACTACCGCCAAGAAAGAACGAAAGAAAGAAAGATGATGAATCTGCGAATACGTACCTACATACGCCGAGCTGTACTTAGCTTTACTTAGCCTAGCTTTACTTAGCCCTACTTACCCAGCCCAGCCCGCAATCCAGACACGAAGATAGCCCGAAATGCCCGCCCGTCTTGCCACTGCCTATGTCGGTGCTCTCCCGCCGTAAGTATGGATTGCTGGCTTTGTACGGCTTTTGATATTCCTCTTGCGGTGGGTAGGACATTCTCTAGATTCAAGGGCTGGCTCGCCGTATACGTAGTAAGGTTGCTCGAACCGTGCAGCTAGCTATGTACCATTCATTGTATGCACCTGTAAAGGCTAAAGGCCTCCGGGATAGCTGTTACGTGCGTTGTTATATCGAGAGAATTCCACACCGCGAGAATATGCTTGGGAGGCAGTTCCATCGGAGAAGCTGTAATTATTTTCATGAACGGGGAACAAACAAATCCATACACAGCCCTTCAGCCCATCCAGTCCCGAACACCAGTCCAACGAGACGCTAAACTCCAAAAATGCAACTTCACCCCAAAGCCTTCATGATCATACCCCTAGCCTTCCCCCAAACGGTCCGGTTCCGCCTCTCCGGCATCTTCCTCACGCTCTCCACGGCTCGCTGACTCCGAATCTGCTCCTCGCTGAACCAGTTGCCATGCAGGCCATACGGCACTCTAGTCGGTAAACGCACCCTGCACACCACAGTCTGCATATCCCTCGCATCCAGCACCCACAGCTCGCTCCTCGCGTCCTCTCTGCATTCCCCGTGCTCATCGAGCTGCGACTCGTCGAAGGCGTAGAAGAGGAGGTAGCCGTCGTCTTCGCTAGCCTGGGGTTGCCGAGCGACAAAGCGCGCTTCCTGGGCGTAGTGCCAGGGCGGAAGTTTGAAGGCCTGGATGGGATCCGCCGGGTCCCGTGAGGAGAGGATGGCCTGGATGGACCGCGAGTCCACACAGCCTGTGATGTTTTGTGGCGGGTTGTTCCGCGCGCGGGCGAGCAGAATGTGGACGTCCATCTTCACGATGACGTCTATTTTTGTGGCCTTTCCTAGGGCGGCGCCGAACGAGGCGTTCGAGGTGCTGCACCCGTAGACGTAGCGTGCGAAGGACATGTCGTGCGCGGGGGCGACGGTGGGGAACTCGAAGGGGATGGGTGAGAGGGCGTATTGGTCGGTGATGGTGTTGCATGTCTCGGGGGACAATGGGAAGCGGTAGTGGTAGAGGCGGCATTGTTCGTGGTCATCTTCTGAGATGGGCGGGGATGGAGGACTGTTTCTTGAACAGAGACTGTCGGTCTTGAGGAGTGCGGTTTTCTCATCCGGGGGGATGTTCTCGGGATCTATGAATTGGTCGTCTTCGTCGTATTTGGCAAAGAACGACATTGGCCTTCGTTCCCCGTTTTCCATTTTGCTGGGATGAGGTGGCGGCGTGATGTTTCCGGCACTGAAGACTAGCGATGCGGATGTCAGACGGCAAGCCAGCATGCCGACGGCGGAGATGTTGTTGTCGGAGTCGTACTCATCCCACGTGTTCGCTGTGTGGAATATACAGCACCCGTTCGTCTCGAACCACCGTACCGCGCTTGGGTCCCGGCGAGGGAATACGCCAAAGCGGGAAGGTTTTTTGGGCTCATACGCGACGACTGGTTGGTTCTTCAGGAGGTTGAACGGCGAAAGGCTGAGTGGGAGATCTAGGATCACTGTGTGGTGCTTGGAAGCGCCAAAGTCGTGCATCATCTTACCACCGGAGCATTTCGGGACCGGGACGTTTATCAACTTTCGAGGTTCCGGACCAAGCACGTTTGAAACGGCCTTCTGCCTGGGAATGACTGAGTAGTGCACGAAAGGCGGCAGGAAATTGCAGTGGAAGAGCATCATTTCCCCCGTGGTAGGGTCAACTTTCGGATGGCCGGTAGTCCATTCTCGCATCCAGCTATTGAGACCGGTCCCACCAAATCCAGGTCCGGCATCGCTTTGCTCAATTGAAACTGGTTCTCCCTCAGCTCTGTTCCCATCGAACCAGCCGACGGTCTCTAGTCCGGGCAATTGAACGCGAATTGGGGGCCCGCTCTCACAAGTGGCCAACGCGCGTCCATCGTGGTAGAGAAATCCGGTATTTGCTACACTTATTCTCTTGATAGCGTACTGCGAACCGGGAAGATGAGACAATAGCACAAGCATAGAGGCCCTTAGAATGCTCCAGATGATTGCGACCAGGCTTGAAAATGGGCTGACGAGCGTCGCTATACTTGGTAGAATGGGTGTCCGTAACTGTTCATTCTCGAAGCTCGACAGGCACAGATCGGTTAGGACGAACTGGTTGACAAACTGTGGCGAGGAGCGGTCAAACCACACGCCGGTGAGCATCCCGTCACCGTCGAACCAATGCACCTCCCGGCCGAGATCTGAATTGGAGATGGGGTTGCCCCCGTTCCTGACGTACATACCGCCATGCAGTTCTTTGGGAATGACTCCGGAGAACTTGACGGGCTTGGGAGGGCATGTTGTTGTTGCTGGCGCGAAGTTGCCGGCGAGGTACCTAGGAGCTGTTAGGAAGGATGCCGTGCAACTGGAGTCTGTGGAACATACGGATGGTCCCCTTTTTGCTTTTTCTTCTGTCCATTCTTGGACATTTCGAGCAGCTAGCTTCACTGCATCGAGCCTTAGCCTGGATTGAATGAACTTGAGGATCAGTGTTCGAAGGTTCTTGACTTAAGTCTCGTTCTCCATATGATGTGAGATTCCGGCGTCCAGCAGCGTTCGGCGTCCCTCGATATCATCCGGCGTCGCGGTGACAAACGTAGGCTGTCCAGGCTCCGGCAGTTCAAGAGCTGATATGACGAGGTCATCGTGGGAAGCGCGATCTGAATGCACATGATGGTGGATGATCGCGGAGGTGAAATCATGACGTATGGCTGAAGCTTGGAGGCGACGCTAACCTATTTTGGGCAGGGTGCTTGCCTCAACACAACGCGTCATGGAACTCCACCACACGACCACCACCATGGCGTCTTTTTGCCCTTCCGCTGCCTGTCGCTCGCTGTGCTTTAGCATTTCCCCCTGCATTCGGTCCCTGGGAATCGACGTGACCTGACGTGACTTGCACGTCTCCCGCTCTTTTGAAGTCGACGGGGGGCATGTGAAAGGAAGCTCCACCACGACGCAATGGGATTCGAATATGCGCTTGTGTATGTGGACTGGCCTGTCGGCTGTTGGGTGCTTAATCGATATGCAATGGACTAACGACTACGATAGGCATATTAAATATACTATCCCGCCGGCTATACTGCTTACTTTACTATACCGCCCGCTGTTTACCAAGCTCGACGCATACAAGGTCTGCTTTCTGATAACTGTACGTACGCCTAGCAACGTGGTCTCAATGTTCCTAACTCTAACAGATTGCTGTTGTTTCTACAATACCGTGGGACTCGTACTTGATCCGCAATCGCATTTGGAGCTATCCAAGCCATGTCATTATTGGCCCGAAGCTATACGACATCCCGCTTGAGGAAGTTTTCTTCTTCGTTATCCAGACATACAACACCTCGCTCATTTACCTGTTCCTGAGCAAGCCCACCTTTCAACCGGCATATCTCCGTGTCGAGCGGCCGAAGTCGCATCCTCTAGGACTAGCTAACACGCAATGGCGGTCTTACAGACTTCTTGGGCAAATCACATTCATTAGTTTGATTGGTTGGGGATGGCGTATTGTAAAGGATGGTGGCATGGGGACATACACGGGCTTGATACTTATCTGGGCCTGTCCATTTCTACTATTCCTATGGTAACACCAGTTTTGTCCGCGTTTCCGCCCAATTGCTGATCTAAGCTGTAGGAGCTTAGCCTACCAGTTCGTCCTCGGCCTCCCGGTATCCAACACCGTGATACCCATAGCACTCCCTACTTTGTACCTCTGGATCGTCGATACTTTGGCATTAAAGCGAGGAACATGGGTAATCAACGCTGGCACGAAGTATGGTCTTCATATGTGGGACGGGTTGGACATTGAAGAAGCGCTCTTCTTCCTCGTCACGAACGCGCTCATCGTGTTTGGGCTACTAGCGTTTGACAACTCGCTCGCAATCCTCGTCACCTTTCCGACCCTGTTCCCGAACCCGCCTGTTCTTCCTTCGCCGCTCATGCTCGTCCGAGCACTGCTCACTTCGATCTCAAAATACGACGAAGCGCGTTTGATTGGCCTGCGAGAAGCTGCGATGCGGCTACAGAGAAAGAGCCGCAGCTTTTACCTTGCGTCTTCCACCTTCGAAGGCCGAATTCGCGCCGACTTGCTGCTCTTGTACTCGTTTTGTCGGGTTGCGGACGATCTTGTTGACAACGCTTCTTCGGCCGAACAAGCAAGTGAAGGGATCGCGAAGCTCGACACTTTCTTAAAGCTGGCTTACGAGAAGGAGAAGTCTGGATCTCTGATCACCGAATACGTTATGAAAAACTTCCCTCCCGACACGAGGTCTGCACTCTTGGAACTTCCCTTCGCCAAACTATCCAGAGAACCTTTGCAAGATCTGCTGCGCGGATTCGGGATGGACCTAGCTCTCAACGATGCGTCACCTATCAAGACAGAAAACGACTTGCACGTTTATGCCGAAAGAGTCGCTGGTACCGTTGCCCAAATGTGCAACCAGTTGATCTTTCACGTCTATCACACCGATAAATCTACTGAAAAGCAGAGTTGCATCATTGAGGCCGGGAGACGCATGGGCGTAGCGCTCCAATATGTTAACATCGCCCGCGACATTTCCGTGGATGCGGAGATCGGGCGCGTCTACCTGCCCCTATCATGGCTGGCCGAGGCTGGTCTCACGTATGAGTCCGTTCTGAAAAATCCGCAGGGCCCGCGCATAGAGAGGTTGCGCTCAAGGCTATTGGACAAGGCGTTTTCGCTGTACAACGGCGCGCGAGATGCGATCGAGGAACTTCCAGTAGAAGCCCGTGGCCCGATCAGAGTTGCTGTTGAGAGCTACATGGAGATCGGGAGAGTGCTGAGGCAGGAGGGGTACGTCGTGAAAGCGGGGAGGGCAACAGTGTCGAAGTGGAGGCGGTTGATCGTCGCCTGGCGAACGTTGGGCAGGTGATCATTGAGGCATCGATACCCTTACTTGGAGCGAGTGCATCTGCGCACCTACTGCATAATATGATAATACTGCATGCTCAAGAAATCGAGAAGGGTTGACCATTGGTCGAATAGTGAGCATCTCCCCATCTGACTTGATCAACGTCAAATGTCCCAGGAGGAGCTTCTCGAGACGAGGTTGTGCAGATCTGGGTAGCCGTTGAGGGGTCGCCGGGATGTGCTGACGAAAGATGGAGCTATCGCAACTAGAATCCCCGCTCGTCGTTCCGACGCGTTAGCGGATGCATACCCGCGGCATCTCTGACGGGAAAAAGCACCTCATTCGTGGGGCGAGCATCCGGTTGCTTCCGCTCGTACAGGGCTGACGCGCAGTTGACAAATGAGACAGCGAGGTGGGTCGTTCACATTTCCATGATGTCGAAGCAAGCTCAGTAGATCAGCACCAAAAAGCTTAATCGCCGGCGAATGGCCGTTGACTATGCCAAACTACGCTAGCCCTTGCTGAATGCCTGCTCAAAGGGTGCGGTGTCCATGGATGTAATACATCATCGATCGCTACTGTAACTTGTCGCTAAGATCGCTGGCGTTGCAGGCTATCCGCCCCGATCTCCAGCGCAACTCACATATTCTCCGCGGTCTCTTTGTTGGATAATCGCACGGAAAAGGTTGTTCGGAAGATGAGCTTCGACTATGGCGCTTTACTCGTGAGTAGCACCGCTTGATTTGCTGCTGAGGTGGCGTAAGAGCCATTTTCCAAAGGTACCAGCTCGTCGGTGCTCGTGCGGACTAACGTGTAACAAGTGGAAATTGATGATGTTATCGTTAGATAAACCTCCCTTTATGAGAGCGTTGAATGGTCTGTCGTCATAGTGCGGCCGTACTAGCATACCTAGGTACCAGCCCTGACCGTGGGTGGTGGAAGCTATATCAAGCAATCCCGCACCCAAGTCTAGGCATCATCAGCTCCTAATTAAAGAGCTGCACCTACACACTCGTCCTTCGTCGTCTAGCTGAAGCAACACTGCAAAGATGGGTTTGGAAAAGCGAAACAATGCCTTGAAGCTCAACGGTACGACTGCTTCGCTCCGTCTCATCTAGAATGCAACTGACCGAGCGCAGGCAACTACAAGAACGGCGCCCTAGCCGACATCGCCATCACCACCCGCGGCTCAGACTGGTACTTCACCGTCTGTGCCGTCATGACGCTCGCCGGTTTCATCTTCATCGGGCTCTCCTTCCGCAAGCCGCGCCGCGACCGCCTGTTCCACTACATCACTGCCGCCGTCGTCTTCGTCGCTGCCATCGCGTACTTCACTATGGGTTCCAACCTCGGCTTCACGCCCATCCAGGTCGAGTTCTCCCGCTCGGATCCCAAGGTGCGCGGCACGTTCCGCGAGATCTTCTACGTCCGCTACATCGACTGGTTCATCACGACGCCGCTGCTGCTCATGGACCTCATGCTCACGGCGGGGATGCCGTGGCCGACCATCCTGTGGGTGGTTATGGTGGACTGGATTATGATTGTCACGGGGCTGGTCGGCGCGCTCGTCCAGTCGCGCTATAAGTGGGGATTCTTCACCTTCGGTGCGGACACCTTCTCTTTCCCCTGCCTAGCGTGCAGCGGACTGACATTTTTCCCGCAGGCTGCGCCGCCCTCGTCTACATCGTCTACCACCTCGTCTGGGAATCGCGCCGCAACGCGAATGCCTACGGCAGAGACATCGGCCGCGCGTTCCTCTTCTGCGGCTCGCTTACCACCATGCTGTGGATTCTGTACCCGATTGCCTGGGGCGTTTGCGAGGGCGGCAATGTCGTTGCGCCGGACTCCGAGGCTGTGTTCTATGGTATCTTGGATCTGCTTGCTAAGCCGGTGTTTGGCGCGCTGCTGATCTGGGGGCATCGCAATATCGATCCGGGGATGCTGGGCTTGGCGATTAAGGATTATGAGGGCGATGTTGCTGTGCATGGACGGAGTGAGAAGGGGGGAAGACAGGCGGAGCCGGTTGTGCCTGCGAATGATGGGCATGCTAATGGGCACGGTGCTACCCCGGCTGATACGACTGCCACTACTGCGGTCTGAGCAGACTTCACCCAAGGCGGTCCCGAGCACTTACGGGCTTTGCGGAATTGGAGTGGTGGTGGCGGATGCAGCGGCAGGATGAAGCTACCATCCAACGACGATCGCTTGTAGAGTAATAGGAGCGTAACAGTTCCAAGGGATCCACTTCTCCACTCAAAATGGCTCGCTGGTTTTGCTTTTCTTGAGGCGTGTTGGCGTTGATGAGTTATGCTATGTTACTCGATACCCAGATCATGGAGAATGTAATCACATTGCGGAAATATTCAGGAATTGGAATGACGTTTGATTTGAAACGAGTTTGGGATGCTGGCCCGTTTTCTCAATGTAGTGCATGTATTGGAATAAAGTCCTTCATAGTCTCGGGGTTTCAACCAATCCGACTAGATTGATTGATTCTTCTCGTTATGAGACATAATTCGACGACATAACTCCACCCCTTCCCTTTCCACCAAAGTGAACTGTCCGCCCTGAACCGCCTAGCTAAAAACCAGAGTGTCCTTCACTAGCTCACACCTATTTTGGCGAGGTACGCGGGCGTTCTAATTACTGGTCTGGGCTATGTAAAAGTGCGAAGCGGGTGGAAAATGGGAGTGAGATTGCGGCGTGAAGTGATTCAGGATACACTGACCACAGCCGAGAGGGCGCTTGGCGCCGTGGCGGAAAGGGACTCAGGCTAGACTGATCGCACCAGGAGGTAGGGAACAAGGTATTTCCTTTCTGTACGTGGAACTCCCGCTCTGGCCAGTTCGTGAAGTGAAAAGTTTCTTGCGTGGCTAATACTGATACCAAAGCGATCATGAGCCCATAACCAACGGGTAGCCAGTCCCCTCAAACAATAAAAATAGCCCCAAAAGGCAGCGCCACAGAGACAATATACGCCGCCTGCCCAAACTCCACCTTAACACCACTTTCCTGCCTTGCAGCCGCAGCGGCATCCAAACCCCCACCATCCCCCGTGCAAGCAGTCAGCACCACGTCTCCAAACAGCGGCGTCAGCAGCACGGTCCAGACACACACCAGCACGAGAAACCGCGAGAGCAGGAACCACAGGCGTTGAAATAGCGATAGTGATAACGGCGCTACCGCCGACGCGAGGTCCTCCTCCTTCTTCTCGCCTTTCTCCTCCTCCTCGCCCTGCGCGTCTCCTCCGCGCGCTGCAAGCCCGGCGCGGTACTGCCGATACATCGATATTGCATTGCACGTAATGAAGGCGAGATCCACGAAGACGAAGCCGAGGCATAAACCCTCGCGGATCGGCGTTTCCCTGATGTACGTAGCGGCCAGGACGAAGCTGCCCCCCAGGCTGAGCAACGCGCTGATGACGTACAGCCCCAAGAAGCCCATGAGGATGTTCCAGCGCAGCTGGGCGTAAACGTGCACTCTCAATGCTTGGTCTGGGTCCTCGTGCTCCTTCTCCTCCTGCTCGCCGCGGTCGCCGGCCAGCACGCACAGCAGGCCGAGGTAGAAGGGCAGCGTGGTGTTGTTGACGGTGATGAGAACGAGGGGCGGCGAGTCGTCGATCGAGTCGGGTTGCAGGAGGACTGTAGCGCCGGCGAAGAAGATGGTGAGGAAGCCGAGGGCTTTGCGGAGCGTGGTTGTCTTGAGCGGACGGCCGCCCCACGGTGATCGGTCGGCGATGAGGAAGACGAGGATTATGTAGATGATGATGTGTGTGAGGAAGCCGGCGAGGCCGTAGGGGAGACTTGAGGCTGCTGTCATGGTGGGTTCGGGTGGGGGTGGCGAGGTGGTGTTGCTGGTCGCCATTGTGGAGGGCGGAGTGATTTAATGTGGAATGCAGGTGTCTAGGAGTGTAGGTACTGTGGGATGAAGGAATTCAGGGTGGGCAGAACACAGCCGAGAGGAGAGGTATATAAGTGTGCGTCAGCGGGTGTGTGGACGTCTCGCAAATTTGCTCGCCCAACCAAACGCACACCCAACTGAGCGCAATTTTTCTGCCCAGAAGAGCCTCACCAACAAGATAATGAACTCACCGAAAAGGATGGATGCGGTCAATACCTTCAACCAAGGGTGCGGAGCCCGCCCCACTCCCCATTCCCCACGCAGCGAATAAAAGGATGGCCGCAATATTTTCTGCGCTGCAATTGCAGTGTTGCAATGGCGGACGCTAGTGACAATTTTGAGCACCGTGGAATTCGAGGCGGAAGTCAGGCCGGATGATAAGTGCGGTGGTCTCGAGTCCGGAGCGAGATTAGTTCTGCAGAAGTATCGTGCTAATCACTTCGGGGGCTGAGTTCTGTATCGATTCTCTCTTCAGCGTTCGAACATTGAGCAGTTAACGATTGATTCAAAGGGATCATAGTTACACGAAGGTGTTCGAAATACGATAGAATACATTCAAGACGGGGTCGATTAGTTATGTGTGGGGCATACCGCTTGTAGTAGACCCCACCATCCCCAGCAGGTCACCAACCCGCCGGGCCTTCAACCCCATGTCACCTCCGGTGCGACACCCCCTCAACCGCCCAACTTAAAAGTGCGGCGTGTTCAACGCCATGAGCATCAAAAGGCCAGAGATGAGGCCGGCTCCCGGGAGCGTAATGACCCAGCCGGAGAAGATGAAGGCCACCTGCTTCCAGTTCACGGCCTTGAGGTCGAAGTTCATCAGGGCGACACCGATTGTTGCTCCAGTAAGACACTGAGTCGTACTAACAGGCAGACCCAAGCGACTCGCTAGCAACACACAGATGGCCGCTCCAAGCTCCATACTGAACCCACGTGTCGGGCTGACCTGGGTGATCTTGTTGCCCAGAGCGCGCACAATGTGGTACCCATAGAACCAGAAGCCGGTACCGAGGAGCAAGCCGGCAATGACGAGGATCCAGATGGGTGTGTCGGCTTCCTTGGTTACCAGACCGGTCTCGTACGTGTTGTAGGTGGCAACCCAGGGACCGACGGCGTTGGCAACTAGAAGTGCAAATATAGTTAGCACGGATTCGAGAAACAAGGGGAAGAGTCCAAGACCGTGCGTATCGTATGACCTGTGTAGCTTGGCGAAGCTTCAACTGCCGTGCCGGGTGGCATTTGGCGAAGCTTCGAGACAAGCCTTGGCATGCGTATGTATATCTCAGCCTTACGTACCATCGTTGGAGCCATGAGCAATGGACATCATCATTGCAGACGCGACCTGGGCATAGGTCCAGAGATGCTCGACCTTGTTGTCGTAGACGACGGCCCTGGCGTGGATGTCGAGCATATCTAGACTTGTCAGCAGCTGAGCGATACGGTAAAACCTGCGAGCCACTCACTTTTCTGGGTCACCACATCGCGGCTCACACCCTGAAGCAGAAGGAACTTGACCCAGTTGCCAATCTTCTTCGGGTGGTAGATAGGAAGGTGGGCGACTGGCTTCAGCCAGCGTTCCTCTGGTTCTGGCTTTGGCGGGATGATGTGCAGAGTAGCGCCCGGCGGAATACGCCTTTGGTGTACGTCCGCGCCTACCTCTCCGCGTTCAATGTCGTCGCCACTTCCACCCGACGATTTGGTGTCCACGGCGGTTGAATGACCTCTGCTCTTCTCCTCGAGCTCTTCTTCTGAGCTGCTGTTGCTTAAAGCCTTGGCGTAATAGTCGGTGACGATGAGATCACCCTTGGCTGGGAAGTACAGCGGAGGATTCTCTCGCCAGAGAAGAGGCCCAAGCGGAATGTGCCATGCTCGGACCCTGGCATCTCCTTGAACAAGGCGCCGGTGGAAGTAGGGGAGGAAGAAGGCGTAAGAGATGAGCAGAACGCCAAAGAACACACCAAGAATAATACCACAGGCCTTTCCGGGGCCCATCTCTTCCAGGGACTCGCCTTCCGGTAGCTCGTCGATGATGAAGAGAGCTAGGACACCGCCGGTAAAGGCAAGATAGAATGGGATCAAGCGCAGACCCCACTTGAGAGGATCCTTGCGTTGCAGGACGCCGTACTTGACTGTCCCGAACAGGATGGCAGCAAAGCCGGCGGAGATGAAAGGTGCAATGACCCACGACGCCGCAATCTGGGACACACTCCCCTTGTCCCAATCCCACTTGATGGAGGCCTGGGCGGCAAGGCCAGAGCCGATGAGGGCGCCGACGACGGTCTGGGTCGTGCTGACGGGAAAGCCGGCGATGGTAGCGAATGTGAGGAAGGTGGCGCTTCCGAGTTCAGCACAGCCCATGGCGAGCATCAGGGTTGCTGGCGCTGGCTTGAACCGGTTCAAATCGAAGATTCCGCTCTTGATGGTGCCTGTGACGCGGCTCCCGAGGGCGACAGCTCCGAGAAACTCAGTGCCCGAGGCGAGAATGCCGGCTTGCCACATTTGCAGCGTGCGGGCGGCGACGGACGTGGCATACGAATTGGCAACATCGTTGGCACCATTGGAGGCCGAGGAGACGACGAAGGCGATGGTGGTGAGGGCGAGGATCCAGTTGTACCTCTTCAGCGCTGGCGCCATGGCGGGCAAGAGTGGAGCAGTGTGCTTCGCTCGCTCGGGACGTAAGGCTTGAAAGGTGTTGGCTCTGCGAGATGGCTGCTGCTGATAGTGCAGAAGGCCCGCGATGCTTTATAATTAAGCCCGTCGCAGCAGGCGACGGAGACCCGGCAGCCTGGACGGCGTGAATGGCAACCAGGAAGGGCAGGTATTCGGCTTTCGCGATCCATGGTGTCTAGCTGGCGTAGGAGGCAGTGGAAGCGTTCGAAGAACGGGCAAACGAGAGCTCTTGACGCGAAAACGTGGGCCCAGGGCGCTTTATGATTAAGTCTCGAGCCCTGCGGCGGAGTCCTTGGCAGGCGCACAAGGGGCGTCTGCCGAGCGTTTGCCCAGCTCGGCCCAAGGCTCCGCCAACAAATCTTTTCCGAGCTTTGCCCTCGCATCAAATCCTTATCCTTCTGCTCCGCCAATGGGACGCCTCGAGAGACGCATCGTGGTCTTCCGCCCAGTGTCCGCCAAGCTCTGTGCGCGCGCCAGGCAAAATGGGCATGTAGGGAACCGCGCAGAGCCCACGTTCTCAGATTCGAAGCGTTAGATCGTGGAGCGATGCGCGGAAATAAGCAATTACTCGCAGTGAGCAGCACTGGCGCGTCGGCGACTCTTGGTTTGTGACGCCGGGATTGTGGAACGTCGTGCCATAGCCGTGGGCTGCTTGGGGGAGGGGTTCGTTCCGAACGGGGAACATGCTGCATGAATACTACACAACCGTGGCGGTGCTTTTGCCTGTACGGTAAAGTCAGCCTTCGTACCCTGTACTCTCGTGTTGCTTGTGGAAATAGTTACCGTCTAGAGATCCCAGCTAGGTGAGCGCCTGCAGCCTTTCAGACCTCGTGACATATGGGAGAGGCAACAGCCCTTCTTACCATCAGAGCTGGCTATATCGCAGTGGGTATGGTAGGCCGCTCGCCTCTAGAAAGCACCTGGAGGGTTTCACCGCAGAGAGAACACGGAGTTTACAGTGTGACGCTCACGGCATGACCCCATCAAATGCCACGCCGGGCGCAGCGTCGCTGCCGCATCTATCAGGGAAATTCGAAGTCGATCCGAGCTCAATACGTAAGCCATCGATCAGGAAGAGAGGTGGAAAAAGAACTCTTGGGAAGTCTTGCGAGTTGGACACGGCGTGGATCTGATCTCATGCCCAGTCAGTTGGGACTCAAAAACACGCTAGACTCATTTTAGCAGATCACGTGCCACCCTCGCTATCTCAGTCTTGACCAACCATTACCGTCCATCAACCGTCAGATATGTCTGATCAGTTAAATTGCGTTCTGAGGAAGACAGCATCGGTGGACTGAGCAGCTGCTTATAATCCTTCAAGTCCACGCTTGCGATCTCCGCTCTCGATTCCAATTTTCGCACACGTCACGACTCCGGTAGCGCCGGCTGGGCGTCTCCAGTGCGAACGCGCTCACAACAGCGTCCTGCATTTTTCACGAAGACGACATGGTACCGCATAGGTTTTGCGAATTCTGAAGAGATGGGAGAAGTGGAGAAGCCGCGCAGCGTTATCATCGTCGGAGCTGGCGTCGGCGGTGTCGCTACCGCGGCGCGCCTCGCAGAGGCCGGGTTGAAAGTCACAGTCGTGGAGAAGAACGACTTTACAGGCGGACGATGCAGCTTGATACACCGCGATGGATACGTAAGAGGCTCCGGTTCGATGCTTCTGCGCCGAGGTTGACGGTAACAGAGATTTGATCAAGGCCCGAGTCTGCTGCTACTTCCTCACCTGTTCCACGAGACCTTCCGGGACCTAGGGACTTCACTAGAAGAGGAGGGCGTGCATCTGGTCAAATGCGAGCCCAACTACAATATCCACTTCCACGACCAGACATCCTTCAAGCTCTCAACCGACCTTGCCACCATGAAAGAGGAGATCGAGCGCTTCGAGGGCAAGGAGGGTTTCGAACGTTATCTCTCGTTCCTCCAGGAATCGCATCGCCATTACGAGTACTCTGTCACGCATGTGTTGAGGAAGAACTTCTACTCTATTCTGAGTATGTTGCGACCGAGCTTCCTCCGTCATGTACTTGCACTACATCCGTTTGAGAGCATATATGGTCGAGCTAGCAAGTACTTCCGAACTGAAAGGCTCAGAAGAGTTTTCACCTTTGCGAGCATGTACATGGGCATGAGTCCTTTTGATGCGCCGGGCACGTACAGCTTGCTGCAGTACACCGAGTCGGCTGAAGGGGTATGGTATCCCATTGGTGGCTTCCACAAGGTGCGTACGGACATATCATATTCCACTTCTCATATGTATTGCTGACGGATCAGGTCGTGGATGCACTCGTCAAGGTCGGCAAACGGAAAGGCGTTGAATATCGAATGAACGAGCCGATATCCCGCATCCAGCTCTCCAGCGACAGGCTACGAGCAACTGGAGTCGTACTCAGGGACTCCAACGAGACGCTTACCGCGGACCTAGTCATCTGCAATGCCGACCTCATCTACGCATACTCCAACCTCCTCCCGTCGACACCCTACTGCCGCTCTCTCTCTAAACGAAAAGCCTCGTGCTCCAGCATCACCTTCTACTGGGCCCTGGACAGACAGTTCCCTGAGCTCTCGGCACACAACATCTTCCTCGCGGAAGACTACAGAGAGAGCTTCGACAGCATTTTCAAGAAACATCAGATTCCAGACGAGCCAAGCTTCTACGTCAACGTCCCTTCGCGGGTCGATCCCACCGCTGCCCCAGAAGGATGTGACGCGATAGTCGTCCTGGTACCAGTCGGTCATCTCTTGGACCCCGACACAGATTCGCACAAAGGAACTCCAAGCTCGCCGGGAACCACGCAGAACTGGGAGCGCATGATCTCGACCGCACGCGACACGATTCTCAAGACCATTGAATCGCGCCTTAACATCTCTCTAGGCGCTCACATAATCCACGAATCCGTCAACGACCCGCCAGCGTGGAAGTCGACCTTTAATCTAGACCGCGGCGCTATCCTCGGCCTGAGCCACTCTTTCTTCAACGTGCTTAGTTTCAGGCCGAAGACCCAGCATCCCGGCATCGAAAACTTGTACTTTGTAGGCGCCAGCACTCATCCCGGGACCGGCGTACCGATTGTGCTCGCCGGCGCGAACCTCGTTAGCGAGCAGGTCCTTCAGGCGACTGGTCAACGTGCTCCATGGCTGAAGAGCGGGGAGGTGTGCAATGGAGAGCGCAGCGCATTGGGCCAGACACATCGGACGCTCGTGCTCAGCTGGCTCCACTGTGCCGCGATCACGCTGCTTGCGACGGCGATCTGGCTTTTCAGCGCACTTGCTGGCGGATGGGATTGGAAGGAGGCACGATTCACAGGAGACTGGTAACGCGTAAGATGAAGAAACAGCCATTGCTGGTATTGTAACGGGGGAGATTCGTTGCCGACTCTCGAAGTATGAGGGCCTCTATCCTCGCCGCTCTTCCTGCTCTGTTAATGAACTCGTGTCTGGCTTTTTACATCACCGCCTGTTCAGAGGTCTAATCGACTGATTCGTCCGGGCTGGTTTTCTTTTATTCGCGTATGTTGAGCCTATGGGCTTATTATTTGCTAGTAATACCTGGCGACGGAAGGGATGCTTACATTCCTGGTGCCGGCATATGTCCCCGGCGGCGTTCTGGCAACGCTTGCGCTCCGGAAGTTGGTAAAATAACGGAAGGCGGTGAATAAAAAGCTCATCGCAAGGGGACGACAGGGAGCCCTCGAAGTCGAACCCGGGTTCTTGCGGCCCGACCGTTTCGCATGGGTCGACGGCTAATGCGTACTAGTACGGTCGCGAGGGGCGACTCAGAAGGCCGATTTGCAAATCCACGGAGACTACTTTCCTTCCCCGGGGTTTTAAACTGAGAACGTCCCGGCTCCCGATGCAATACGCCTTCCTCGTGTCCGCAGCGGCTGGTAGCCTTCGAGCGTAATCGGCCGTCTGCGTGCGATGCGCGTGTACACGCAGTAGATATAGCTTTCTTCCTGGACGAGCTATCTGCACCAATTCCGCCAAAAAATTCCCCGAGATGATAATTACGACTTTGCCGCTGACGACACTGGCCCTAGGCACTGGCTACGTCTCTACTCTCGGCCGCAGCAGCCGCGATGCTATTCCGATCTCCGTTGACTTGCTGTTCGGAGCGATATACAGGCCAGTTGCGAGACGCCTTCGATACTCGGAGCGACAGCGCTGACTAAGGAACTTCGAGTTGGGTACGGCTCGGGCCTCCCAGAGAAATCCTTGGTATGGTTCTGAAGCAAGTGCACACTAGTTTGTCATCGGTGAATGACTACCGTACCCGCTTTTCCCGCTTTCCTGCGTTCATGGTGGGAGGCAAGCAGGTTTCGATCGCTCATGGTGATGAATAGCAGTGGATTCATGCAATATGGGGGAAAGAAAGAGCCAGAAGCGCTTTGAGTGGACGCAGCTTTTGCAAGACGGACGGCAAGCGCCCGCAGAAGAGGGGGAAACGGACGAAACTCTTCACGGGCTGGATGAGGGACGAGGGCAATGGCCACTGGACTTGGCGCTCGAGGATGAGCTTCGGGTGGACCATGCGCTTCGAAGCAAACAATTTTATAACCACCACCGATAGAAAGCAATGGACGGACAATCATGCACACAACCACCGATAGAAAACAACGGACGGACAATCACGCACACAACCACCGATAGAAACAACGGACGGACAATCACGCATACAATTTGTTGTTGCCCCTCCCACAAACTTGGATTAGATATAATGACGCCTACCCAGTCTATGGGCATTCTGCCCACCGACCCCAAGTCGACTACTCTCCTCTGGGAAGCCGTGCAAAAGTTCAATTCTGGCTCGCCGAGCATTCTTGACCGACGCTACAACATGTCGAATGCTGCCTCGAACGCGCGCACTATCCTGGAGAAGCATGGCGTCCAGATTGGCAGCCTGCCAATGGTATCGAGAAAGCTGGAGCTTGCCCCTCTCGACCACGTACCACCAAGCCCGCTACGTATCACTGCAGACTTGGGAAATATCAGGAGATCCCTTGCATTCCTCCAACAGACGGCTGCCCCGGTCAAAGAGATCGAACTCTTTGCCATGACGACACTCTTTCGTCAACAGGATATTGGCGCAGATGCAGTCAATGGTCCACTCCGATTGGTCGGCGAGCGCACAGCCCCTTCAAAGCGACCTAGCTCTGGACCGCTTGCTGCGAGTACACGCTTACTATGGCTCGCACCCGAACCGGTGAACCCTGGGAATGGCGACAATGCTTCTCAATCCAAATCCAAGTCGAAAGTATCGAAGCATCCCGGCAGCAGGGGGACCGAAGAGCCTACACCCTTCTGGAATGCAAATCCGCAATGCATCTACGTCCTCGACGATAGCATGTTCCAGTCGGCCTTCCGCTCCCAAGTGAATATATTGCCACTGTTCCGCCAGCGAGGCATGTACCCCTACCTCACCGTCGAGGTCGTCGACTTTCAGGTCAGCGGGTTGTCCTTGGACGAGGTTATACAGAAGCGGCCTTCCCCCTTCAAGTTCGGTGTGCAGGCCGTCTACAATCGGTGGATGCTCTGGGATTCCGTCAATGCGAGCGAAGAACCCGAGAATGCTGCAGGTGCATGTGGAGATGAGACCAACCTCCCGGACGCTGACTGCTTCGCGGATCGCTTTCGCCATTTCTTGTTCCTCGTCTCGCTCAAGGATTGGTGTCTTGTCCAGATCAAGCCCAAGGCGGACATCAAGGGCCCATGGGCTGGTGTTCGTATGAGCCAATGCACGTCAAACAATTTCGGCTACGGACTGGACGACTTTGTGCAAGCGGTTCATCAAGTCCACCTATGGGGCGCAGGTGCGTACCAGGATGCCTGCAAGGACGACATCAAGGCATTCTACAATCGACTGGGTGGTGACTCGGACAAAGTTTCTCCGCGGACGGGGGAGAAGGTGAAGAGAGAGATTGATTGATGAGTCTGGGGCAGCTTGGGGTGAACATTGATGATGCTTACGGCCTTGGGCCGCCAAAGCGATACGGCGAGGACAAGGACAGGGAGGGCTGAGATGTAGCTGCGCTGGGTTCCTTGGTACTTTGGTTGATTGAGGGAGCCAGCCACGAGAACGCTGGGAGATGTTTAGGGACCAATGCTGAACTCCGTAGTTAGTAGCACTTATCTTACCCTTCCGTGTAGAGAAATCCAAAGAGCATTCCCACCAGTGACTTGCCACTCAAGATACTGAGAACCGCCGCTGCCCGGAGGAAGCAACCGCAACCAAGAAGATGCTACGAAACAGAATACTCCACCTGAATCAAGGCATCCGCTACCGTGCGCAACGCAGTGAGAAAAAAAATACTACTTCACTTTTTTAAACTTCCTGATCTAGCACACCGGTCCCTCTACCCTATCAGGCATCCACCGCAATTGGGCAAGACACCAAGGAAAGGTCACATTCGTCCGGATAAGGAATCACGTTCCTATTTCCTTCGTCCCCGCCACCCGGTCCATCTTTTCCCCTGCTATTGGCACCCATTCATGCAACTGGTATCTTTTCCGTTCAAGGAGCCGTAAATGAAACAAACACAAAGTGCAAAGCCGCCTTGAGCGTTCTTGGTGCAGCCCGCGGAACATCTCACATGCCTTCACGGTTGTCCGAGTTCGCACGGCGAAGCAACGACAGTGAAGAAAATCTGCTCTCCAACCTACTCTTCTCGGCTCTAGGATGGGCCGTGGCTATGGTTCGGAGGCGCGTCTCGTCGAAACAGTAAAGAATATCTTGCTCCGTGGCGCCGTGGGGGGAGGTTTGGTGTGCGCGGGTGGCCGCTGCGCGTACACTCGTCTATTTCAATTTCCGACAACTACCGAATCCTCCGTTTCCACTTCCCACCTCCTACACTTCTTAGACCTAAGTCAATCTCAGTTACCTCCTTCGATATACCCTTGAGCGCGTATTCCATCTCTTCTCCTGCTATCTTCTCCAGCGCCCGTGCCGCATCTATCCAGAAACTGGCCCCAAGAGCCTTGCTGCCGTGGAGGAAGGTGGTGAGGGGAATGCCTAGTTCGCGGGAGGAGATGTGGAGCCTGAGAGGCATGTAGGAGTGTCGAGCGGAATGGTGCTGTGGTGTAACTTCAAGGCATTGCAGGCGCGCATTTCGCGCTCGGAGGGAAAGAAGCAGATGTCGAAGGGAAAGCATAGTAGGCCACAGCGGCGGTCTTCGTTTAACGAGAATGGCTGGGGCGTATGCCGCAGGCGGTTTCTACCGCTGGAATTGTGCTGGACTCGCAAACCGCGGATGAGGTATTGTGTGAACAGGATGTGTCGTTGGCATCGTGTGTACGGGGGTAATAGGTCGGTCGACGCGTGGTGGCTGCTCGGGAGTAGAAGAAGACGGTTGAAAAGGAACCAGGAGAAGAGCAAAAGTAAAGGGGAGAGCTGGAAAACCTTGCAACAGAAATTCTTGCAAAAATAGCTTGTTTTCGCGAACCAAACAACAGAACGTACAGGCTCCCCGTGACCCACCGCTTACACCCACGGCGCTTTATCCACGCCTTCAACGTAATCGTGTCCAATCGGCCGCCACATCAACCATCCACTAAGATCTTCAGACTGCAGCTCTTTCCATTTCTCGCTCGGATTCGGCACATTAAGCGATTCGTCAGGCGGAATAACTTCAATGACTCCGAGCCCACACTTCTCGTACGCGCCGCGAGCAGATGGCAGCGAACTAACGACAGTCTCGATGCCCAGCTCGTCTGCCTTCTCTATGCCCCAGCGGATGAGCATGCGCCCTATGCCACGGTAGCGGTGATCCCGATGCACGACGAGGGACCAGAGATCTTTCCAACCGCAGCCGTCAGTCGAGCTTGCCGCACAGCGACACTGAACGAACTAAGAACGTACCCATATGCGGCCTAGTCACCCGCTTCCCAATAAACCCCCACAGTCCGTTGATAAACCTCTCCGCAAACTCGCGCTCCTCCGAGCCCTCGGGGTGCCACTTCGCCACCGTCTTCTCGCCGTACGGATCCTCCTTGTCGTTCACGTACCACATGGCGAACCCCACCGCGTCGTCTGTCTCCGTGTCCACTACCTTGAGCATGAAGACTTTGGGGTCTTGGTCTCGTAGCGTGGTCAGCTTTCTGTTGATCTCCCACGCGATGGCTTCCTCCCGGGTGGGGAAGACGGGCCGGAAGTGCTTGAGCTGCGGGTTCCCGGGGACCCGCCATGCGTCGTAGTCCATGGGGACTATTTTGTCGAAGTCCTTTCCGCCTTTGACCTCGGAGATGACGAGGGGCATGGCTCGGGAGAGAATGTAGAGCCCGAGGACCTGGCGTCCAAAATCGTGTATGCTTCGAGGGGATTTTTGGGATGTGGACAGTTCTCTCTCTCTCTCACTATCCTATGGGCCAAGCTTTATATGCGAACTATGGACCGGCGTCGCGCTCCTGAAAGTCTAGCCTTCCCGGAAAGGATAGTAGTCGCATGACCCCGCAATCCTTCCTCGCCCCCAACCTCGACGCCAGATAATGCGCGAGCGCGATAAGCGATGCGAAAATCTTGAAATAGCACTAACCCGGTGTCGGTGTCGCGTCCGGCGCTCGGCTCGTTGCGGATCGGCAGATAGCGTTGGCATTGGAACCGAAGCTTCTTCGCAAGAGCGTAATACAGACGTGGAGGACGAGAACCATGGTCAGTGGTCGCGCATACAAACGGAATGAGATGTGTAAATCCAGACAATCCAACCTAAAGAAGATTACACATGGGGGAAAGTAAGCAGTCATGCTTGGTCCACACTCACGCTTCTCGTCCCTCAGTGCCCACCCTATCTACGCCAAAACCAACATATACCCTCGGATTACCATTTTCGTCTTCCGGATCGATGGGTCCTAAAGAAGGGTGACGACCATCACTCCTAAGGTGCAATTGCAACATAAAAGTATGTCCCGCGGTCTATGCCCTGAATGTGGCCCGCGAGGAACTGCGTCCAAGGAATGCTTTGATAAGTCTTCTCTGCGATCTGATGGGGGAGAAGGCCAATGGCAGCGACTGGGTCGACCTGCCATCCTTGTTACACGGGGACGTCGCACGGAGACCAGCGATCAATGGATATTCCGCACTCTAGCAAACTCTTAGAAAACGCTTGGAGGAAGGCGCGGTGACAGCGGCGAAGAAAGAAGTCCGTGGGCTGCAAATGCGATTTGGCGCCGTGGTCGTGCTATCCACAATGTGCTCCTCCTAATAGCACCTCTTTCCACTGAAACCTAATTCTGCCATGTAATCTCTCTCACTCTCGTCCAACCGTTCCCCAACTGGTACGTACGATCCCATCGGCGCTCTTATTCCGCATCCGCAATCCGCTCCTCCCCCCACCGCCGCTGCAAATAGGCGCGCAACGAGAAGTCCTCACCGGCCGTCAACGTGCGACGGGAAATATAATGCGCACTGGGCGGTGAGGAAGAGTCCTGGGATTCCTGGTGTTTCATTAACCTTGCTCGTATACAGTATTCGGCCACGCCCACGAACCTTGCATCGTTGCACAGAGGTGCCGTCGAACAGCCGGCCTATCCTTCGATAGTGGGCAAAAGGATCATCGTGAGCGACCTTGACGTTGCTCCCAGCAACGATCAAATCTTGAACTGGCGTCCAAATTGCTTCTAGGATATTTGATAGGCAGCGTTCATCATCCTTTCGATTTTCTTCAGCTTGCGGAGTGCTACCCCTATAATACTCGTAGTTAAATCCTTTGAAATTGGTGGTGATGTCCAGTAGGATGTCCAGTTTCGCCGTGTTCGCCATCATCGCAAGGCCATTTCGGAGGTTCCTGGCTTTAGCATCCAGAAACGCTGCCTCTGCACTACCATCGAAGTCGTGCCGATACGCCATCTTTCTGCTCAAGGGCTCGCATCGTATAGCGACGTGCAGGCTGCGTACGTACTTCCCCGGTTGAATGCCGAGACCAAGGAGATCACGAGCCAAGAAGCTCTGCAGGTCCTTGTCGAAAAGAACATAGAAGGTGTTTTGCGAGAAGTAGACTGTAGCGGCCTCGAGCGCTACTTCCCTCCCAACATACTCGCTGTTCAGCACGGCTCTTCTTTCCAATACGTCGCATTCTCTGTCTTGGTTGTACCGAACGTCGTCACGGGTGTAGGCTGGATATATTCTTTCATCGAGTAAGTCGTATTCTGGAGGGGAAGATTCATGTCCTCCACCTTGGATATGGTCGATCCAAAGGGAGTCGTCCTCGACGCAGGAATACGCATATACCTCGTCGCGTAGCTCTCTGGGGAGTTTCGCGTAGAATAATGTGGCTAGCTGTCGGCATTCTTCTTTGGCTGCTTGGACTTCGCTGCGGACTATTAGCATGCATTATCACGTGAGACACGTACGGTTGGAAGCCGCTTGAAGTGAAGGTCCCGCGCTACGTACCGTTCGACATTTTCTCTCTCGTCATTTTCCAGATGCACCCCGTACTGCAACACCATAGATTGTGCCTCTAGGTCCTGCATGTCGTAATTAATCTCCGCGTTCCGCTGCGACCGGGGTAGTTGTGATTCCGGCTTTGGAGGTATTTCTATAGTAGTGGATTGTGTGATCTATAAAGCGCAAGAGGTATTTCAGTTTCGTGTGAGGTAGGGAAGGACGAGGGCAAGAATAAGACGGTGAGGGGAAGAGGGGCCGAAGTGTTAGCCATTTCTGCACGGACCAGTTCGTCTGCCTAGGTGTGCAAATTTGCATGTGGCCGAAGTGTGCAATACTGGGTTTCCCCACCTGGCGCACGTCCCCACCTGACGCACGGTCGGCACGAAATTTTCTACACTTTGCAACTCGATTATCACCACCAATACTGACGCTATAGAGGACGCGCTGGAGGCGTTAAAGTCGCTGAAGCTTGGAGAAAAGCTTAATTATACTCAGGTTGCGAAAAAGTATGGCGTTGACCGCACTACGCTGTTAAAGCGTCACTAGGGGATATAGGGCACCTGTGCGGAGAAGATTAATAATATGCGCCTTCTTAACACTATACAAGAAGAACAACTTATATAGTATATTAATTAGCTCTATAGACGAGGCCTGCCATCTATAAGAGAGATTCTACATAATATATATTAATAATATTCTTATCTATTTAGAGAATTTTCTTAAGTATAAGGCTTACGTTACTAAGATACTTAATTAACTATATAAAGCTAGATTATAAGTAGATATTAAGAAGTTAGAATTTACTATTAAGAGTACTAAGTTTCTAGAATTAATTATAAGTACTAATAGAATTTAGAAGAACTCTAAGAAGGTTACTACTATTTAGAATTAGCCTATACTAAGAACTCTTAAGAGTCTTTAATTATTTCTAGATTTCTATAATTTCTATTAAGTCTTTCTAAGAGATTATAGTAGAATTATTTACTTACTTACTAAGCTACTAAAATAAAGAGTATAGCATACCTTTAGTAAGACTAAGCTTATAATATTTTAGTATATTAAGAATCTTATACTAGCTAATAATATTCTAGCTTACTACTCTCTCTATTAATAAATAAGAGTTAAGATAGATGTATTAGATAGCGTAGTTACTAGAGTTCTTTTATAGCTTTAAGAGAATAGTATCTAGTAACTTATAGCTTTCTTTAGTAAGATAATAAATAGTATCTAGATAAATTATAGTATTTATAATAAAGAAATACTAGTAGTTATTCTTAGTATATAGAAATAGAGAAGCTAGCTAATTAGTCTATAAGATCTAGAACTATTTATAGTATTAACTAACTATTAAGCTTTTGAGTACTTTATAATTAAGTAAGAACTTACTATTAGATAGGTTTACTAGGCTAATAATATTACTAACTATAACCTTAAGCTTACCTATTAATCTAGATTAGCTAATATAGTAGCTAACGCGTTATTATAAAAGTAGAAAGAACTTAAGATCTAAAAGAAAAAGAATTACGCTACTTATATAAAAGCTTTTCTAAGCTAGAAATAAATTAGCCTCTCTACTATTAAGTAAATTATAGGTAAGCTAGTTACTCTAGCTACTAAGAGGCTAGTAAGTAGCGTTATAAAAATTACGTCTACTAATACCTTTATAAAGATATCTTCTATAGAGAATCTCTATACTATAATTAACTAGGTAATTACTACTAATTAATTAGATAAATCTCTATAGCTAGCTTAAGAGAAAGCTACTATATTAGGCTCTACTTAGAAAATAGAAGCTAGCTTACTAATATATTAGAATTAATTAATAGTTTCTACTATTAACTATCTATAAGCGTATTTAATACGCGCCGTATATACTACTTAGGTAACTACCTATTTAGAGTGCTAGAAGACTATCTAGTTACTATAAGATTAATATTACTAGCTAGGTATATAAGAAGACGTTAATATATATATAGTAGTATATAAAGCTTACTACTAAAGCTATACTCTACGTAATAAAACGCTAGATCTTCTAAAGTCTCTACTTATCTCTAAAAGAGTATAGTAGAACGTCTCTATAGATTTTAAGAGCTTTCTTTCTAATAAAAAAGAATTTAACTATATATATATTATTATAAATTAGCTAAGTAAGTAGAGCTTCTCTCTATTCTACTATAAGAAAATTATAGCTTAACGTATAGTAGAGCTATATTACTAATATATCTAGCGTATATATAGTTCTTCTAGGTTTATTATATTAGATTATAGCCTATAGTTTATCTCTATCTTTATAGATAAGCTCTATTAGCTTATAGAAATTAAGTAGAAGCTTTCTACTATATACTATCTATAAACTAATAGAAATATAGAGATTATTAATTAATATCTTAATTAGTATCTACGTCTATTTATTAACTACTACTAGAATAATTAGTTAGACCTTCTACTCTATATAGACTAGGTATAAGCTACGTTACTATATAAAACTATAGAACTAATAGTATATAAAATTAAATTTAAATACTAGCTAATATACTACTAGAATTAGAAGAAGCGTATAATAAAAGCTTCTACTCTATATAAGTATCTCTTATACTAAAAAGCTTAGAATTTTACTAAGAAGTAATATAATACTATAAAAAAAGCTACTAAAATTATATAAAGTAATATTATAAAAGCATAAGCTAGATAGACGCTCTAAGTAAATAAAAAGCGCTAAGAATCTAATTTTACTATAGGTAACCTTATCTATATTAAACCTTATAGCTTTTTAATAAATTAGTCTAGTATAAAGCTTAATTAATAGATATATAGCTTTTATCTAATTATTACTATAAAGAGTTACTTTTTTTAGCTCTAGCTATTTGCGTATATACGTATACATAACGTCTTTTACGCTAATTAGCTAAGAAAAGCCTTAGAGCTATTACTAGAGTAGATAGAGTCTAAGTAGCTATTTATTAAAGTTAATAGTAATCTAGAATAGCTTGTATATAAAATTCTAGATAGTTATCTTTATTAAAATTACCTTTAATACTATGCTATATAGGTTACTTATAATTCTAACTCTATCTAGTATAATACTATAGGCTTTATTAACGCTCTCTATAAGGTAAGAGACTTTTATATAGTATACCTAGATAAGCTAGAGCTGCTATTATAATTAGATACTTAAATTAAGGCGTCTAAAAAAGAGAAGACTCTAGAGAAGATAGTAGAGAATTTAGAGCCTATACAAGTAGAAGAAGATAAGAGAGTAATATATAAGTGTTACTAAGTAGAAGTAAAAATAGTCTTAGAGCTTAGAAATAAGCTCTCTCTATAAAAAAGAGTAATATAATAGTTCGACTTAGCGCTATAGTCTAACTTAGCTTTACCTAAGTTATATAACTCTACCTAGCGTCTTAGTATAGGTACTCTATATATATAGAGAGCTCTTAGAGTATTCTTCTACTTCTTACCTTTAAATAGCTAAATTTAACCTAACCTACTCTACTAGTATCTTTATTCTTATAGCTTATAGAGATAGCGCTACCTATAGCTAACTTACCTAGCTAGATATTCTAAGACACTTATAGTAGTAGAGACTATAGAGCTAGCTCTTATAAATACCTAGTTTTTTAAAAAGATAATACTAGAATTTAGAAATAAACTATATATCTTAGTCTAATACTATATTATCTAGTATACTATATAGATAATATACGTAGCTTATAAATACGTCTACTAGTTTTTCTACTAATAAGAAGAAGACTAGAATAAGGTAATATATTTTTATAAGATAGTAGATAACTACTAGTAGATATCTATACGTTTATCTATTCTTTTTATATAGTAGTAGTAGAGTAATATAATTAATAGATATATCTAACTAAGCGTAAAATAGTACTAGTAGTAGCTAGAAAAACTCTTAAGAAGTAAAGTATAAACTCTTAATCTATATATATAGCTTATAAGCTTTAATATATTCTTTAATATCTCTAGTTACTCTAGACTAGTAATCTCTTATAACTAGGTTAACTATTTTAACCTATTCTAGATATCTAGTAAGGCTAGTAGAGTAAGTATAGTAAAGAATTTAAGTTTATAACTTATTATTTAGTAGAGCGAATAGTTAATTCTAGTAATAGATTTACTTATTAAAGATTCTATAGTCTAGTATTAGTATTCTTAGCTTCTTTTATAATACTCTTAGCTATTATTTAACTTATTTATTCTAAAGAGTAGATACTATTACCTAGACTATATCTAATCTTTAATACGCTAGATTAATTAGATTATTAATTAGCTTATTTATAGCTAGTAGAATAATATTAATTAGAGTAGCGTATAGATTCTAGATATCTTTAGTATTCTTAAGTAAGTCTACTAGTATAATTAGATTAAATTATTCTAGAGTTAGTATTATACGCTATCTATTCTTAATATAGTTATTATTTACGTTTATTTTATTAGAGTAGTCTCTAGGTTTCTAGCTTAGCGTATTAGGCTATATAGTCTTTAAGCCTAGTTAGTATATTATCTAGAAATTAAACTATAAGAGAAACTCTAACTACTAGACCTATTACTAGCTTAGTGTAAGGGCTAGATTCGCGGTCTCTACTGCTATAAGCGTCTCGAAACACCTAGCTAGGTAAGTTAGCTATAGGTAGTACTGTCTCTACAAGCTATAAGAATAAGGTGCTAGCAGGGTAAGTTAGGTTAAATTTAGCTATCTAAAGATAAGAAGTAGAAGGCTACTCTAAGAGGCTCTATATACAGAGGTGCTAAGCGCTAAGGCGCTAGGCTAGGTTACGTAATAGAATTACGTAACCTAAGGTTATATAACCTAAGGTAAATTCTAAACTAGACTGTTACATTACCCCCTCTTATAGAGAGAGCTCGTCTCTAAGCTCTAAAATACGCCTTCTAGGTCCCTCTTCTTCTAAAACTCTCGCGTTATGCTCTTAACCGTCTCTTTTAGCTCGTAGTAAGTGTATTCGTGTTAGTTTTAAACTAAAAGCGCTTTTATAGCTACTACCTTCCCTCTAGTTACTCTATTCTTGTAGAGATTTAAGCTAGAAGGCTTGTTTTCGCGTCTATAGAGCAGCTTTATCGCAGGCTCTCTTCTTAAATTACTTAGCGGCGCCTTTGCGTTACCCTTGTGTCTCCTACTCTTATAGGTTTTAAATTCTCTACTATCTTCTCTAGAGTCTTCTCTTTTTTATACGCCTTAATTTAAGTATCTAATTATAATAGTAGTTCT